TATTGCCAATGTCGTTTATTGCAAAGAACAAATAATCGCCAACTTGTTTAGGATAAAATTCAGAATGAACTTTTTGTCTTTTTTCGATCGATTATAATACTCGTATCTCAGAGATTCCAGTGTAACTTACGGATTTATTCAATTAACTGATAGAAAGTTAATAAGAAGAAATTTATATCGATTGCATTAGATGAGAATATGTTACTTATGTATCAGTAAACGTTGATGACGTTTATCAAACGACGTATAAGCGCGTAATCGGCACGTCTTGGATGTTGATGATTTGCATGATTACATTAGTTATTGGTTTATTCGTTTCTTTCATTCAATTGCCATTTTAATAAATTAACAATTGTTAATTTGAAATGTCAATACAGACGGTGCCATTGGAGCGAAACAAATTTTTGTAATATGACTATTAAAAGAAATAGCAGATAAAGGTGTGGTTAACCCACTACGGACAAATCAATTGTTGATATTCGTGGTACAGATGGTACTCTGCGTTGTTTTTAAGCTTGTTTTGAAAAGCCGGCAGATTGATTCTTTATTTTACTCTTTTGTTTAGTTTATGTGTATTAGTCAATTTGTTCCCTACAGTCATTATAAGCTAAAATGTATATTGATTAGAATACTGATAGTCTAATTATTATCTTATTCAACAGTGTACTAAGTAGATTTCATGTATGCATTTAAATGCTTAGATTACAGTAGCATTAGTGACAGGTTTGGGATAAAGATTTGATCACGATGATTATGAAGGTGGTAAAATTAAATTGATCAACATGAAATTAGAATCGTGGTATATACTGTAGGTATAAATTCTGAAAGGATTCAATTTATTATCAAATTAATTTAATTGATTATGGTCAAACGCTTTCCGATGTGTTGAAATTATCTACAGAAATTTTTTTAGTGGTCTTATAGCTAGTCTACAATGAGGCCATAGATTTTGTATAAACTTCTATTCGTTTCACGAGAGGTAGTTGAATCCCCCAGAGTAAAGTTGTAGATTATTATCGCTCTTATAATTTTCCTCTCAGCGATCACGTTAATGTCATATGATCCTCTCAATGTATAGATACTCCTACAATGGTGATAGGCGATTATTTAGGAAAGAACGAGGGTAAAACATCCAATATTAACTTGGTGTTTCTCTCTATTTATACGATAGATTATGTAAGTGCTTAGTACGGAGTGGTACGACAATCATGATCTACGTTTTGTTATCATTCTAAGAACTAGGATTTAGATAGCATAATGCTGCTCCACACGATATCATTTCTCTATTTAATGTAAGCTCAGTTTTATTGTTTAATAGATAATCTTGTTTTAAGGAACATATGATAGCTAGTGTAGTTTTGTTATCCATTAACTGTGAGTAGGGGTTAATGTGGAAATTAGACGTATCATAATATGTTAGCCCTGACTTGGTGTTGCGTTGTTAGGTTTCATCTGCAACTATTTTGAAATGTTGATATTTCAGCATCCAGTAAATTATATCTAAAATAGCTACTATTCACTTATATGGATGTAGTAGAACTCGTATTGTACAATTTGCATTGGGAGAATGTTCAGAATTTTACTTTTGCTTAGATTACATTATATGTATTAGCACTTTTATGAATTACTTAAAATATAAATTGAATTACGGCAAGCGGAGATAAAGTTTAGTAGCTTTTCTTCATATTAACCGTTTGCGAACATTGTTTTTTTATTTCTATCGGCATGACAATAAAATAAATAGCTACGAGTATTACTAAAAATTGAACCCAGTATTATCATTAAGTAAAGTTAATTATCAAATCAAAAATTATCGGTACTGATTGCTTTAGCATGAAGTACAAGAGTTATAGAACTAAAACAGATTGCAATGGAGGTACTGTACTCTTCTACTTTTCGATGAATTATAATTACAGTAGTTTGAGAGTACCACATTTAGGATGTGATTTACAGGGCATGCATCCATTAATTGTATTAATTACCAATAATGTAAGAATGTCGGAATGACTGGGTTAGCAAATATTTATATACGTATGATAAACTTATGTGTGAACTGTAGGGATGTAGAAGATATTTCATAAATCAACATCAATAAGATAATAATGATAACTTGGCAATCATACAGCCATCTACATACTATACTGTGCTACGCTAATGTTTTCTAATATTGTATTAGAAATCGATTCTTAAGTGAGAACTTTATCATGGAGTGCTGAGGTGAAGATTACTTTGTTAAATATTTAAAATGTAGGCCTTTCAAGTTTGCTTTCTGTATTAGCTGATATTTACATTCCATGAGTGGTTAATCTAACAAAAAATTAAATAGCGATTCTACGTTTTCATAAGTGCTAATTTAAACTGGACCGTTATTATCTAAGTTTACGAGCAATATCAAGTAGTGTTGAGTAAAAGATTGTAATAATTGATAATTTTGTTAGTTACCGTGTATTGGATTTATATTATTAGCCTTGACAATTTTAATTAAATAATTAATTAATGTCTTACCCTATTTATCCAATGATGTATAAAATTATTCTCAAATTAACAAAGATTTATCATCCCGCAGAGCTACCTGCAGTTATAAGGGTAATACTCTTTATTAGTTTTATGACTGCCTTTAATTTAGTTAAAAAAAAAAGCATCGTTACTACTTTCCCTACTTCGAAATTTACGAAATATGAATATAATACGACATATCGAGATGAGGTTATTCACTTAATGTACTGCAATAGCTTGGGATTAATCTTTGCAAAATGCTGAACCCTTAGAAACCACCGAAAATATGAAATTAACAATAGGGTGTCCACATTATTGTTTCATAGTTTACGAATTGAAGTAAGAGCAGGATAAGATGACAAAGGGATCATCAAATCCTAAGGGGTGGCGGGATTTTAATTTTGTTTTATGCTAAAGAGAAAATATAATAATAGGTTAATAGATTCTTTACCTGGCTTATCTATTGAAAGTTTTAGGGAATAGTTTAATAGCTAGTTTGAGTTAATAATACTCTGCCGATTGTGGGGTAACAGAAAGTAGATAAATTATTGGATGCTTCATCATTGATTAGCCAGTACATCGAACTGAACTGCTTGAATCAACCTTGATAATTAAATTTGCAGAGTATTATTGTACTAGCAAGTAGCAAGCTGTTGCCTTGCTTATTGAACTAACTATCGGTAATGTTTTATATACACATTATACACTTACTTGATACAACCATTCTAGGCCTGAAGTAATATACATCAAGGACAAGTATATTACTTATATTTATTGGCTACCTTGGACAATCGAAATAGTAACCGCGATACAACATTATTCTTTTCGAACATAGTCTATTTTTACGTGCGCATTATTGTAATTGGAATCGACAGTAGATGAATGCTATTTAGATTAAACGCGGGAATAACTTGCTGTAATTCTATTGATACCTTTTGCAACGTTCGGTCAATTTTAATTTTATTTATTTATTCCGCGCCATGAGTGAAAGTAGAACACATGTAATATTGATCACTTTATAACTTATAGCATATTTACTGTTGGTACTGACCAAACTTATAACCTATTTACTGTTAGTAAATTGTTGAATATGTAGGGTGAAGTTGACGATCTTGCTGAGGAATCATGTTGATAATGAAAAAATGCAAAACTGTCTGATCTGTACCAACCGCTTTGCAGTCTGCACTCATTCCCGGTAATCGACTGGGATGCCATTTTACGCGTACTCGTGTAAGCGAAAATTCACATCAGTAATGGGATCCTTCGGCGAATTTATATTATCGAGACTATAGACTAGTATACTGTAGAGTTAATAAATTATTGTCAATTCTCATTACCAAGTGAAAACTGCGAGGATAACTTGAAATCTTTCTATGATTATTTACATTGACAGTTTGATAAACATTGTGAAAGCTTGTATACCATATCCATTCGAACGAGGATATACAGCAGTATTTTACTTTACCAATTGAATGCAAATTTGCGCCATATTATGTTAATTAACCCTTTATCCAAGTCCATTTATAGGACATTGGCAATTAATTAATAGCAATGGATTAGCGAGTTATCGAGGTTAAAAGCATTATTAGTGTAGGGAATTTTGCTATTCATTGGAGTAGCGTCATGAACCTAACTTTCTGCCAAAGGCTAATATTAAATAAATAATAATAAGACGAACTCTTTCTATCAGCAGTTTGCAAGTAGCAAGTAACAACATATTGTACGGCATGATGTAGATATTGTTATTCATCTTCTTTATTTTAATCTATTCATTGATTCTTTCCAACGTGTTGGAGCCAAGGATGTAGAATTGTTCTAGTGTACTAATAGACGGCAGCTTTACATAGCAAGTTAACTACTGTACCCATTAGGCCATCCATCATCATTCATTGATTCAAATGGTTGAGCCGTTGAGGTAATCAAGTAATCATCGACTGCCAGATTGATAAACAATTTGGCGGTATTGATTGACTGCCAGCCCTGTCGTTCTTAACAATCAAGATTAACATGCCTTTGATCAAGTCAGACAATTTGAAACAATAGATGAAACAATGCCTGCAGGGGTTAGTTAGATAAATGATAGATAAGATCGATGCGGAAGCGTTATCTAAAACAGACAAAATAGAGAATAGTATCAACTGGTATTAAATAATCCGTCATGATAGTCAGGATCACATGGCACATACAGACTGCACTACAGTATACCGGAGTTATTGGCTTTTAGCCCTTAGCATAAAATCTTATGCATTATATTATTAACAAGAAAGCAACAACATCTTTTGTTTGAGAGGATTTTTCTTCTCAAGTCGACACCCGGGACGTGATAGCACACCCATTTTTATTGTTGCATGGGGTATATGCAAATATTAGCCCTACTCGACCGTCTAGTCGACATCTCGCGTCTGCAAACAACGTACTTTGCTTTTCTCTCCCAAGATTGATATTTTTGGTCTACAGGATAAAAATTTTAATTTTTATTACGTAAATCAAGAATTAAAGCCATCATGGCTACTATCGTATCAAGATGTCATCACTATGCCAGTCTTGTGATCATTTTGTTGATGTTCTTTCGTCTTGGTCAAAGTCAAACAAGGTAATAGATCAGGTCTACAAAGAAGTCAAAAGTGTAAACTTCTTTAATTGTTGCACCCAACAAGATCAAAGCATCCAAATTTAATCGTCTAATCCATGGTTATCGTCGTCGATTTCAGTTTCTCTGCGTTGTGTTTTTATCGACAAATTACAATTGAAAAAAAATGAATTTTTTTTGTTGGAAACTAGATGATATTTCATCAGTTCAGTTTGCTATCACCTTTACCTTGCTCATATCTGGAGCCAACAATTCGTTTTCATGACATTGCAATTTTTTCGATATGTTGATTGTCTAATTTTATTGCATGCAAATGACATCATTTCTACTTAATTAATGAGTTGTTCAATGTTAACACTTTTTCAATATCCTTCAAATCTTGATAGAATCGTCATGCATCATGATGATTGCTTCACTAAAGATGACGCTTTTAAAGTTTTTGTAATTAATTTCAAACTTTGATCAATACAGTATTGCACCATCAAGAGATTGGATAAGTGCTTTTTTTAACCGTTTACGTCCGATGTCCTATGCATTTGGCTTGTTTCTACGATCAAAATGTATCATTTAGTTTATTATTTCAATGGCACGACGACTATGATCGTTATCAAGTCTATCAATTAACCATTATTTATCAACAGTAGTTTTCAAGACCTCGATTATAATTAATCTTAAATTTATAACCGCGCAATAATGTAAATTAGGAGAATTACAATTATTCAGTCAATGTTTTTTTTAATTTTCCTGTCTAGACCTCGTATGAAAGTTGAGTCTGGCAATTTGGTCTTTTCTACTGGAACTAATAATAACATTTCCTTTTCTGCCGGTCAAGGAGGTGCAATCTTATTAAATAATGTCAATGTCAATGGAATGCAAGAAAATGTAAGTACAATTAGCAAAGCATTAACTGTAAAGAAGGGAGAAAAAATGATGAGATCAATGCGTGTATAGTGCTGTAATTTCTTGTGTCAGTGTCGTAAAAGATGACAGAAGATCATCAATCATAGTCTATTAACAGATCATGCAGCTGTACTGTATTGTATGTTTTTAAATGGTGTGCTGTGCGGCTATATCAGATTGCCGAAGCGGCTTGATTCTTTGAGATGAAAACTTTATTGACTTCCAATTTCCCTGTATTGCTTTTGTGCTAACCCTATGAAGACGTAGCGAAGCATTGTAAAACAGTTACAAGTCATGGATGATCAATTAGCAGTTTAAGACAGGTTTAGTCATGAATAGAGATATCATAGCCTGCAATTCAAGAATGTACTTTACACATGCAGTGATAAAGTAGAAAGATTAGAAATTGAATCAGATTAGGAAAGAATGATCGCTATTTTATCACCATTTTATCAATTCGATTAGATATTGAGGGTACACTACGATTTTTATACGGTCAACTGGGCCAATGTCTACGACAGTAGTAATCCTTGAATGAGGAACATAACTTGAGATAGCGTACTGTATGCAGTTAATATTGATAATATATTTAATACGAGCAAAGGGTCTACTAGTATTTAATGTTTTGTAAGTACTACAGTATTTAATGATAGAAAAAACATCATGGATCAAATAGATGTATCCATTTTATCTGAGAATGGCCACTGTATGTACTTGTATATACTGTATTCTAATGTAATATGATTCTTTTGTGAAGTTTGTGAAAAAAAGAATAGTTAACCTGAATAATATGATTACATGGCCAGCAGACTAATCAACCGAAGATTAAAATGGATTGGAAGTTGATAAAATAATATCAGGGTGGTGTTCAAAATTGAATCTTCGAAGAATTTTAATTAATTAATTAATCATTGTGTAAGAGTATATCTGAAGTCGTATATTAATTTCTTATGAAGATAATCAGTGTACGGTATGATTTTATTCCTCCTATCATGACGATTTTTACTTTGTGATCATTTTCATGGCTATTAAACCAGTGCTACATGTTGCTCAATTTCGTTCAGGGAATTCGATTATCATCAACGTACCAATATATGTTGTCTTCTATTTTTGGGGATCGTTTTGATAAAAATTATAATTACTTATAATTATCGAATCGCTTACGACAATATACAGTACAGCTCAATTTCTTCATAAAATTTTAGCTAGACCAGAGTCAACTTATAATTAATTTGACATGATTGAAATTACTTTCCAAACCAATGATCAACCCATGATGAAGTCGATACGACTTTATTGGCCTATCTTGATGAACTTAGATTATAAATGCAGACTAAAATAGAATTATGATTATCTTTGACGGTCTTTACCCGATATGACTGTACTATTACTACAAATATTGATCGTTGTTCATAAAAGTTACGGTGTTATCATCGGCTACATAAAGTGGTCAATTAACACAGCAGTCGAATACCCGTGTTTGCATAACTCTTGGTAGCTAAATTACAGTTTTTCGTATCGAAATATTGCGCCGTAATCCACTGAGGGAATTCCATGACTTGTAGATTGATCGTAAACAGGTTAAAATATTAATGAGAGTTTGGATGAAGGGAGAGATCCTTTGAGAACGGTAATCAGTCTGGCATATTGAGAAAATAGTATGCAGTACCTGAATCCATTCACATATTTATGGTTTGATTGCGTGAAGACTAGGATATTAAGAAGGAATATAGCATTAAAAATTAAATAGCTGTTCAATTAATTCTAGCAATAAGCGAACAAATGGCGTCCGACGAATGGATCTCGATCTGGATGTTTATTTATAGTATAGAATAAAGTTCTCTTCTTTCTCCCATTTTGTTTCTATCTATCCATTTTATTTATTTTATTTATTATTTTATTCTTTCTTCACTTTCTTTGTCATTCCTTCATCCTAAACTCGTATCATAGATTATGATCAACTCTTGAAAGATTTTTCATGAACACTCTTAACGGTGAAAAAATAACCCTTTTTTTTCGAATATTTTGCCGGCTTTTAATTATCTCGTTCAAACATATTTTCAGTAGCTTTAGCGTCAAAATGAATGTTATTTTAGCAGGTGTGACTACGATAAAAATACGAGTAGTATATGTTATGCACTGATCTGTTTTTAGTAGCTTCATAATGCAGGGCAAAAATAAATATTTAATTTTAATGCACTATGATGTAAAATAATTCAAATCGTAGTAACTACCGTAAGGAAAAGATCCATTGATATTCAAACTCAACCATCTACAGTATTTACTACTATTCTAAAGGCCTGGGAACTATCTATAATAATGAATGATTTAATTGACGTTGTTAATTTTAGTAGTATTGATTTGTCTAGATCGAAACAGAATCGTAAAAAATGTCATTGAATCAGTTAATATAGATCTCATAATATAGCGAGTTACAAATATTTACAAAAACATGTTGATCATGATGGGAGATAGTCCATATCATCGCATTTATTAGTTTGATAACAAAGTTTGCATTTTACTTTACTTTATGTTACACTATGGAGGAATCATATCATCATGAAGTAAATCAATAGGATAATGATAAATATCGCTTTCTTTATCACTCTAATCGCATTTTCATCTAGTTCATGTCTAGCGCCATATTGAAATTAGCAAGTCACTTAGATTTTCAAACTACGACCGTGCGTGTATTTGGTATCCGGGACAATCTGAATTAGCAACTCATTTAGAACAGTATAGTATAGTAGAATAGGGAAAAATGAACTTGATTTTCCATTTCACATTCGCCTAGTACCTTGGAAGTATTTTGTTATCCGGTATCTTTGGAGCAATCCAAATTAGCAATTCATTTAGAATAGTAGAAAAGAGAGAAAATAAATTTCAATTTCTATTTCATACTCGCCTACTGCCGTACGAGTATTCTGAGGGTATCCTAATTAAACTAGAAAAGAGAAAAAGTCAACTCAAATTTCCTTTCACACTCGCCTACTATGGTACCGAGTATCCTGGTATCCAATGTAGAATAGTAGAAAAGGGAGAAAATAAATTTGTATTTCCTTTTCACACTCGCCTACTATGGTACGAGTATCCTGGTGTCTAATTTAGAATAGTAGAAAAGAGAGAAAATAAACTTGAATTTCCTTTTCACACTCGCCTACTACATAGGAGTGATCCAATTTTTTTTTTTTCATTGCCCTAGTTGATATAGAAAGACAGTAGAAGAATAATATTATATAATTAGAATTACAATAAAGGATGAACATGTTTCCTCTTTCTACTGTATCATCTTGACCATTGATTAGTTATATTAGCATGTGGTCTTTGGATCAATGACTTTTTTGGGCTTTGTGGTTAATTTATTGTTTGATAGACTATTTTTATTTTTAGTAATTATAGACAATTGTATTCAGTCTTTTCTCATCATTAGGCCAGATTAGAAGTAGGAAATGGCTTTTTGTTCGATCTTTTCATTAGCCATTTCATTCTTTGATTCATTTACTTGGCCGTCAAGAACGTGTGCAACATTAATTCTTTCTCAATTCCTAGGGATTTTATACAGTAATTGCATGTCTAACTCGTTGATGACAGATGTCGAAAGAATAAAATTCGTATAATTTGATAAAATAGTCATGTTGTAGAGAAACAAATAGTAAAGAATACGATCATGATGATCCTCTTGTAAAGCACATGAGCTTTCTGATTACCCTCTTGCATCATTTCTTCAACACAGTTGAAAGAATTTATCTTTCCCAGAAATGATTTCAGTTCTACATTTCAATGTCTATTAAATTCTCAAAGCCCTCCATGATCTATCCAAATCGATTTAATTAATTAGCTCACTCATTCTTTTATTAGTGGTTATTTCTATCATCATACAACCTCTTCTACAACACAGCAACGATCTTATTGCTTTCTATCATTGTTTCTTCGATATGCTTAAGAAATTGTTGATGCAACAAAGACTTGAAACTTTTATTAAAATGTCTACGGTAGTTATCCAAACATACTGAGGATCACCTAAAGAGAACCTTTAGGCAATCTAACTAATGTAAATTTATTTTATTGATCAATTTTTTATCAGTGGAGATAATGTAGGATCTGATTTAAGGGGATACCTATGTAAATTCTTCTTATACGTAGGAATTATAGCGTGGCAATAAGTGAAAAATAAAAACAGATACATACACGTATATGGATTTCACAACAATGATTTACAGCTAAAACCCTTTATTCAGATCGGATGAACATCTAAGAAAACCTCGAATATTCGTTTAAATCGATTCAGTGTATCTCTTTTTCATCAGCGAAATTTGTGGCGATAGTTGGGATTAACTGGGAAGTATTGCTGTCTCCTAGTCGATCCTTTCACTCTACGTTCAACGGAAAGTAAATGAATGTTAAAATTAAATTCCTTGCGTGGACTTTCTATGTAGTTTTGAAAATGAAATAGTACATTACAGTTTTTAATTCAAATGTATTCCATAGAGATACATTTTTGCCGCTAGAAATTACAATAAAAATGAATACTATTATACTGATGGAGAGATTGAAATTGGCAAGGTGTTGTCGCAGTGATGAAACTGTTCCAATACGCAACAAGCTTGTTAAAATGCTACTAATCCATGAGAGTAGATCATAATTTTCTACTGCATCGTATCAATAATATTTAGCTAAAAAATGGCGAATATGCCTGAACCATTTTGACCTCGATATGAGACTGCAGTCAACAATCTGTCCATTTTTCTTTCTTCACAAACTCTTGCATTAGCTATTGAATCTGTAGTAACCGGAAGTAAGGAGCTAGAGCCAAGTTCAAATGTTAATAAATACTTCTCTTCGACAATTCTCTATACTGTAACTTTAAATTTCCTACATACTAAAGAGGGAATCATTATATATATTATAGCATCCAAGTTTTTGTTGGCAATAACTTGTAGCATAATCTTTGCAGTTGTCAAGGAAGCTAGCTACTATGTCGTCGTAACAGACTGGGAAAGAAAAATTTCAGTATAGATAATTTGCTTATAGTTTAAAACTGTTTTGTTAGTCAATCAGGTTGTGCAATCGGTTGTTCTAGATCTATAGTAGCAGGGAAGGAATGAGAATTCAAGTTTTAGTATTAATAGTTTACTCGTATCTTAAACATTATTACCTTAAGAAAAGTGGATAGTAGAATCTCTCGTCTTCAATTTACTCCTATCAAAGACTGAAAATGCAGTGGTATGAGAGAAAGACTCGAGTTAAATCTATAATTTAAACATGCATAATTTTGCTTGCACTTTATCGTAATCTATGTATCCCAAATTCAATGTTAAATTGCCTATCCATTTGATTCTCTTAAAGTAATCTACCTTGTTTATTCATATGATTTAGAAATCAGACCGCGATTCTTAATTAAATTGTATTGTTGCTCATTCTTTTCTATATCTTAGGTATTGGCATTGCAGAAAATTGCAGATGTAAGTTCCACCATGACTTGAAAGTCGTTTTTCTTTCTTAGGCTACAGTGACTGAATGACAAAATTTTTAACTTTGTGCTAATCTACTCTACTCTACCCTGTAGACTGTAAAAATCGATGAATGTGAAAGTTCTCCTTGTAAAAATGGTGGCCACTGTTTCGATCTGTATTCAAAGTATTTTTGCTTTTGTACGGCTGGATTCACGGTAAAGAGATGAGAGAAAGCTCTAATCTAGTTTAGTTTTATTATTAGACATTTTTGTATTACAATTTTAAAAAGTCCAATAAGCCTTAAAAAGTATAGTTACCATAGAAGGACTATCAGTATTTTTCAAGACAACGCACTACGAATAGAGTAGTAGCAGCAGCGATGGCCTAGCTATTACCTAATAGTTATTTGAATTGAATTTCAATAATGTTGATTCATATGACATTTCAATCCTTATAGGGTCCTGCTTGCGAGTATGATATTAATGAATGTATTCGTCGGCCATGTCGCAATGGCGCAACTTGTGTCAATTCGCCCGGCTCATTCTATTGCACATGTGCTAAAAATTTCCAAGGTCTTCGTTGCACAGTTAACGTAACTATTCCATCAGTTACTATTCCGTCTGCTTGCTCCCTTGGAAACCCCTGCTTGCATGGTAGTTGTGTCGCTGTATCCAATCCTGCAACAGGACAAGTAACTACATAAGCTTTATAGGATAATATTCTTTTATTTTATGATTTTTGGGCATAGAATCTACTTTTAAAGGTTAGATATGATGGATTAATTATTGTCATTTTATTCTAGCCCAATTATAGATGCATTTGTAATGCAGGTTGGACTATTGGTAAAAATCCCGAATGTAACGTCGATGTTAACGAATGTAATACTAGAGGCACTTGTTCCATAGATCCATCAGTAACATGTACCAATACTCCAGGATCATATCGATGTGGTCCATGCCCTGCAGGTATAACTTACTTTTCAATTATTTTTAGCTCACATCAATTTATCTACTACCTCGCTACTTTTTATAAGAAATGGATAACTGTATCAAATCCTATTTTGATATCTCAAAGGTTACTCTGGCAATGGTATTACATGTACTGATATTAACGAATGCTTACAAAATAATGGTGGTTGCTCTCGTGTAGCTACCTGTACAAATACTCGTGGTTCAAGAAAATGTGGTCCTTGCCCAACAGGTTGAATTTTTGAAAGAAATAGAACACTATTTGTGACACTCGATATAGCTATTGTTTATTTAAAATGATCTAATAATTAATATGACATCCTGCAATGGCTCAATTTCTAAAATAACCTAGTAATGTGATATCCTCCAGTAGCTCCATTTTAAATGTTGATATATTTGAATTAAAATATCATAATAATACGACATCCTTCAGTGGCTCCATCTTAATCTTGATGTAGATTGTCAAATTTTCAAGTTCTTGTAGCGCTTAAAAGGATAGAGAGTACGATAATTGTATTTTATATCGATAGATGTTATAGGATAATCTTGCCTTAGGTCGATCTATACGGTACTACAAATGAATAATTTTCTTGTTGCTTGCCAAACACATGTAGTAGGGCAATAGCGTATCCGATGTATTCATATTATTGTTTTAATCCTATCAGATCAAGGCTATATCGGAAATGGATTGAATTGTACTTATGTTGGATTATGTTACTTCAATAATGGCGGATGTGCTCACAATGCAAAATGTACTGATTTCTTTGGTGGTGGTCGAACATGTACATGCCCTACTGGATATACTGGTAATGCTTTGAATATTGGCAGTGGCTGCAATCCTGTTGGAGGTATTTGCTCATCTGGCCCTTGCCGAAATGGTGGTACTTGTAATGTAAGTAATATAATTGAACCTATTCAGATCTTGAAAGATTGTATAGTTGATCATAATTGCCTTTAACATGAATTATTTTCCCATGCAGAAATTCTTATCTGTTATCTATTTGATTACGATTTTAGCCTAGTCCACGTAGCTATACCTGTACCTGTACTAGTGCTTGGACAGGTACAAATTGTGAAGCAAGTAGCAATCCATGTGGTAGCAATCCATGCCAAAATGGTGGTACTTGTACTAACTTTGGCTCAACTTTCCAATGTTTTTGTTCAAGTGCTTTCACTGGTCCCATTTGCCAGTATTCTCAACAAGGTGAATAATTCATATGCAAATAGAAATTCTTTATTGATGTATCAGTCTCCAGGGGTATGATGATATCTTGATGATGATTAAGCTGTTGTCAAACTATTTGTTGCAAATTTACACTATGTAAAGTTTTGTATACCATAAGTTTATATTTACTGTGAAATTGAGTATTTCTATTTACTCACATCAAACTCATTTTTTTCGTAGTTTGTGGTGGTTCGTTAACTGCCCCAGATGGCGATTTCCGTTTTCCTCCAAAAGGTCTGACTAATTATCCCGGTGGTGCAACCTGTACATGGATCATTACAGTTGCTCCACAATTTCTAGTTTATCTCAATTTTACCCAATTCCAGCTAGAGCAATCTAATCAATGTACTAAAGATTACGTGGAAATTAGAGATGGAACTTCATCAGCTGATACCCGTATAGGAAGATTCTGTGGTAGCAATGTACCAACTTTGCCATCACCTCTATCGTCAACTAATAGTTTATGGATTACTTTCCGTTCTGATGGTAGTATCGACTTCCCAGGATTTATTGCTAGTTATTACAGTGTACCATTATGTAAGTTGACCTAGATAATATTATTAATAGTAGAATTAATCATGCAGCTTGAATCTATATCATCGTCTTTAAATATTGCTCTTAATGCAGCTTGTGGGGCTAAATTAACTGGTATTACGGGCACAATTCGGTCACCCGGTTATCCTGGCCGTTATCCAAGTAATCGAGACTGTGCTTGGACAATTTCCGTCCCTGCTGGCTATATTATTACGCTTAACTTTGCTGCATTTAGCCTACAGAGTTCTACTGGATGTAATAATGATTTCTTACAGGTAAGATTATTCCTAGAGAATAACAGTTCTATTTCAAGCTAATACTGCCATTCTTTAATAAAAATATTAGATTTAACAATTGCATTGTAACCATACCAGAAAGTAAAATACTTTTTTGGTTTTGGTATATACTACTCAAAATTGTTAACATACACGATTGATATTACAGATTCGGGAAGGAGGAAGTATTTCTGGTACCTTAATTTCGAACCTTTGCGGACAAACACTTCCACGACCAATTGCTTCCAAATCAAATCAGCTATATCTACGATTAGTTACTGATGGATCGATTACAGCGTCTGGATTCTTAATAACATACTCTGCAACTCGATCAAGTACGATAAAATTACTTAATATCATTTTTATTGGAGTTTATTGTTAAAGAATAAATAAATATATGTACGAATTTGCTTTCATACCGGGTTGAAGTTATTAAAAATCTCTTCTAAAATGATCATGTTATGATTATAGCGGTTTGTGGTGGAGTATTAACAGCATCTTCTGGAAGCATTGTGTCTCCTAATTACCCTGGAAAGTATCCTAATAATGCTGAATGTATTTGGACCATACAAATGCCCGTAGGAGCGAGAATTACTCTTAATTGGCAAAATATAGATATTGAACAGCAAGATCAGTGCAATTTCGATTATGTAGAACTACGAAATGGCAATTCAACCACGGCTCCTTTTGTAGGCAGATACTGTGGCAATAATCCTCCAGCAACATTTACCTCTACCGGAAATAACTTATATATCAAATTTAAAAGTGATGGTTCATCTAGTGGAAATGGTTTCCGATTAAGCTATACTTTAGGTACCGTACATTATGAAAATAGTTTACACTAAATTAATGGAAAAATAAGTATAACTTATCATTAAATTAATTGTGTCTCGGTTACGATTTTATGTTTAAATTAGCTTGTGGTGGTATTTTAACCAGCCCGACTGGTTCTATTCAATCATTATTCTATCCATCTCCCTATCCATTATCTACTACATGTGTATGGACCATTCAAGTTCCGTTTAATCAAAAAATTGTATTAAATTTTGCCGCTTTTGAAGTCGAAGGAGCTGCAAATTGTTCAGGAGATTATTTGGAACTAAGGAGTGGTAGCGCAGCTACTTCCCCTCTGATTACACGATTATGCGGTGTTGTTAATCCAGGCCAACTTATTATCAATAATAACAATTTATACTTAAGATTTACTTCTGATGCAAATTACAGTCCTCGTGGATTTAATTTAACTTATTCTGCGAGTTCAACAGGTAATGTTTTGCATCAAAGTAGACTACTTGCATAAAATGGGTAGTAGTTGACGTCTATCATGTTTTCGATCATTAAACATCTAACAGGCATTAGTAGTTTTTGTTATAATGCTATAGGAATAAATAATTCCATTCATGTTAAGGAGTAACCTGCTATATTTGATATACAATATTACTTTGCCTCTAAGTGGTGTAATTTAGATTGCTAAATGGGAAATAATGTGAATTAATATTAAATATCAAGCAATGCTAATTGAAATAATTAAATCATATCTAGATATATATATTTAGCCCATTAAAATATCACCATATTTTACACGAAATTGTAAATGCATTTATTACTCAGTTCATTTAATATGCTCTACTATTTTATTTTAGTATGCGGTGGATTCTTAACTGCTACCACGGGAACATTCAGTACACCAGTTAACGTAAACACTGGTCAATATTTAAACAATGCAGTTTGCAACTGGGTTATTTGGGGTGGATTTCGTAAAATTATTCGTATGACATTTAATTCATTCTCACTTCAATCAAGCACGTAAGTGAAATAATTTACAGTAAAAGTATTAATTGATATAAGGATTAGTTACTTAGATATCTAGGAATAACCTAATAGAATACACGTAAATATATTAAAATTTAATTTACTGTTAAATTATATATGAAACTTTAAGCTCACCTTTTTAATTTCATGCTTCTAGTAACTGTTCAGCTGATAAAGTAATAATCTACGATGTTGGATCATTTAATCCAAACACAGTCCAAGGTCCAAGCTATTGTGGCAGTAATATACCGCCAGTTTTTACTTCAACACGTAATGTTGCTAGACTATCTTTTACGTCAGATAGCAATGTTACAAGTAATGGTTTTTCAGTGAATTATAAGATTCTCGACTTTGAGAAAGGTAAATAATGCGAGATTCAATTATAAATATTATACAGAAATGCTTAACCTGATAATGGCTATAATGATTACGTACTTCATGTATCAACTTTTATAGCATGTGGTGGCGATCTTACAAGTCCAACTGGCGTTATTACTTCCCCTAATTTCCCCAATCAATATCCTCGTGGAGCTCGTTGTGCTTGGTTAATAACAGTGCCTACTGGGCAACAGATTTCTCTATCATTTTCAAATTTCTCTGTAGGATTTAGCAATTGTATCTTTGAAGGTGTTACAGTATATAATGGGCCTAATGTTAATTCTCCCGTACTCGGGGCATTCTGTGGTAAAACATTGCCACCTTATTTAATATCGCGTGGCAACAGTCTCTACATTCTGTTTCGATCCAGTGTATTCTTAACGGACACCGGATTCAGCTTGACTTATACCACTGCATCGTCAAGTAAGTACAAAACATAATTTTTCGATTAAGATTTTACGATTTCAGATTTATAACATGTTGCAATTGTGTCCTGGTAATGGATATCAATTTAGTTTCATTATGCTCTATACGCATAAAAAAAATTACAAAGTTCATAATATTATGAGCAAATAACAGATTTGATATGAAGTCCAAGGCTTAGCCAGAAAGCTCGTTTTGATCTATACCTATTCTTACGGAGATAAATAAATTTCTGCATTGCTCTTATCTGATTTTAGCTTGCGGTGGATCACTTTCTACGCCAACTGGAGTTATTACTTCTCCCAATTATCCTAATTTCTATAGCGTTAGTACTGACTGTGTGTGGACGGTTGCTAGACCGCCTGGCAATAAGCTTGAGATATTATTTACCGATATGGATTTGGAACAAAATGCTAATTGTAGCTATGATTTCGTTGAGATTCGTGATGGTTCATATCCTACCTCTCCGCTACTTGGACGTTATTGTGGAAGTAGTAAACCGGCTTTGATTAAATCAACTTCGAATCACATCAGAATTTTATTCCGATCAGATGGGAATCAAGTTTCTAAGGGTTTTAGATTGCAATATACCGGAGGTAGGACACCAGCTTATTTATCAATATACTGTATTTGAGTGCTTATGAATATACAGTAATATTAAGTTTACCGAATGCATATAATATCTTATACAATACATCTGGCGATGATATTAGTAATATTTATTACTGTGGATAGAAGCCAATAATCTATAAATATAAGATAGGTTGTTAAAGCTTATCTATCCAATTTTTATGATTTAAAATTCGATGTTTTAGATTGTGGTGGAACATTAACCGCCAGGAACGGTTTTATTGCAAGTCCAAATTATCCCAATTCATTTAACAATCTAGTTAACTGTACTTGGAGAATACAACTCCCATTTTATTTAAATGTTACTGTTTCAGTCACGAATTTTAATGTTCCATCGCCAGATACTAATCGATGCCCCAGTGATTTCCTGGCTGTAGGAAGTGGATCTGATCCTAATAAGGGTTTAATTTCTCGGTTGTGCGGAACAAGTGTTCCAGCACCTATCTTAATAACATCTTCTTCGGCACGTGGTAACGTTTGGATACGATATTTTAGCGATGGTTTTAATCAAGCTCCTACATTTAGGCTTGCATATACATCATCAGGTATTTAATTATTGCAACTTTCTTTTGTAATGTTTGGCATCTGTCAAAATTGAATTCTGTAATGATCATGTTTTTGCTACATTATAGTATGCGGTGCACGTCTATCTGGAAATTCTGGTACTTTTAGTAGTCCGAATTATCCCAATAATTATACACCGAATGTGGGTTGTGAATACAGTATTGAAGCACCTTTGGGTAAAGCAATCCAAGTTCGCTTTAGTACCTTCCAATTGGGCGGTACTGCGTGCTCTTCGAGCATAGAAGTTCATAATGGGCTTAGTCGTAGTAGTCCTACACTTGGAATCTATTGCAACAATAGAAATCCATTTACTATAACTTCATCTGGAAATCGTATGTGGCTGCTCTTCTTATCTGGACCAACGGCTGGCAGAGGGTTTAATGCAACTTATACGACAACATCTACCAGTAGGTTTTGATGGATCGATAAATTTTGTAATTAAAAAGAACTAGATAAGTAAATGCTGTATCTACGTAGAAAACTATGGGCACTTAACCACCTTACTACTGGGTAAAATTAAGCATAGTCGTGAACCTCTGCTAGTATCTACTCTCCCTAAGATATTTTTTCTCAGTTACGGATAATTGTCAATTTATGACTATTGTAGGTGGTACTGTTTTGTAAATCAATGTTAAAGCTGACTATTGCGCTTATGCAATAATGTATTGATATTAGATTCCTATATGGTGCCTGTAGTCTCTTGAACTTGTTAAAGTATTGTTTCTTAACTATATGAAATGTTATATTCTTAAACCGTAGAATGTGGTGGTGCCTTTACATCGCGTCATGGTTCTTTATCATCTCCTAATTATCCCAGTAACTATGGCGCAAACGAGGAATGTATCTGGACTATCACAGTTAGTCCGCACAACATTGTACAGCTGAGCTTCAACAGTTTTAACATCGAGGGTACCAATAATGTCTGCAAGTAAGTTTGTAATTGAAATAATAATTATGTCAATTTGGAATCAGTGGTGGCCTATTTTAGTCATATCTTCACTTCCTTTAATGAATCTTTTCTGTATGTTTCTATTAAGTAATGACTATCTAGAAGTTCGTCAAAATTCTTCGACAGGCGCTTTAATTGGTAGATACTGTGGCCATAATTTACCGGGAACGGTTAGATCGCTTGGTAATAAAATGTGGATTAAGTTTGTTTCTAATAAAGCAGTTCAAGCTAAAGGTTTCCATGCGACCTACACTACAGGTTAATTAAGCATTTTTATCTGTATATGCATTTGTAAGAATTTCTAATTTTCAATTTAAAGTTTATTTTAAAAAATTGGAAAACATGAGGTTACTCATTTATAAGACATTTATTTTTTGCTTAGCCTGCGGCGGTATTTTATATGCTGCAAAAGGTGGTGTTTTGGCATCTCCTCATTACCCCAGCAATTATGATAATAGAAGCTTCTGTACTTGGACATTGACTACGCAGCCTGGTTTCGTTTTAACGTTAACGTTTACAAACTTTAATTTGCAGCAGAGCACTGGCTGTACAGCAGATTTCCTTCAGGTACAAAAATTTACAATGTGTTCAATATATACCTACTACGGTATTTAATTTCATTTTATTATTTACCTGTATAAATATTATAATTGCTTACATCATCTGTAGTTAGATTACTATAGATGTAGTAATTTGAATGAGATTTGTTTACATATTCTTTTGTACTCGATTACATTTAAATAACTATGATACACACCACAGTTAATATATCGATTACCTTGATCCCATCTTGGACGAATAGTTTTTTGGCTGACAATTTAGTTGGAACAAGATAATTGTTGTCTCATCATCGATAATTGTAGTTGTTGCTTATTGTATTGTTGGAAATAGAAGTCAAATCTTGACTCTCTTTCACATGAAGTAATTCATATTGATATTGAATCAGAAATAATATATTAGAGAATGTGGCAAATATTTAAACATTTAGTTATGTGCGCTCTTAATTAAGTATATAAGTGGCTAATATCAATTTGTCTAAATTGTACCGTAGATTAATAATGGACCTGCGTCGGGCTCTCCGTTATTAGCCAAGCTGTGTGGATCTACCCTGCCTGGGCCTTTTACTTCAAGTGGTGACGCTTTGTATCTTATGTTTAGAACTGACACAAATGTAACTGCTCCTGGATTTAGATTGGTTTATAGCTCACAACTTAACAGTAAGTGTTTCACATATAAAATCCTCGATAGAAGTTGTCATTGTTGATTTTAAGAGAAATTGTATTTGTCTTATTCCTTTCATTCTAGCCTGCGGTGGAACATTAACGCGAGACAGAGGTATTATCGATTCTCCTGGGTACCCAACCACATATCCTCCAGATGTAAATTGCGTTTGGAGAATCAATGCCCCAGCCGGAGATACAATTTTGATTTCCTTCGTATCACTTAACATGTCTAACAATTGTGCGACAGATTATATTGAAGTACGGGATGGCAATTCTAACAATGCGACTGTTCTTGGAAAATATTGTGGTACTACCGTACCAGCAACGTTTTCATCAACTGGTCAATACATCTATGTTAATATGAGGACTAGCGCTAATGGCTTCGGTACTGGTTTTCGTCTCTCCTATGTCATTGGTAATATAAGATTTTCTTGACCATAACATGTTGCTATCAGTACAGAATGTAAAGAAATCGCTGGAATTGATGGACTTACCCTTAGTAGATCACTACTAAAAATAAATATTAAAATTTGTGTTTTTGCTCTTACAAAAATTTAGTGTTGTTTCATGCTAATTTGTAATTTAGGTTGTGGTAGCGCACTAACAGCTAGTACATCGCCTCAATTGATTCAATCACTAAATTATCCTAATGCCTATCCAACGAATAAACTCTGCAATTGGCAGATTACGGCCCCGGCTGGTGTAAGAATTAATTTGAAATTTAACGCATTTGATGTTAGAGGAAGTTCTAAGTAAGTTTAGCCTGATATAATGTTATAACATGATGCGTTTACGTAAATCTTGTAGTATGGTTTTTATTAGTTTAACAGTTTAAAATTCTAGTCATGAGAGTGATTAAAGCTAGTAACGAACAATAATTTTTATTGTTTTATAATAATATATAATTATACCTATATCAAATTTCATGATTACTTGATAATATCTATTATGGCATCTACTGTAGTGGTTGCTTTGGTGATTACGTGGAAATTTTTGATGGGCCTACTATTGGAACACCACGTCTTGGCATATACTGCGATGGCAATGCTCCGAATTCTCCTATTGTTTCATCAGGAAATTCAGTTTGGATTAGATTTAACAGCGATAGAGTAAATACTGGTACAGGATTTGAGTTGGAATACCAACAGAGTAATCAATCTATAGTTAGTAAGTATTTTTCCTATATGTATCCGATATACGTATTTATTTATCGTGTGAAAAACTTCATGATAACTGTTGATTTTTTGTATAATATTTCAACTTAGCTTGCGGTGGTTTACTAACGAACACAACTGGCATGATACTATCACCCAATTATCCCAATAATTACCCTAACAATGTCATTTGTAGATGGTCTATTCGTGTCCCATCCTATAATCACATTATCTTGACCTTTAATTCCTTCAACCTTGAAGGAGGAGCTAATTGTCCTGCTGATTCTTTAACGGTCATGGATGGAACATCACCGTTTGCAAGAACGTTAGGCAAATTCTGTGGATCGCAAATACCAGCAGCAGTTCAATCATCAGGCGACCAAATGTTACTTATTTTTAATTCTAATTTTGGAGCCCCACAAAGTGGTTTTAATGCATCTTATACTATAGGTTAGCATTTATCTATCAATATAAAAGATATGTACAAACTTTTATCAAAAGATTCCACCTCAAACTTTTCATTTGATTCCTATTAATAGGTTGCGGTAGTACTTTAACTGGATTCGCTGGTTCTATTTCATCTCCTGGCTATCCTCGTGCTTATGGCAGAAATGTCAACTGCACCTGGATTATCAGCCAAACTGTTGGACGTACTGTTCGCGTTACTTTCTCTACTTTCCACATACGTACTACTTCTAAATGTAGTGGAGATTATATCGAGTTTAGGAATGGCGATTCTTTATCGTCACCTATCATTGGTGGTCGTTATTGTGGTGATACTGCACCATTGCCAATCCAATCATCTGATAATAAATTGCTTGTCCGCTTTGTTTCGGGTGCATCTGGAGGAGGAGCTGGTTTTAGGCTTAGTTACCAAGGGCAGCAATTGGGTTAGTAAATCATCATTTCTTTTGAAGTTACTCCAGTTTGCTTACAATCTATAACGAATGTCATGATAGACTCGTATTATAATACAGTATGCATGATAATTGCATATGTTAATTTAAAAAAATCGTTTAGTTATAAAGGATTAGTTAATTTGCGCCATCGGTTTTGATCTTTTATTATGTTTTTTCTCTCTTTTTTATTATTCTAAATTAGCTTGCGGTGGTACATTTACTCTCGGCTCAACTCCATTTGATATTACATCACCTAAGTTTCCACAAAATTATCCCTCTAATGTTGAATGTGAATGGACTATCAATGCACCAGCCAACGAAAATATAGCTATCAACTTTAAGAATTTCTCGCTAGAAACATCGAATAAATGTTTCAACGATTACGTTGAAATTCATGATGGACGAACCGCGCGTGATCCACTTCTTGGCAAATTCTGCTCTACATCCTTACCACCCATGGTCTCTTCCACCTATAATTCAATATATATCAAGTTTAGATCTAACTTTGGCATTGTTAGTACCGGATTTTTGGCGACATTATCACTCGGTAGGTTGCATAGCCTGAGTCAATATCTGAGTCTGCTAAAAATCAGTGCTTTTAGATACGTAGATAAATATTTCATAGAATAGTGAGTGGATGAAAGATATTAATTATTATCACACAGTATGCCATCTTAAAGTCTTAACTAGAGTGCAGCAATGATATACTTTTTAAATACTGGCTTAAAGATATCCATCCATGCCAAAATAATAAGCCACTTAACTTTCCATAGCTATGATATCCTTTTTACGTTAGTATTCATAGACAATTTAAATACTTGAAAGGTTTAGTAGCGATAATGCAATAATAGCAAAACTGATATGCTGCATTGCCTCGTAATTTTCTTTAGATAGTTTTTAATTAACAAATTCGATACTATGAGTGTTAGGAAATCTATATAGATTGACATGTAGAATTAAATTTGTACTTGAACCAGTGAGGCGATTTATGCAATATAATCTGGTTCTACTTGTTGTATATACAAATTTAGGCTGCGGAGGTTATCGAATTGGTCAATCGGGCACAATCAGATCTAATGGTTATCCAAATGATTATAAGAACAATCTAAACTGTTCTTATGTCGTACAAGTTACAAGAGGTCACACCATGAACATTACTTTTAATGATTTTAGTTTACAAGGTGGCGTTGGTTGCCCAAATGATTATGTTATGGTCCGTGATGGTAAAGATGCTTCTGCTCGTCTTGTTGGTAAATATTGTGGTACTAGTACACCTCCTGGCTATACTTCATCTAGCGATCATGCATTTATTAATTTCGTCACGGATAGCAGCATTACCAACAAGGGATTTAGCCTTCGTTTTGCCCAAACTAACTTTGGTGAGGAGATAGGCAGTAGTAGCCACTGAGTGTTCTTTATCTTTAGCTGTAAAATAGAATAAATTTACTCCCTTCAACACTCGCCTTAAAAACAACAGACCTTGTATGACACTATTTTTACTGATACATAATTTCTGGAATCATGCAATTGAAATAATGTTGATGATTTGTAAAATTTATGTATATACGTCTTAATGTATCTTATTTTATCTTTAGTTTGCGGTGGAACGTTAACGACTTCTTCGGGTGCTATTACAACTCCTAATTATCCTGGTGGATATCCGTTAAATGTCCGCTGTACATGGGGTATCACCGTTCAACCTGGTCGTGCTGTGCGATTACAATTTAATAATTTTAATTTTCCACAAACTTCTGGTGGATGCACTGCTAATCATCACGTTAGAGTCTATTTAGGTGGATCAACTACGGATTCTCCATATGTCGATTATTGTGGTGGTAATCTACCCCCTGTAACAACTTCAAGCGGTAATAGAATGATTGTTGTTTTCGATTCAACTTTGGGTTCAACAGATAACCGTGGTGGATTTAGCGCTTCCTATACATCTAATGGTGCAGGTAAAAATGACGTTAAAATTTATCACATTAAGAGTTAATATACTGTACAGTAATCCTTATAGTTCTAGCTTATTAATTATCATTTGATTAGCTAGAATGATCTTGATATTTTATGTTTAATCTCCTTAACCGACAGAGGAAAGCGCTTATTGCAGCAACTTTAGTCATAGTTGTGACTATTTCTATCATTACTCTATAATCCTGTTGATTAACATACTATATTGGTTCATATCTTTTACAGTAGTTATTAATATTTTAAAATTGCTATATTGACTTTAATACACATATCCCACAATATACGAATACTGTATAAGGTGAATTCTACTCTTCTATCTCATTATTCTAAAATCGTTGTATTCTTCATTCGTTTGTTCATTTGTTCAAAAATCTTTCAATGTAATGCGCTAAAAAACTTTACTACCGCTTCAATCATCGACGATTAGGATGTGGTGGAGTAGTTACTGGTGCCCTTGGCATTATCCGATCGCCAAACTATCCATCAAATTATCCCAATAACCTAGATTGTGTTTGGAATGTTAATGAACCAAATGGGACCGTTTCACTTATTTTTACTACCTTCCGACTTGAAGCTAATAGTGGAGCATGTGTAACCGATATTGTTCAGGTAATTATTTTATAATTTCTTTGTAGATAGAGTTTTTGCTTAGATATTGTAACATATACAATCATTATAATTATTGACAGTAGATACATGTAGGATTTTAACCATAGCACCATATCAATAAGAAACTATAGCAATATCAAATCGATTTTTATACATGTGTATATCTTTACATAGTACATTTTTAACAGGATTAAATCTTAAAGTTCACTCTCCTATTTGAGGCTGTTAAAGATAATCATTTTGGCTTCATAGTCAATACGTGTGTGTTAGCAATTTAGGAAGCAGATAGTACTTGTACCTGCCTCTCTTCTAAACTGCAGCCGCTTAGATTCGTTCAACTACAGTGTTTCCCATCTATCTTTTCATTTAATTGGTATCTAGGCCAGCTCAGGCAGTTTGAATTGTTAAGATTTATAAATTTTATATGTTGATATACGTGTATATTTTTAAGGTATTTGATGGGCCTAGTACCAGTTCACCATCACTTGGGACGTTTTGTTCCAGTAACATACCAAAGACTCTTATTTCTACCGGATCTCAACTAACCTTAAGATTTAAAACTGATAGTGCTGGCAATAATACTGGATTCCAAGTTTATTATAAGCATGGTCAGTTAATATTATCCACAATAAAAGATTTATCAACTAATTTTTAAAGAAATAGAATTTTTCTGTCATGAAATGTTCCTACAAAGAAGTATATTTAATTTTAATGTCTTCAGGTTGTGGTGGCAGGATTACTGCCGCCTCTGGTAATATCACTACTCCAAATTATCCAAGTAATTATCCTGCAAACTCCGATTGCCTATGGATTTTATCTGTTCCTTTCATTAATGCTATTACGCTGACATTCAGGAGCTTCAACTTGGAAGCAGGGGTATTAAATTTTATTCTTTTTGGAGATAGACTTATTGCCCTTACTTGATGCAAATATATACGAGTAAATTATAATTATCAGTTATCGTTTCCGGTAACGATTAAGAATTGATTGTAAAATATTAATATCCAAAGGTACTGTACGAGCGTTTAATCCTAAATATTGTATTTAATTTATAGCAAAACTGTCAAAACGTTGATTATCTCCGAGTTCGTAATGGCCAAAGTGTTACCTCTCCGTTGCTTGGTACATTTTGTGGTACTACTGTACCAAGTCCAATAACATCATCTGAGAATCATCTTTACATTCGATTTCATTCGGATGGTAGTGCTCAGAAACCGGGTACTATGATGTCATGGACTAGTCAGCATCGAGGTAATTAGATGAATCGCTTATCGGTTGATATATTATTGATTACTAATACATTTCTGTAAATATTCTTATGAAGCTTGTGGAGCTATATTTACATCGCGTCGAAATACCATTTATTCAACTAATTATCCAAGAAATTACCCTGTTAGTACGGAATGTTCTTGGATTATTACTACCGCTCAGTCCGAATATATTTCACTCCAATTTTTCGTTTTCAATATGGAGTCATCACCCAATTGTGCTAACGATTACTTGGCTGTTTACGATGACACTCATGTCCATGCCAAGTTATTAGCTAAATTTTGTGGCTCGGTAGTTCCTCAGCCGTTCTTAGTTCCTACCCATAAGGCCAAATTAGTATTTTCGTCTAACGCTAACGTAACTGGAAGAGGATTCATTATATTTTATGACACAGGTACTGTCTACCTTTTTACTGTTAAGAATAGTAAATATTTTCTATTGTGATCGTGTAAAGTTCCATATTAGTATTGAAAATTGATTTTAAACTAATCAAATCATTTTAGTCTGTGGTGGTAGTTTCAACGGTAGTTATGGTACTATCCAATCCCCAAATTACCCTAATCAATATCCAGCAAGGCGTGATTGTCGATGGGTAATAACTGGTCCGCCCGGTCAAACGATATCATTAAAGTTTAGTCCAACAAGCTATGGTTTGGAAGCTAATGCAAATTGCATCTACGATTATATAGAATTAAGGGATGGAGCAAGGTCTAATGATACATTATTAGGTAAATTTTGTGGAACAAATGTGCCAGGTAAGATAACTACTACTGGTAATGTAATGTACGCTCATTTCCACTCCGATGGCAGTCAACAACTTACCGGATTCAAAGCAACCTGGCAAGCTTGTAAGTCAGTAATTTAATGATCATTTGTTGGTTTATTCAATTTTTATGCAATGTAGCTATTATTAGTAATTATCTTTATTAGTACTGCATGTAATGCTTAGTTTTTAATTTTTTCTTTGATTCTGGTAGCATGTAATTATCATTACACAACATCAAGTGGAACCTTTACAACGCCTAACTACCCTAACAATTATAGACCTGAACAAGATTGTTATTACACCATCACTGTTGCTACTGGAAATGTTATTACGCTATCGTTTGCATCTATTAACGTCGCATCAGGTGTTCTATGCGAAAATGATTACGTAGAAATCAGAAGCGGATTAAATTCATCTGCACCTTTAGTTGGCAAATTCTGTGGTAACAATTCGATAGGTGAAATTATATCATCTGGCAATTCTATGTACATACATTTCCACAGTGATCAATCTACGGAAGCTAGTGGTTTTGCTGCCCAATATACTTCCGGTCTAGGTAATGCAATTTGTCTCTTCAATCATTAAATGCGATTGATCCGTACCCTGTATTGCTTTATTTTTTATTTTAACTGTTTATTTACATTTTTATTGATTCTATATACAATAAAGAACTTTGCAGTTGTACTATAGCTTCGATGAAATCATTAACTAACTAACTGCTGTAATTTACTATCAACTAGGGTGTAATCAAGATTTTAATACGGAAAATGGTACTTTCCAGTCACCTGGTTACCCATCCAATTACGCTTCCAATCTAAATTGTATTTATAAAATCCAGTCATCTGGATTCAGAAGACGTATCTCACTTACTTTTACTGACTTTGCTCTCGAATCATCCAGCGCTTGCGTAAATGATTATATAGAAATCAGAAATGGCCCATATCAGGTATATTCAATTTTTGGCATGCTATCATCTAACGATTTTTATGTCGTAAAACAGACAAGGATAACTCTTGATTTACAAGATTATATTTTCTTGATTTCATGCTACGACAGTCATCACCATTATTGAATAAGTACTGTGGTTCTACCGCGCCAGCTACAATTCTTGCAACTACAACTAGCTTGTGGATTAAATTTCATACAAATGCAGCATCTAATATGAAAGGTTTCAATGCTACGTGGGTAACTGTACCAGGTATACTGTTTAACTGATTACAGTATTATTATTTGATTTAAAGTGATTTTCTTGTGTATTATACCAATTTTAGGTGTAAATAATAACTGCGATTAAATTAAAATTTTTCGATATTTCTAAGTTGAATTTACTATATTTCTATAAATGGTATCCATTACATTAGTAAATACAGAAATTAATATAGTTTTCTTCGCTACCGTTGGTACTTACCATAAGTTAAGAAAAGAACATAGAGTGCTAACTTACCTATACTCATTACAATCGCTAAATGTATTGAAAAGTTCACCAAATTTATAATTTGTGATAGGATGTGGTCAAAATGTTACAGCTACTACAAATCCACAATTCATCACCTCGCCAAACTATCCCAATAACTATAATAATTACGCTGATTGTCGCTACTTTATTTCTGCTCCTGTTGGCAAACAAATCTTTTATAGCTTTACATCATTTTCAATGAGTCCCAGCGCTTTCTGCAATCAGGATTATATCGATTTATTGGAAATAAGTTCACAAGGACCTTACAATATCGGTAGATTCTGTAATCAATATTCACCTCAACCAGCATTTAGTGCTGCAAATCTGCTGACTATGTCTTTCAAAAGCGATGCGTCTAATACTGATTCTGGTTTTAACATGACTTATTATATTAAAGGCAAGTTATCGGAAAAGTTAACTGCTTACAGCTTCTTGATCTTTATAATTCATCATTAATACAGTATTATAAAAAATGATAAGAAACTGCATAATAAATTTAAATTTAAAAAATTAACTTTAGTGTATTTCTTTGCTTACTAATATATAAAAAAAATTAAAATAATTATTTTAATTTAAATACTACTTTATAGCCTCTAGTATTGTCCAATGATATCATACTATTTCTGATATTTAAGTATGGTATAGCCTTTGTGGTCATCAAATTTTAACAGATTGTGTGTTTCATCGTGTAGATTGTGCACTCACTTACACCGGAGATGGTGGTCGTATTGTATCTGAAAATTATCCACAATCCTACCTAGGCAACGCAAATTGTACCTACAAAATCACTGTATCAAGCGGTGTTGTCGTTATGTTCTTTACCGATTTTGAGTTGGAGCAATTGTTTAATTGCAATGGTGATTCATTAACTATTTACGATGGTTCGTCAGCAGCATCTCCATTAGCTGGTCAATACTGTGGCTCATCGTTACCCTTTACATTTGCCTCGTCGACTAATTCGGTCTTTATGCGGTTCCTCACTGATAAAAATTTCCATAGGAGAGGATTTGATATTTCCTATATGGCTAGTCTTGATGGTAAGATCAGTGAAGCAATCGTAACTCAATTCGATAAATATTACTAACTCATGTCAATTTTACTACTACTGATAAAAATTATGGAGATAGTGTATAAAGTTATTATTTTAATTAAACCAATAGTACGAATTAAGGTTTAATGGTATTGTATAAACTGAATAGTAATTCTATATCTGTATATTTTATTCGGAAGTATTTTGTATTAAAATTATCACATTAATTAAACAAATGATGTTTAGTGAGCAGTACTTTAATTACTGAATGAACTAAAATGGAATAGATACTTCAGTTATGTGAAATGAAAAAATATCAAGATATACTTTTTACGTTTTATTAATATCATCTTTTATGATTGAGCTAATAATATGAATCAGTATTTAATGGTATTTTGCCTAATGTGTAAACTGAAAACTAATGAATACCATTTCTGCGCACTATAAAGAATTGACTAGGAATATTTTCAATATTACAAGTGGCATATTAATTGGGTCAATAGTATGGGCGTCTATTAGCCGTGTTCTATTTACTTTACAAACTGAATGATATAAGTACTCTAACTGCAGAATAGAAAGAAAAATATTAGAAATATTCTGTTTGGCTGACTAGATCATTTCTTTGGTTTTTCCATATCTTAAGCAAGAGTAATGTTAGCTAATGTTATTTTCTCTTTCTTCTCTTTTTATAGGATGTAGCGGTACTATTACTGGGCCTACTGGCAGTCTTACATCGCCAAATTATCCGTTCACCTATCCTAATTCGACTACTTGTACAATGAATATCGATGTCCTATCCACTAGACAAATTACAGTCACTTGGACAGCTATAAATATCCAGCAGACACCATCTTGTGATAGCGATTATGTCGCACTGTATAATGGGCAAGATACTAATGCACAACTAGTTGGAAAATATTGTGGAAGTAGTTTACCATCAGTCTACACTACTACAAATAGACATTTAACTGTTCTTTTTGTATCTGATGAAGTGATTACCAGCCAAGGTTTTAGGCTTACTTATACAACGACTTGAATAAAATAAAATAGATGTTTTTGCTGGTATTCAATATTTCAATCTTATCCTTGTCCCAGAATAAACAACTTACATGATATCTAGAATAGCCAATATCCATGACTGACCATAGCATTCTAATCAATTGCTTGTTTATTATCATTATTATTTTAATTCTATATCCTAAATAATCATGATATTATTCATTTAGGCTCTTTTTTTAGTTATTTTAAGCTGCGTCAAGTGGTATTGAATGATAATAATAATATAATCTATTCAGGATGATTTTAACACAAATTCATTCATCTGAATATGCATTTTATTTGGTAATACGCGCAGTAATGTGGAATTTATTATATCTCATTCTAACACTATCAACAGTATTGCAAATTACATTAGACTTTTTTGCATTTATTTATATACTCGTATGTTTAACCGATATGCGTGTGGATGTATATTATAGACGCATTTCGTAAGCTTGCAATACTGCATATCGCAGTTACCGGAACGCCATGTTTATTGGTCGTCGAAGTGATTGCAATATATTTATATCTTTCGTATTTTGTTTGTGGCGTCGATGTGTTCACCATGTTTGAGATACCCCAAGATTACTTTTTCTTTCTTGCTTTTTTCTCTACCTGTTCTTTCTTCGTGTTACTGTGGTCTATTAATTGTTTCGTTTGGTCAATTTTATATCTGTATTACGTTCAATATGTATCTCTATCTAGGCTATTCGGACAGGATAGTAATTTATAATTTAATACATTTCCTATTCTTAACTGTATGTATCAAGATAAGAATACTGAATAAATATGCAAGTCTATCTTTATGCAGGAGTGCGCATGAATGACTATGAATGAATGTAGATTAGTTTTTAAGCTACAAAACAAACTTGTAGTCCTAAAAGAACAGTTCTTTATTTTTCTTATAAGCATATACTTACTACCTGTAGTATAACCTTGTAGTAAGCGTTTAAATGACAACAATTGTTGGAGGTTAAAATCTGTTCCTGTTCTACAAGTACAGCAGTGACTGGTATTAATATCTGCTAGAAATTTTGAAAAATTAAAAAAATGTTAAGGAATAGCCAAAAAAATTTTCCGCGATAACTTAGTGATTACACTGATGTAGTAATTGAATACCAGTTAGTAAAGGAATAAAGTTAAAAAGTCACAGGCTACTATAAATGTGGATCAAAATATCCAGTAAAGTACTGTACAGTATATGTATAAGAATACTACAAGGAGCAAAAAATATGACTCAAGTAGTTTAGTATATTGTACAGTTAGAATCATTTTTCTGGTGATTGTACTTGCTCTAAGTACGATTGCAAGAGGTTTAAATCTATCATAGTATCAGCACATTAGTCGTTCTAAGTCGATGGAAATACAGTAACAGGTTTTGCAGTTGAAGTAGCTTCATAACACAACACAACTTGTGTTATGTTATGAAGCTACTTCAACTGCAACTTACACAACAGCTAATAAATTATAACAAGAAAATGCTGTAGTCATTCCGGTTAGCCTCAATGTACTAAAGAGAAACTTGTGTTTAGTTGTGTGGTATATAATAGTAAATAAAATGAATTAAAGAAGGGAAGTTGATGAAAAGTGATCGGTATACGCATACGAGTAGATGTACGCGTATATGATTAGATAATAATTTCGCGTTGATTACTGGGATTAAATTATATCAACAGCGCAATTAAATCAACATTTTAATTCATCTTCGTACACTAGCTCATTATATTTATTTCCTGGCGTTTAATCTGTAGTGAAATATCTACTGTAGATGCTAATCTATACCGAACAATATTTATTAGGGCTTATTTGCCAATAACAATTCTAAAATAGTATCGCCTTTAGAAATGGAATATTGAATAAAACAATAATATGCGTCATTTGATGAATTTAATGGCTATTATATGTTCATTCAGGTGCATGAATACTACAAATGTCTGCGACGATGGAAACTCATTATTTATCTAAGATAGAATCGCCTTTAGTGATGAGATATTGGTATTTAATAAATAGCATACCTTATTCTATGATTTTAACGGGTACGATATACGAGTACTCATCTAGGTATACGACTACTTTAAATTTTTGCGATGATGGAAATCCCCATCCTTCATTACACGTAACCAAAGACAGAATCCCTTTTAATAGAGAGATGGGATATTTCATGAATGACGTGCATCATTTCATGATTTAATGAGCATGATGTACTTACTCCTTTAGGTGTATGAATACTGCCAATTTTGCGATGACGGAAACCCCCATCCTTCTGTATGGACGATTAAAGGCAGAATCATTTTTAACTATATTAATAGAGATGGGATATTTCATGAATGACATGTATGATTTCATGATTTTAATAGTTACGATATACTCGTTCACCGATTTGAATCGACTTTGATTTTTGAAGCGAACCTTAGATACATCTAGGTGGATGAATATTACAAATGTCGGAAATCACCTTTTAATAAGGATGAGATATGCATTTCATGGATAACATGCTGTTTAACATTTCATGATTTTAATGATTACGATATTCTCATTCACCGATTTGAATCGATTTTAATTTTGAAGTAAACCTTTAACACACCTAAGTGGATGAATATTACAAATGTCTGGGATAATGGAAACCCCTAGCCTTCATTACACGCGACTACGATAAAATCAGAATCACCTATATTTTTTTGGATAACTGTATGAAAATCACCTTCAACAGAGATAATATTTTTCATGAATAACATGCATCACTTCATGATTTTAATGGCTACGATATATTCATTTACCGATTTAAATCGACTTTTAATTTTTGAGGCAGACCTTTAATACATCACATCTAGGTGTATGAATACTATAAATGTCTGCGATGACGGAAATCCGCCATTTATTAAGCGCGATAGCTCTAGCCATAGCGCCATGTCGTGTTCTTTATTAATTATGTTTCCGATCATCCAAGTCCGGTGTCCGCTGTCCCACTTCAGGTGTACAGTGTACAGTACAGTCTACCATGTACTGTAGCACTGTAAGTGGCCTTTTCTTGGCACTGAACGCTCCTTTGCTTCAGATCAAGACGCACGCGCAAATATTTGGCGGGAAGATCGAATGCTATCATCTTATTGGAAGCGTATAAAGCTTCACCCACGGTAGTTTCAGCCTATTTCGATCGACCTCTTCAGTGAATTCAATCGTCACTGGCCAGGATTCCACCGCCACATCCAAAGAAAATTGCCATTAGTGAAAATTTCCTGCAGTCCTTTACTAATTATTTCCAACTGTTTCCTTCTGGATTTTAATCTTGAACATTAAATCAATCCGACTTAAGTAGTAGGCAAGAGTAGGGCCTATCTTGTAAAACTAGTTGTACGCGTATTTCCTGCAGGATTTTAATCTTGAACATTGGATCTATACGGCTTGAGTAGAAGCAAAGAGTAAGGCCTAATCTTGTACCAACTCCAAATTGTCTGGATATGGATGCATCCCTTGCCATTGACGGGATTAATAACGAGTTAGTTGCCACTATAAGTTATATTGGCTATTGTGAAGACGACCAATATGTCTTGGATAAAGATTGCATTTGTAAGTTGTCAATGAAACGTCGTTATTTTGATGCATTGATTGATTGATTGGTAGTGTAGGGTGATGAGAGCGATGATGAATTGGGTCAGTTAGGTCCTATCCGGCTGTAAAATTCACTTGCATACTGTAAAACTGCGTTATACAGGCCAAGAACGGTCATTACTTCAACGATCGATATCCTATTTGCAAACATTTTTAGAATTTCCTTGCTAGAATGGCGTGGTAGAGACTTTCTGTAACACAAGTTGTCAAGGATACGTTGTCATTTTGATGCATTGATTGATTGATTGATAGTGTAGGGTGATGAGAGCGTCGACAAATTGGGTCAGTTAGGTCTTATCCGGCTGTAAAATTCACTTGCATACTGTAAAACTGCATTATACAGGCCAAGAACGGTCATTACTTCAACGATCGATATCCTATTTGCAAATACTTTTAGAATTTCCTTGCTAGAATGGTGTGGTAGAGACTTTCTGTTACAAAATAAACATATCATTCACTGAGATTCATACAGCATTAAATCGTAGAAATGAAACGAATGACCTTGTATTCTACCGAGGTCTTAGATGGATGTACACGTACATGGGATATCAGCCTTGGTAAGGGTACTCTTCTATCAATGTCCTTGTACCACTTTCAAGTCGGCTAGAATGTTCCACAAAGTCAACGACTTTAATAGGATTAAAAGTATCAATGATGTGCAATGATAAAATTGGATTAAATTCAATCCCTTCAATGCCTACATTAACCTACTGTATTTCTTGATGAAAGAAATGAAAGTCTGGGTATAAAATTCACTTGATTTCCCTCTAGGCAGTTCATTTGCGTTTCTGAGATCGACTTTGAATATCAATCTTGATTAAGTTAATAGACTGTAATATTGATTTCTCTGTACTGGTAGGTACTGTACTTTTCGTAGCAGTTAGGAGTAAATAAATCTTACGGTTAACCGCGGTAATTCACTGAATATATACATTTCTACATTTATCCTTTTCTCCTTCGATGATATCGAGGCCTATAAATGTCAATTGCATACACAAGTATCAAATTTCATGGAATAAAATTCCTTCTATCCTTACAGTAACCCATTACTAAGTGAAAAGGAAGTAAATTTCAACTGTAAAATTTACTTTATCTCCTTCGTACTACTTACACGTATTTCATCATTGACGTTTACGTTGAATATATATCACTCTTGGTATATACGGTCTACTGTACTATATAGCTATCGATTCTTCTATACTTTCAAGCCAGCTAGAATGGGTAACGGTTAACAATGTAAAAATTCATTAAAGAGCCATTTACGTTAGAGAACTATGAAAATTTTATGAATTAAATCTCTTCTACCTATGCTTGGAATAACTACCTCTGAACTGAAGGAACTTTGATTTCAATTTGGAATGATTTACTCGTATTTAGAAACTGCCTTACCTACGATATATTGCAAATTAAGCCTTTTAATAACTATTCTTAATTTCGATTTTTATAGTGACAATTAAAGATTTAATCCGTTTCTTACGACGAGATGATGATAATCAAGTTGTCCGACGACAGCTTGGTAAATCGTTTATCATCAAAAATGTAAGTAAAGAAAATTCTTAGATTCTTCTATGCAATGTATATATCGACTTCATTAGTCAAATTATTTTATTTTAAAGTCCAATATGGATAACCAATGTTATAAATTTATTCATGATGTTTAGGATTTAATTCCAATTATTAAATGCCACTGGAAAGATGCAGAACTTTTATCCCTAACTATTAGGTCGGTCCTCTATAAAATATTTCTACTACGGATAAACTTGATCTCTGTCGAAATAGTTTAGAAAATCTATAACTATATTTTTAATATGATATAATAGAAAATAATCGTATCCTATACAATATTTTGATCTGTCTAGTATTGACTACATTTTATTGTATATATGAGGTCGCTATATCGGATTTAAACAAACGTTATCGCTTATCTTTAAATGATAATAGGTTAATGGTCAACTTAACTCAACCTGCCATAGTCTGTTTTGATGGAAAAATACCAAAAAAGGATCAAAATCAATCTAGGTATTGGCTTGAAATTGAGAAATACCTTCATGCCTACAAACAGGTACAGTAAAGGGTTCACTCACGATCTTCATTGCATCTAGTGGTTATTAGCGGAGCTGGCAGCTAATGCTAGAACTGTAATAGCAGTAGCGGCGTGTAAACATGATTACCTTTAACGTCTTGAACTACCCCTATGTGGCTAAAATCTAGCAGACAATGTACTTACCTTATGCTCATTATCATTGACTTAAAACTTCTACGATTGATTTATACAACTGACCTTTAAAGTGTATATGTTGACTTGAATAACAATTGGTAGCTGTAAGTGTAAAAGAATTATTTTCTTAACTCAATATTAGGCTTTTAATGATTCCGATTTATGGGCTATCCTGACCCAGCAACTTGGTAAAACCTTGCAAATCGTAAGATATATAGCTTTGGCTTATTTATTAACTACTTACGTAGAAAGTTTGTGCAGTGTCGCGTCTTATTTGAACCTAGTGTTGTGATCATAGATGGACTATATACGGCATCATTCATTATATGTTATCTCTAAAATTTTTAATAATGAGCGATTGATCAAATTTTACAGCCTGTCGATGACCGCGACGATGACGATTTGCTGTTTATGGAAAGATTGCTGTTGCTTATAAGAAATCTCTTACATGTTCCGCAAGATGATAACCAAGAAAATGTAATAATGATGTGAATAGTCCCTGAAGGGAGATTACGTTACCAGCGTTACTTATGTTAGATTCAAAAGGTGGTACATAAAATGTGCGTATTTTGATGGTCGATTCTTTTTGAATTGTAAAATTAGGCCACTAACAGCGATGCCAGCCTTCACGATCAGTTATTATGGTATTAAGACGTTTGTATAAATTTTTACTATGATATACAGTTTAATTAACTGTTTGCTACGTGTCCATATCCTAGGCAAATGCATTCCAGTGGAATGAACGATTTACTTATTTACATAGCGAGTTCTCCACACGAAGTAAGCCTAAAACGCATTATAAACGAATCCCAGTTAGCGATAATCAGATACTAATTTTAGGTAATAATACCACTGTCCTTAGACTATGTGGACTTTACATGTTCTGGAAATGATCTCTCTGATGTTGCGAGATAAGGTACGGTATAATTGTATTGCGGATATTTATTACTATATAACAATGCTGTCTGTTAGTATTTGAAAGACAACCTTACCATTAATCCTTCCATTAATTATTAACATTACAAAGATTTGATATTCAATGCTATTTAGAATTAATCGATTATTTATAGATTGGTGCCATGTAAATAGTTTTGTTTGGGGATCTGCTAATATATACTTAACAATTATCTATTTAACAGTCAGGAGCGCTATTAGCGCGGACAGAGGATACTAAAACGGAAAAGAAAGCTGGATCGAGGTTCTTTAAAGCTTTCAGGGTAAATTTCTGTCATGTTGTGATTAATCAAATTTTACGCCTGAAATTTAGACAGCTAAAAGTAGCCAAGGATGTGGCAGAAGCGGAAAGAAGAAGGAGTGAATATAACATATCTGGAAGGTGTGAAGATAAGCGAATTATTCACGACGTAGCTCTATCTCTCAAATTCAAAAATTATCTTATTCTTTCGCAGACATTCACGATTTGGTGGAAGTTTCTGGGTTAAAGATATGAAAGGGATCAGTGAAAATAATATAGTTTATCATCGCCCGTTAGCCAGTAAGTACAGTACATTACTATACTATTTCTTACTGTAGTCTTAAAAGTTTGAAAAATAGATTAAAACTACATGTCTAGGACAATGTCATATGCATAGTAACATATTTGTGATATAGATGCCAAAAAGATGTCATTTGATTGCAATAAGAGCATTCCTCGAGTTCCTAAAAGGAAACTTCCAGCCGTGGAGCATGCGAGAGTTCGTGAATCACCATTAGTAATAAGGTATTATAACCAGCCTTAGGCTTTTGGTAAACATTTACACACTTTATTATAAATTTCTTTAAAAATTTTCTGGATTTGTATAGGTTGAGCCTTAAAACATTTTGCGTTCAATTTTTGGATTATTGCTATAATTCCTTGATGAATAACGTTCGTGTAAGTAGAATGATTTTTTGTTCTTCTGTGTCTGTTTTCGAATTAGAAGAACTTTAGGATCTAATATCACATCTACTCTTCATTAATATTCTACTAAATTTAATAGAATAAATTGATGCATAACAAATCCCAGCAAAATGACGAAACATATTACTTTAAGATGATGAAGTAGGATTTATTATAGGATTTTTTTAGCAATTTCTGATCAGGTTTGAAATAGGTATTTTATCCCGAAACGTAATATCGTTACATTTTAGGTTTTTCATGGAATTTAATCGCCATAAATCACTTCAAGTGGCATTAATTAGGTTGACAATCTGACGCTCTGTGTTATATAGAACACCTTAGGTTGCAAATAGGCCAAGATAATCTTATATCTACCTTTTTTACCTTAGTGAGACGTTATCAATGCCAATATTCCATTTTACTTGCCAAAATATTTATAATGCCTATGACGGGCTAATAAGTAATAAGGAAGATAGTATTCCATGGGCTAGACGGTAAGACTACATATTGCATAACAAGAATGTCATACTTAGCAGTTGCTAAAGTGTAATAATATATATATATATATATTGGTATATATCATAATGAATATTTACGTCTCTTCCTAACAGGATGCACTATGTCGTCAGTGCTTACAAGGAGTTGCTTCTTAACGTTATAGCTATGGAACAAATTGAAGATCATTGTCTTAATGAGAATGCGAAAATTATAAAAAGTAATAAAAAGTAATGCGATTGATTTTTTTATAAACGTGCTATAATAGTGTCTCTTCAAATTTTTAGGCAATATATTATATATGCCTGAATTCCGAGAGATACCACTTATGCTGCTAACAAAATATGATCCAACTAGGCAAACGAGGTATGTTTGCTACGTGTATATCTTACTTCTCTATTGGTGAAGTGAAGACCGTGGCACCATTATTTAAATACTTATCTTGATTATTTTATCCCAGATCATATCTGATGGAAATTATTACGGTCACTCATATATATTTAAAGATGATTGAAAAACAATGCTCTAAAAATGGTCAAGTAATGGTTAAGGTATATTCGAATTGTAATGCAATTTCGTTATGTTCGCTTTTTATACCTTGTTTATTTGCCCGGAAGCGGCTAAAAAAATTTTATAAAATTTTTAATAATATTGCTCATATTACAACACACATATTCTCAGGAGAAAAAAAGAAAAATGAAAAAGAAGTCAAAGAAAGATTCCGGTAGAAAAATTTTCCCTATCATCAACCTATTATAGTGTTAATATTCTGTCCTCTCTATTAATACAGCCTCTAAGCAGTTGACTGCTGAATGGGAAAACCTATCGAAAGAGATCACTCATACCTTATCAACTTTTGAGAATCTTGAAATATTCATTCCAGCCTTGGATGGTGTGCCTATTTCTGAATTACCGTAAGCTTTATCTGGATAACTGAATTTGATTGTGGACGTACCGTATAGTGCTGTTGTAAAAACTAGGAAGCTATTACACGAGTGCTCATGCCATTCTTTAATTTAGTGGCGCTGCCAAGGAAGAAATCAGGAACTGTTTAGTTGAAAGCCGCTATAGTGAAGCTATAGCTACTTTGAGAATTTGCAGAAATAAACTACCCGATAAAGTTGAAGACTTTGGACAAAATAATGCAAATAACGAAGAAGAATTATTATGCCTTAAAAATATTTATATAGCAAAAGGTATACTATTACTGTACTTTCAATCAAAATTAGTATTACTATGAAATCGATCGTCTATTAAAAGACCGACACTGACTGAATTGTAAAACGTTTTCATTCGACTATGCAATAGAAAACAAGGCGAAAGATATTTCAAGCTCTGAAGGTTGTATACTCGTATTGCTGTTGTTACCAGTACTAAACCTAATGATTATAATGCTTTGTCTAATGTAACTTTTATGATTTTACCACTTATTTTAGAGGAAGACTTTGTTTTACAAAACGGAGTCGAAAAAAATTTTAACCTAATGAACTATTTGAAAAAGTACAGCTATTAACATATCTAGTAGACTTAGCTCGACTAAAAATTCACCCATTTATTTTTTAATCTAATTCTTTGTAGGTTCACTAGTTCGAAGGTCCTAAGGCATTATGTCGATTTATTATCAACCTATGATAAAAATGATGATTCAGTAAATCATTATATCGTAAAATGGTTCTACCGCATTGCGCATGATTTCCGCATGCATGCAATGCTATACCAATTAAGACTTTTCTTAATATTCAATAAAATATTAAGTGAACCACCATTGGACAGATATAAGGTCAATAATATAATTATCAAAATTTTTAAATTTCGAAAAATTATCCAAAGAGTACTTAATGTGTATTTTGTTTATATTCTCGTGATAGGAGCTGGTTACCTTCGTAAATTATATATTGTCGCGGTTTTTTGAAACGACAAAATCAAATCCCGTCGTTTACGTTGAGACTTTGTTTTGGAAAAGTGCTGGCGATTGTTACGAAATTACTGAAGGCTATGGAAGTTTAAGGTAACTTGTTATGACTGAAATGGATTTTTTTATTATCTTGTAATACAGTATGTTACTCTCGTGTATCGTAGTAAAGAGAAGGAGGAACGTAAAACAAAAGGCTTTTGGTCCGAAGAGGAAGAAAGTAAATTAATCGAATTGTATCGAAAACACGAAGATTCTGACGGTTAGTAAAATTACTGATTAATACAATTAAACCTGCATTGTTTCTCAACCAATGCAGGTAAAACTAACGTAGTAAATGCTATTGTCACGTTATAGATATTATCGGTAATATATTGAGCGAATTTGTGGAATTTAGCGACAAGGGCAGGGCTCAGGTTAGCTGTCACATGTTTGCTTAAAATATTAGCATCTGACTTTTGGTTCTTGTTACACCGAACTGCATACTGTATATACCAAATTTGATCTACTTATATGCGTATGTAACCTCATTTAAACAGATACGAAGGAAATTGTTAACGTCAGGTACTGTTACTGATCGTGACCGACTTCGAAAACGAAAGAAAAGTGCACCTGTTCCTGGACGAGAAGTTCGTGCTTACCAATACCTACTATTCACTCGATGTGATACTGATAGGCTTTGTGAGCAAACTGATAGTGTTTTTTTTTAGTTTAACCATGAATCATTGGAAGAATACGAAATTGAAGACCAACAAACTGATAAAGATGCAGATGTTGACGTAGAAGAGTTGCATGATTTAATAAATGATGTTATTACAACAGGTAAGGTGTTCTACATTTTTATGTTAGGCAACATACATACGTCGACTTGAGAAATGCTAGAATTTGTTGCCAAATTAAATAACATCAGCTGATATATGAAATAATTTTTGGGTGATTTAGTAAATAAAGAAGTCATCGATGCTGTGGTACAGTGTCTTCAGTTTGCAATTACTACACGAAAACAAGGAGGTGCGGGATGCATACATATACTCGTATTTCAAATTATTAGATTCTGCAGCATAATTATATTATTATGAAAACAATTGTCGAATCATAGAAAATCAAGATGAAATTGATCTTGAATCAATTATTACCAATAACGAAGAAATATTTAAAAGCGCAGTTACCCAAGAATTGTTATATTTTATTGGATTCTTAAGCAGATTCGATGAAGATGTAATTATACCGATTATATTCCATTGTATCTTGCCATATATGTTGTAACAAACTGATAGTAACCAATGCGTTGTTATCTTTATTAGGATATTATTTGGTATATTCCATCTAGTTATTCAACTAAGAAGTTGGAGTCTTTAAAGTCTACCATAATACAAGGTTTTCTAAGCCCTAATTGTAAAATATTGTCTTTTACTCCATAAGTAGCTATAATCTACCATTTGGATAGAAGGAAAGTGAATCACATCTTTGTAATTATTACTTTTTGCTTTGTTACTGTGTTATTAAGAATTAGACAATATAAATTCAAAGAATATTAACCCGATTGAGAAACGTGAAATCATTGAAGAAATAAATTTCCCGAAATCATTTATGAGCGATGATTCAAGTAGCAACGAGGAAGAGATGGAAGATGATGTAAATACAATTAAGCGAGATGCAAGTAACGACTCCGACAATGAGAGAATAATGATGAAAAGGAAGAAAAAATTACGGCAAATATTAGATAGTGATGATGACGATTGAACTGGAATTAAATAGTAACAGTATATTTTTGAATTATTGCATTCGTATGTACAATGTATAATAATAATCTGCTTCTGATGACGAATTTCTAATAGTAATTTTATTCTTGTCACAATTAGTAAGATTGAATGGATTATAAAAGTAAGTTCTATAATAAACAAATGTTTAAATTGGTAGTTTTATACTTAGAAAGTCTCTAAATGAATCTGTATACTGTTGGCATCCATTCTGATTATTTTGTAGGCATCAAACGTATTTGCCTTCAATTTATAGTATTTATAATGGCTTCACAGCTTCAGCCTTAAGCAGCATTTTTAGTGTGTACCATTTGATATATTGCGTGCGTTTAGATTACGATGATGTTTTACACAAAATATACGATTTATGGAAAATTCATCTATCGAACTCATCTGTATATAGATTCAAACTGAGCTACTGCTTAGCTAGATTAATATCAATTTCAATAAAATTGCTAACTTGATAAAAAAACAACAAATACCATTATTGTAATCAATCGCTAGACAGATTTTTTCGATCATACGAGTATAATAAGGATAACTAATTGCATTTACTATATTTCCTTCCGTATTTTTAACAGCTTTATATGATTTATAAAGAGCCAAATGATTCTTTCATGACTTGCCATGTTATAAGACCCTATTTTAGAGGGAAAGAATGGAAATTAAATAACGCAGATCAAGAGTCAAAAGACTAAGTAACTGTCCATTTAACTTGCCTTCTTGCAAACATCAATTTGCATGCTGACATAATTCATTAAAAGTTCTCGTATATCGTTATCTCTCTGCAAATAAAACCTTTCTAAATCTTCGTTCGCTTTTTCGCCAAAATTTCTAATAATTGAAGTTATTATAAAACAACAAAGTAACTTAAGATTTAATGCCAAGTAGAAAGGATAAAACACTTTGGACAATAAATCCCAAAAAATTCCAGACATTACGAAGGTTCAAAAAGTTGTGAATCAAATTAATTTATTACTTGGCTTCTAGTCGACGTTCATCTAGCGTCTTTTCTAATTCTTTGATGTTATCATCTATAGCCTTTAGTTTATTTTCCTTAATCTCAGGTGCGTCTTCGCCGAAAACTTTATTTTGAACCTTACGCCTAACTGAGCCAAAACCACGGCTAACTTTACCAATTCCACCAACTACATTACTAACCATGGCTGACCGAGGTTTTTGCTTTAATTAAAGATATAAAATTTTTAGATGTAATATATTGTCGAAATTTCTGCATGTACATTCTAATAGTAATAATGATATAATGAGTGACTGATAGAAGGATGGGTAAATTGGTAGAATTGATGAACTGCTTTATGAGAGCAAAAAAGATTAGAATATGCAGTACATTGCACAAGGAATAGCTCTCGTCGGTAACAAATTTAAGCATTATTATACATCATGGGATATGATGATTTGCGGGTCTAATATTAAAAATGCTGCATAAAAATGTAATGTAGCTAAATAAAGTAATTCTTAGTGCAAGTAGTGATCGCAATGAAAAGGGTTAGACACCAGTAAAAGAATTAAATCATAGCTAAGTGTTAATGAAGCTATTGAGTTTTAGCCTCTATGAAGTCAATATTTTAATTATGCGAGCAAATATAGATTACGATGAGCGATTAAAATTATTGGTGATTTTTTTAAGTAATCTTACAGCAACTGATTGGGACGATTCATCTTCTGGGCCCGTTGATTGCTTTTGCTCTTCGCTATCTTCACTTGAATGCTCATCTTGTTGCTCGGCATCTTCATCAGGTTGGCTTACATTATCTGATGTTGAAGATGAAGATTTTGACTGCTATGATTGATAATTAGTCAATATTTTATTATCAGCCTTGTATGATATCCATCGATGAATATTATAGCCATATTTAAAATTTAAACTCTTATAATTACAATGCAGTTGACAAAAAAGATATAATACTGATTAATGTTATCAACATACAGATAGGCCACTTTCATCCCTTAATTTCCTTTTGTTTACTAATGCTTCTTCACTACGTTCGATTTCAAACTGGAGAATTTCATGTTTTTTGGTGATACTCCTGGTCATTATAGCATGAAAAATGTTAAATGTCATAACGTGATCTTACTTGTAGATCAAGTCAATAATGATCGACAAAAAGACCTGATCGAATCCGCATATAACATATATTCCTTAAGTAAATCATGGAAGTTTAGCTCCTCGTCCTCCAAAACGCCGGTAATTGAATCAGAAAAGCTACGAAATATAAAATATGATAGAGTGATTAGTTAGTCATCTGTTCTCTATAACAAAATAATATTGATAGGAAGGAATTTGCGTATGATTATGAAATTAGTATAAATCTAGCTAAAGTAAGTCCAAGTTTATCAAATATCGAGAGTAAGAAACCTAGCCATCGTTCTTGCCACCGTATGCAAAGATGAGACCATTTCTGGTTCCATGGAAGCCCAATCACTGGAAAGGTAAGAGCAAGTAGTAATCAGTTATGCGATAACGATTTTGGCTAAAATTAAAACTTTTATAGAGTTCTCTATTTGTGTATTTTACCTAAACATAGAGCCATAATGACGATGGCCTTTATAAATGAAAAATACCGAATTGACCATTCTCTACAGAGTTTTGAGCGATGATAAATTCATAAGATACCATACATTAATACTCGTTGTTAAAACCAATATACATTAAACTTATTAAATCTTAGCATAACTAGAGCTCTATTGATTCTCATGTTTTAATTATAATTATTCGCAATTTACATGGCGAATTCGAAGGATTGCAGCAATATTATTATGAAGGTTATCCGCATAATGCCTCAAATCACCGAATCGCCTGTAATAGAAAAGTCCAACATCAAGTACAAAATCTTCCTTTCAATCTTATATTACAGCACATTATATGATATAATTGATCGGTTCTAATCTATTCTGATTAACGTTAGATATTACCAGGCTTGATAGACAATAAATGATATAGTTTCTAATATATATTAAAATCTAGATAAACTGCTGAGTACAATGTTTCCTTTTTCAATAAATTAATATCAAGATATTTGATATATTAGATCATGTTTAACCCGTTTAATTGAATATAATCAATATTAAACAACTCAAAAGATATTAATTATATAATACAACGCAATAGTTCAATGCAATTTATGAGATTATAGAGACAAATTCAAATAATTTTTCTTTCCATTCTTTGAAATTATACAGGTAGTTAATACTTAAACTCAACAATATTTCAATCCTTACTTGTCAACTCGTTGTACTCTGAAGTAGGAATTTAACTTATGAATGCGACTATCAGCCTGTATGAAATTAAATTGATTTGTTAAGTAGTTGAGAAAGTGAACTTATTATTTAGTTTAGTATAACATAGCTTTAAAATAAAAGGTTATCGAATGTTTCCATAAATCATTGTAGCTTTCGCACTTACTTTTGATTGAAAGTTAGTTGATTGAATGACTTCTTTCCAGCCTTCTTCCTGTAATACATTAACAAGGTGATGATGCAAGTAAGGAATAATAATCATTCAGCTACAGTAACGATAATCGAAGATTGATAGAATATGATTTTGATGTAGAAAATAACGCTGACCTTTTGTAAGAAAGAGTGAAAAATTCTATCTTGACATAGAGTTGGATGTTGTGCTACACGATGAAGGAATGCCTTCGTATAGGAGGAGCATGGTTAGATATTAAATGAAAATGATAAATCTTGATGTTATGATTTGATAATTATCATTTTTGAATCGTAACAAAGTGGGGTAAGTTGCTATTTTCGAATCACAGTAAACGCTACCTCAAGACCGCTTCTCCTTCTCTCAATAAAATCTTGATCGAATGTGTCTGTAGTGATATTTTTCCAGCTCATATGAAACGATGGTAACTTAGACGTTATAAAAATAAGCCAAGAAAGAGATTATATGTATTTCTTTGACGCGCGTAAACAGTTATCGACGTTATGATACAACTTTAGTATAATGGCGATTTAAATTGAATTTATGGTAGTCAGTCATTTATTAAGATAAATCTTGATTGCCCTACCTTCTTCTCCGGTATAGGTGGGATAATAATCTAAATTATATTTGAGTAGAAGTCAGTACAATTATAAGAGAATCCTTATAGGCAGATTTAGAGTAATAGTTTCGTCTGCTCTTTACAAATTGCATTTATCAATTTTCTATATATTTATATTCAATCAATAGGTAGAAAAAATGATAAACTTACGTATGGGTAAGTTACGTTAAAATAATTTCGCAACAGATCGAATTCACTATAACGTCTCCAAACAGAGTGAGTTCCTTTCTCGAAATCGTCAGGTCCTCCATGGCCCGTGCATCTAATCAAAGTATTATACTAAAATTATACGCTAGATACGTGCTAATTCGTTTACTACATTAGTAATTGACTACAATTTGTTCTGCAATGGCAATGCAGAGATAGTGTCATTAAATTATTTCTCGGTTGATAGATTAAGCTGATGTAAGGGAATTGAAATTTCGATAGTAGCGGTAAACGATCACGAAACTTTCTAATTAAAGTAAAATTTTCTTTCTATGTCAAATAGAACGCGTAGAACCACGAGTTCATAATAATTCTAGTTAGATGATGGAGCTATATTGCATATGTAGATTATATACTGTACTTTGTTTGGACTAGATAGACCATAAAAGTATCTTTTAGCATGTCGGTATTGACCACTCTTTTCTCAGGTTCTGTCACGGTAATATCCATATTTCTTTTTTCTACGTCTTTTTCACTAATACTGCAGTTATTCTCTTGATTTTATAAATTTTTTTCTGATAAGTACTTAAAAGTACGGCGACTATTAAACTGAAGAGTCGAGTCGAATTACTGCATAGATTTACAACAAATACATTCAGATTAGTTCAACTGGTCAGAGACTAGTTAATTTCAACCATATGCTACTCTATTTTATTTTTAACATTTTCTCCATGCCATATTGCCGCTAGATGTCAGTAATTGATGATGATATCATATTATCAATCACTGTTGATTGGTTATTCAAACAATTAATAGCTTGATTAAATATTAATTGCTTATTGCTTGATCATATACTAATTCGTTATAAAGTCGGATATACTAGTATTAAATTAGGGTAATTATTGATATATCTTTATGACGTTTGGGCTGCCAATTATATTAACTGTGAATGTAAGCATAGGCCATCACGCATACTTTACTCTTAAGGCTTGGGAAAATTAATATTATCTGTATTACCTCGGGCAAGTGATTAATTTAATACTGGGTCAAATTAAGTTTTAAGATATTACGTTTGGATGTACTGATCTCGAAATGGAAACCTTGTTAACATATAGATTCTCAACTATGGATATAATATAAGCCATTGCAAAGAATCGGAGAAATTTGACGGTATTTTAAATTCCGCTAACAAGGCAATTTGATACTGGATCAAATTAAATTAAAATTCGCTCATATAATTAAAAATATATATTATACTGTACCATATTAGTCCATAATGCAGTAGCTTATAATTTTTTGGAGCCTAAGAATATTCACTATTGTACCTACGATATCGAATAGAATTTGCTTACAAGGTTCTAGCATATAAGTAGGAAAAACTTAGTTATAGTTCGCCTTGACTTCACTCAGGTCCCCATTGTCTCGATTAAATGATATATCATAGTAAAACTTATATAATTGTTATTTAAACGATAAATTATAATTAGCATAAAATTAACGTTGCAATCGACATTAAGCTCCAAAATGAGGAAGTATCGCATAGTAATTGTATGTAATAAAGCTAAGCATTAAATTCTTGAATTTTTCTGTCCAAGCAGAATATTTTTAGTCATGATTTCAATTGTAGAACAATAAACGTATAAGTTTTACCTTTTTCCCGTTATTCCGATTAATTATAAAATACAAGAGTAATAATCAGTTAAATAATGATACCTCATATTTTGAGATATACTTAGTAGCATAGTTTAATAAAGTATTTATCGTTAGCTAGCACATATTTAAATATGCCACTTCCAATGATTTTCTACCGTCTCTTTAATATACCAATATCGCTGAGAGAATTATACATTATATAAAAGAATTGTACGTTGTAGCTGCACGGGGTACGTTAGGCAGTAATTGAGTGTTACCAGTCGTTGCTATATTTTCACTTAGAGTTTATATTTAGAATATTTTATAAACGATTCAGCATGTAGAAAGATACCAGATTTAGACTTATTGTTTTTGATGAATTATATATGTTGTGACCGCTTGGTACAAAAAATTTTAAATAAATATATATATATATAGGAAAAATTAAAGAGAATGCAGTACAGCAACTATGTTATGATCAACGAACACATATATACTATTGCAGAAGTTGCAGTTACTAATATACATATGCAGCTGAATTTTTTGTCATCAGATTATTATTGTTACCAATGAAATGAAAAGAATGTTTACGCAACATTCCACTATTCCTTGTAATATTAAAATTTAAATTTATCCAGTTAGTATCAATATAGATATTTGCTCCTTGATTGTACAAGATAAGGCGATCATGGGAAATTTAACGTGTAACATCCAAAATATAGATCTATAGGTATATACATATACGCGTATATTCCGAAATTTTAATTGTTCAACATAAGAAATTTTTACTATACCCTTACAACCCGAAAGGATACAATACAATTAATTTAAATCGATCAATCTCTTGCCAATATATATATATATATCGGAAATATCATTAGTAAATTTTATTTGCTATCCAGTATTGTCTAAATGTATTAGTAAAGTAACACGTCATTTTCATGAATAAATTACACTGTAGTCATCCATACGTTTAAGCATGATTTTGTGCATTCTCTAAGCAGGTCTAAGGAGTCGAACTTTATTCTTCAAGAACAATCGAAATTCTTAAAGTATTTGCTCGTAATCTAAACATTGAATCAAAAAGTTTAATTATTTCAAGTTTAATTCAATTTGGCAACAGCTATTCCTAAGGAATAAAGTAAAATCAAAAATTGTAAAAAATATAACCTTTGAGAATCGTTCTTGAACTCTAATATATACATTCCTGGCCTAAATGCATTTACTGTTCCAGTCATCATGTTTATATGTGAATTTGTTACAGCAGCTGGAACTAATGCCTAAGATAAGAAAAATATCAAAAATTATTTTAACACTTTAGACATGAAAACAAAAAGAGCTAATATCAACGACTGAAATAAACTAAAATTATAATATATATACAATTACTTGTTGTTCGCCGTCATTATTTTCCTTGTAATTAATCCCAAATAAAATAGGCTATGAAATAAGAAATCTTCATTAATTATATATGAGCGAGAGCAAATTGATTAATGGCTGATATACATTTGAAGTGTGATGTACAGTAGCTGATATTAATATTTTTGCTCGAATTTTTATATTAAATTTATTTATTTAAGACCGTAAGGATACTAATACTACATAAGTGTAAGTGCTTACAGACCTGCTCTGTAAGAAAATTCCATTTCAATGTGCGATTACTAGTAATATTTAGGGGTATACGAAAGCATTCATTGGCACCAATTTCGATTTGTTTATTCATTGGGTGTGTTTTACATTCGGCTGTTCGATCGGAGGTAGCATCATCGAATTGATCTAGTAAAATAATGCGAATGTTACCGCACACTTTCTAATTACTGTATATAAAATAGCTACAGAATACAATGGAGTCATCAAACCTTGCTTATCGGTAAGAGTGTACTGATTTGTAGTAAATACAATTCCATTACTACTAGTAAGATCTGCATCATCCTCTGCATCGCTTTCACTTTCGTATATAAGTTGTCCTCTACTGTTAGCTATCAGACGGTACCGTTTCTCCTTAGATAAATCTTTTTCAGGATCACAAGGAATTGTAATGACATCGCTAACATTTAATTTTTCAGTTTCAGGTGGTTCACCCAAGTAATTCTTATAGCACTTTTGACATGAGCGAAGAGGTTTACTATTGCACCGGAATAATTATAGAAATGAAAGATATTTAATTTAAATAAATATGGAACAAAGTTATAGAAGTACAGTCGTGTATTACTATGGTTATGGACATGAACTGAATAAATAATTATTTATTTACCGATCATGTGGAGTTTCAATCCAGTAATCAGAACAGCTATGGCAGAAAATTTTCCCGCATATTCGGCAATGATGTCGTCTCAAAAGTACAGAAAATTGAGACGAACATTGCATACATCTTGCGACCTTTTGAAAAATGTCAAAAAGCAATATTGCATCCATTAAACTTTAAGACGTTTGTTGTCTAAAGTATATTATGGTTCGTATGTACTCAGTAGAAGGACTAAAATCTTAATAAAACTAAGTTTTTAAAAGTGTTGATTACCTCGCTATCTTTAACCCATTTTTCTGCTATTTTAGTTTGTTGCTTAGACGAGTCTAACTTTCTCAACAAGTTGCTATTTTCTCTACAAAATTTACGGTGAAAATTTGAAGGAAGCTCTTTCGCACATAAGACTATCTATAATTAAGACTTTAATGTGCTGCTGCTAATGATTTCAATTTAAATAGTTTATATCGTTACTAGAACATAGATAGTCGATACATACCTATTAAGTGACATTAGCTTTTCTTTTAAAGTAAATTTCTCATGTCGTAATTGTTCCAACGCTTCGCATAATCTCTTTTCACTTAAAATACTTCTTTCCTTAAAATCTCCAAATTCAATCTGCAAAGTATAGCAAGTAGCCATTACTACAATACAATGCCTGCTGCAGTTAATTAATTGTAGAACATACTGTAATAAAACTATTACAAACCTTAAGATTTACTCCGTTAGCCCTCTCTCTATCTCTACCCCGTGTTACCTAGTTAATTAGAATGATTAAGGCCAATATTATTAATTATGTCTTTCGGGGTTGATAAAGGTAAGTTATAATGAGAGATTAATGCTATTAACGTATAACATATGATAATTTCTACCTGTAAAAGTTCATCCTCCATATTGATCGCTTCTTCTTTAGTTTCTCGTAACTGCTTTTGTAGTCTCGAAATTTCGGTATCATAGTTTTCTTTCATCGACGCGATTTCTCCATTTTGATACTGCATGTGAGAGTTCATTTCTTGCATATTACATTCATATTGTTCTATCACTTCCAAAAGGTGATGTTTTTCTTTTTCATATCGATTGATGGTCTAAGATTGAGCATGAGAAAGTACAATATAAACCTTTCGTAAGTGACTAGGAGCTTACAATGGTCACATGATCTCATCCATAAACAAGATAATTAGTTTTTATTAATAATTTCATATTTGGACTATTACCAAATAGAGTACGTTACAATTATTTTCTGATGCGAAAAAACTTTACTAAAGCGATTGTTATTACTGTTCTCCTACTGCTACTTGTATGTACCAAGGTTAATATATTGTATATGTTATATAAAAAGCTGTACAACTTTACATTATATGAGTAAGTTTGATATTAAAATTATTTCTTCCTTATTAAACTATTTACGATGAGATAATAACGCAACCAATAATTCAATTCTAGCCATAACTACACGAGGAAATTATTTTTCTTCTAGATGTAAATTAAATTTTGACTTACATCGAGCGCCGTTTGTTTTTCTAAGGCATCCGAACTAGCTTCAAATCTTAAAGCGGAGGCTTCACTTTCGACCGAATTTTTAAGCTTTTCTAATTCTAATTGCAAATCATCAATAGTGGCCTGGCTATTATCATATTTTGTTTCTACTTCCTTGATTTGGTTTCTTAAATCACAAGTTTCAGTTATCAAATCTTGCATCGGTTGGCTTAGATTCAAGTGATGTGTTAAGTCGTCGATATGGCATTGTAAATTGTTCTTTTGTAAATAAGCTAATAAATTCTTTCTAATATCATCCATTATTATGTTGGTGTTTACTTGTTGATGATTTCTTTCGGTCTTGATTTCACTCTCCGTCATAGGCAATTTTTGATGGTTTGGTGGATTAGTGATTTTATTATCTTGATCATTTGGTACATCATCGGAATAGTCAGGATTATTGGCCAAAAGTTTGCTAACATTTTTAACTAATAATTGTTGTTTATGATAGATTTTGGTTAAGTTATTCCAAACGGTATTTAAATATCTGGATTTATCAAGCGCTGGTGGCAGTTGATTTTTTTCAATTTTGGGAATTTTTTCAATTTTAACAGCTAAACTAGCCGTACATTGAGCCATCTTTTGGCATAAATCAATTAAGTTCTCTACCTGATCTTGGTCGATTTGTTGTGCTACGTTATTATTTGTAGAATTTCCTAGATGTCCTGCGATAATGGATAAAAAAATGTAGTCAAGCAATGTTTTGGAAGTATTTTACAAATGAATTGTGTATTATTACAGTCTTTAGGTAGTCAAGATTATCAGCTCTGCCATAATAGCAATTAAGTTCTACCTACTGTATGATTTGTACGATCCTTTATCATGTCTATGCATAGTATTATCTTAGTGATAATAATGTATAGATATGTTAACATATATATATATATATATATAATGATTAACGCTTGCTGTTGTTGCAATGTTATCAAGGTCTATCTATGATTTTTCTATTGCGATAGTCCACTATCGTTAATTACTTGATCTTGGTTAAGTTCTCAGTTCAGTAGTCCAAGCCATTACAATGATATTACAGTACAGTGATGATGAATTTTAGATATGACTATTGGTCGGAGTTGTATCTGTGATCCTTTACTGCATCGGTATCTGTCACATAGTCATTTGAGGGTAAATTACATATTCGTTATTATCATCTTTGATGGAATTTTTATGGTATACAGTACAGTCTATGCAAATGTAGAATATTATCATGGCACATTCACGTAGAATTGAAATGTGTCGCTCGATTCTTGCAGTACTATGAATTCTATATCAGGCCAGACATTGAAATTATTTTCAGTTCGTGTAATGGCTAAACAACAGTATTCTGTAGTAGAAGCATCAGAGGTATTCAGAAGGCGATAACTGGATTCATTGAATTCATTACTTGTATTAATTAATTTATTAGCCAAGAAAGATTAATACTACTGGATGGGAATTTCATCAGTTATCTAATCTAATCATGGCCGTAATAAACATTTAAAATACAAAAGAGGACGCCAAATAATCCTCAGCTTGCCTGAAATAAAATTTCCGTTGGAGCCAATACGAATGTTATTATTACAGCATTTGTTCTAATTAGAAGTTGATCGTATGCTATCGTTCTGGCTATAAAATTTTGTTGAAGTAGTTTAGAATACGTCTGTTGGCCATTTCTTAATATAAAATGACAAATTCTAAAGGTCTACCAGTCAAGACGATTGATGGCCAGTTATCGTTCTTATTTGTTCATTCTACTAGATTATAATTATTGATAATCTTTACAAAGTGAATGGCCATTGCATCGTCTATATGAAATATCATTTAACTAGATCAACTGTAGTTGATATCTTGAGAGAAAGTTCAGAATCATGCTAGTGATTGCTCATAACAGGTACAATATTGACCATCGTCAAGGACAATTAGAAGCTTTGGTAGTCCTTGCGATTGTCTATACTGTTGATACGTCGAAAGTAAGTCGACAGTAGTCAATATCTTGATGAGAAAGTATGTTATTGGTTTGTCATCACCATTACAATATTGACATTGTCCAGGACAACAAGAAGAGGGAGGGCTTCTTCTCGTGGTCCATGCTAGCATCTATCCCTATTTAGGTGTTGAAACTAAATCGATTCTAGTCGGTAACTTGAGGAGAAAGTTGATGCTCTTCCAACGTTAGTGTTTAACCATAGCCGATTGCTATCATCGATAGATTAAGAAGACTGCTTGAATTCTACCCTATATGAAAATTGTTTTACTCCACTGTAACCTTGGTATCGAAAGCATTTGACCTAGATCGTACAACTGGTGTAGCTCGTAACTTTCCAATTAGTATCAGCGTAGGTCAAGTGATGACTTTACCCATGTACGCCTATCTGAAATCTGTACGAGATATTCAGCTAGAAATATTTTTCCGCCATTGTACAATATCATCATTTTATGTTAGCATCATAGTTATGACTGTGATGACATCTTTAACACTAATTCTAGGGCCAATTCATGAACAACGTAACGATTATATACATATATATATATATATTTAACAATCACAACATGAAAGAGATGGATAGAAGAGCTATCGACTGTTGAATGGCAATCAAAAACATCCAACATGGATGCTTTAGAATGGTCAAACTTACCATTCTCATCATCCGGTGATGGATGATTGGTAGTGTCTTGCATCTCAGCCATATTAATATAGTACTATCGTTCTGCTGTACACTTCAATATCGTGTACAGCCACTGGCTAAAGAAGAAAACTGCAAAGAGTAGAAGAGCGATGGCCAAGATTTCTCCGATGTTTGTCGTTGGTGTTGTTGGCCAACGCTTTTAAAATTAATTAATTAGACAACATTGTTGGACTTTGACTATCGCAATTGACCTTTGTGCAAGAATAGTCTTTTAAGTATGCCCCTTCTAGCTACTGTACTATACATAAGATAGTGTATTGTATGGGCAGCAAGTGTTTTTATTGCCAGGCCTGGATACAGACGTACAGCAGGTACAGACGACACGGTTGGCGCTGTTCTGTCCCTTGGTGGACCGGGAACGGTACTAGTACCGGTACTGGTACCGTCACTGGTACCGTCACTGGTACAGTACCGTGGTGTTGTAGTAGCCCATGGTGGCACTGTCAACCTTAACCTGGACAGACCAACCAACAGCATTGGCACGCTAGCAAGTGCCCTAGCCACATAGTGTATACTGTAAATACTCAGCGGCAGCGCTCTCGACTATGTCAAGACCTTTCTTGTGATTCTAACCAGCTTGTTGCAAAAGAGGATTATTTGAAGTGAAAGTGGATTCAATCACAGTCTCATTTCTGTATAACGTAATCATGATAGGATATTATTGAATCAATTGGAGTAACCTTGAAAATAGCTGCAAAAATGATGGATACAACCAGCATCCGGTTTCCAATCAACCATGCTAAACTGGCGCGGACCATGTCAGAGCTCTTGATGCTACTGTAGTACTCAGTCAGTAGTAAAATACCATACGATACCCTAGTCCAACACCGTCAAGGCTAACCTCGTCCGCTAGGCTGGGTCACGGACGACCATGGTGAATCGACCATGGTGTGCTGTACTTCGATACTGTACAGTGTACAGTACACTTACTACAGTACTGTATACTGTACTGTCCTACAGTATACTGTACTGTAATGTCTTGTACACAGTACAGGACTGCAACTTGCACTGTACTGCCCCAAGACCACTGGAATGCCCTCACTATCCACTGTGGCAGTACCCACAATCCACGGCGCCCTACTGTTCTCCGCTGCACATTGTCAAGATGGCTACTACACCGGCATCAGGTTGATCGAGCAATTTCATCAATATGAATGACTTGTATTTAATAAATTCACTTTATCCTTGTCTGTTGGATACATTATATGTAATGAATCATAAAAATTGATCTTATAGGCAAGAAATCCAAAAAAATGAAAGGCAAAACGGTCAATTTGACCGAGTTTCTTGCTGATGGAAATGATGGCAAAGTTGCCAATATTCTAACACAACGAAAAACCAGTGATTGGTCTGAAAAAGACGATTCCCGTGGTTATGAAGGTGACAAAACTTGATTCTATCTACCCGGTCATTTCATGTTCGACTTCCTTCTTAGATTGGACATGTGGATAGGCCTATTTTTATCCTATAAACTGTGTTGTACAACAATAACTTGATTTATTATACTCAGATACATACCAGTACAATTACAAATTTCTCATCAATGTCGATCAATTGGATACGGCATGATGCAGTCTTTATAATCTAGGATTGCGATGCTATGCATTAAATATTCAAATACTTATCTATCGTACTTGGTAGATAGAAAAAAATAGTCTTATACAGTATCCATATCCTTCTAGCACCTGCTAGAAATGGACTTTTCTCCCTCGATTGTGCTCTACTCTTTAACATTCATCATTTCTACACTATTCACCAATTTCAATGGCTACATCTTGATACAAAATTAATCTTCCATCGTCGTCATCATCGTTCATTTACAGATAGGCGGAGTCAGCCCACCATTGATACATCCATGCTACCAACAGCTCCAAAAGCTGCTCGTGCCTTGGCTGGTATCGATAGGAGTAGACTTCCTACTAAGCCACCTTTTACTGCTTACATTGCTAATCTTCCTTATGATGTGACTGAAGAAGATATTACTCAATTCTTCAAGGATAGCAAGGTCAGTTCAATATACTCTACTTGTTTTGCAAATGATCGACTACAGTATCTATCTGACATTCTGTGAAGTAGAACTTCATCATCTTGATTACCTTACGCATTGATCAGAAATAATGGATTGAAATACACAACTACCTTACTTGTAATCTTGTTAACATCTTACTGTAGTGATGGTGATAGGGAATAGAAGTTTGCAGCCAATTAATTACATTGTATAACGTTGACTACCGTATATAATGTCATGTTCTGTTAACAAGAGGAATATATATGCTTTCTCTTCAATATAAATGACATTGTAGATCGATTCTTACGATACTTGTAGATATTGGAATGATGTGATAAATCAAGTAATGATTGTCTATTTTCGTTATACGTAGGTAAACTCTGTTCGCTTACCCAAAGGCACAACGGATGGTAGACCAAGAGGATTTGGATATACCGAATTTGAAGATTTAGAATCACTAGTTAATGCGATGTCACTAAATGATCAGGTGAATTCGAATATTCAAAATGATGGGCGTCTTGCTAATTTGACAGACCTACTGTATCTTTAAAGTACTTTATTCCTTCAACTTGACTTTCTGATCATTAACTAAACTATACGCGCGTCAGTATATTATGGTGGTCTTAACAATACATAACTCTCCCCTATTACTGAACGCGTATACAGTATGTCATGCCGTTTTGACATATTCAAAGGAAATAGTTGTTATCATAACTGACAACTTGATGATTTTTTTCATTATTTTTAATTAAAAAGTAATCTATATGTAATCCTATATCTCTAAACAAAACTTATATCTTCTATTCATTTACCCCATATAGTTACTGAAAAATCGTAAAATCCGTGTGGATATTGCTGGAGGTAAGGTTTATAGACTAATTAATTAAAAGATTAATTATTATTAGTACAATAAATAAAATTTTTTTTATCCATTAACTGATGAAATCATTACTGTATATCGAAAGTTATGTCTTAAAAATCTTAACATCGTATGCTTAACAACGATTTATTATTTATATACTGTCTATATTTGTATTTTCCCATCTAGTATGTACTCTTTGTCTTGTTGTTTTGTTAGTTCATGTGGTAAGTCAAAAATTGACCTTGTAATTCATTTGTTTTTCGCTAATCATACAGGTGATAATGACAGAAATAATTTCAATGACAGAGGGAGTAGAGGATCACATCATGATAGATACGATCGTGGTGAACGAAGCACCGATAGCGATAATTGGAGACGCGCCGGACCACCAACAGAGGACTTTCGATCGAATAGGAGACAATATGATCGTGACGATGACAGATTTGCTGGTGTTGGTAGTCGATACAATGATGGAGGGAGCAGTTTTCGCGGAAGAGAAGATCGATTTGGTAGTGGAAACCGTAGATATAATGATTTTGAATCTTCCGGACGCGGAAGAAGAAACTACGATAGAGGTGGTTTTGGAGGTAGATCTTCACGATATAATGGGGATGACGGGAAAAGACGTGGCTTTGATAATTTTAGATCATCCAGATTTGAAAATGGAGACGAAAGACGTAATTATGATGTTGATAATGTAGATGGTGGTAGGCAATCAAGGGAGGACAATGATTCTGTGAGAAGAGATACAGAAAGAGCTGAAAGTAGCGATAACACTAAGCAGGGCGATTACGAAGAAAAGAAAGAGAAAGGTTAATGGATAACCCTAATATGACTACTATGCCTTCATATGAATATCTGCTGTATTACTATAGATGTCACCAGCTACAATTTAACCTAATAACCGTAAATACTGTTTAATTGTTTAACCGTTAATATCACAAAATTCTAGATGCACCACAAAGACGGGCACTCAATTTGAAACCTCGATCAAAACCTATAGAAAATAAAGAGGAAGAAGTCAACCGTTCATCGTCAATCTTTGGTTCAGCCAGGCCGGTTGATACGGCAGCCAAAGAGCGAGAAATTGAAGAACGCTTAGCTGTTGCTAAAGATCAGACGAGTAAAGACGATGATCAGGAAGCAGCTGATAAGACAACAAGTGCAGATCAAGATCAGGACGATGATAATAGTCGAGATGACAAAAGTAGCGATAAACGATATGGATTCAGCAGTGATGGAAACTCCAGAGGATTTGGTGGTAGAGGTCGTGGCAGAGGAAGTCGAGGAGGTGGTAGGGGTAGGAAACCCTATAGGCCTGTGGAGCTTAAGAAGTACGAAGAACCACCGAAACCGGTTAGAAGATATCAAATTCTTTAATATTTATTATTGTAACACATGATTATTTTACTCGTATACCGTTAAGATTTTGAAGTGCCATCTAAGTTAGCATGTATCTTAAATATTGGGTAGGTATTTAGTCAAGAAAGTAAATTCGCGGCTTTGGTCGGCGATGAAAGTGAAGGTGAAGATGATGAAAGAAAAGAGTAAATAATGGGCAAGAAATATAAATGTAGTGACACTTATTTGGTGATAAGATGATATTGCATTAGAGCTATCATTTTAAAAGTGTACTATATAATTCAATTTATTGGAAATGCGCTAATCAAATGCTCATCATTAATAAATTTAATTTACAAAGAACTGTGCAAAAACTAATATGCTGTACTACCGGAAATTCAAACTGGATATTTGGCGTAATTGATGTGTGCTGTTCTTTGATAATATTATTTCTATACACAGTAAACGATGACATATAACCTTTAAATTCAGGTGTCTTCATGATTTATTTTACATGTACGATAACAGTTATACGACGAATATTGTTCGTCGTTTGTTCATGTCTTAAGTTTTGAATGGATTGCAATCGATGCTGGAGAATCAAACTACTGTATAATGTAACTTTTGTTACTCAGTATGACTGTGATATCATGTTAATCTTTTGTTCCCTGAAAAGAGTCAATAACGAACGAAACTAATTCCACATGTATAATAAAACAGATAGTACGAAAAATATAAACGGTATACGACGTAATTTATCTTTTGTCCCATTGAAATTTATTGAATGTAATGGATCAAAAATTGGAATTTTACAGTAAAATTTTATGTACAGCAAAACTACTGTATCTGCAAACAGTGAAGTAAGAAATTGGTTTAGCCAACACTGCAATTGCATGTACAGTATATGCTCATCTCATTGTTTGATTAAAATTGCTCAATGAAGCATAGTGTTCAATCCAGAATTTTCCTTCTAGCTTTCAAAAACCTGAAATGATTTTAGTACTTTGCAATAAATTTGCTCATAAATACTAGTACAAATAATGATAAATATCGATAATATCTAACACAGAGTAGATAATTTGATTGAGATACTTAAAATAAAGAAAGGCATTAATTATAGAGCTTTACAGAGATAAATTTTGCTAAGTGTGAGTACTTTGTGATGAATTTGTTAGTAGATATAGGTGTAAATGATATTACTATCATATTCGATAAAATCGGTTTTAGTATGAAAGTTTAAACTATATTGTAAAAAAATTAATTTCGTTTCATATATAAAGTATCGTTTTATGTAGTTCGCCAACTAGATTTGAACTTTTTGTCCGCAGAACTTGAAAGAATTATCAGCGCTGCTGTATGTTTACTACCACAGGCTATACGACCTATCTTCTTATCACGAAATCCTTCCACTTCCGTCGGTGAAGATCTGCACAAAATAGGATAATCAAAATTAATGATCACAAGTGGCGCTATAAAATGTTTCCTTGTGTATTTATAAAAGTAAACGTTTACCTTGAACATATAAAACTGACTGCTAAGTAAAACTGTATCTTTATAACTATACCTTTGTTTACAATCCCCCAAGCCTAATCTTCCATCGGTCTCCAGTCCCCATGCATATAATTTACCGTTTTCTATTATTAAAAATTTTCGAGGAAACGACGTAAGATTGGATGGAGAAATTTTAAACTAATAGTAGTATTTTACTATTTGTAACTATTTCCATTAGAAATTCCATATAGATCAGAAAGCGTATTTGATTAAAATTATTACGTCAAATTACGTCTATGTCTATTAGCAATATAAAAATACCTGTAATAGCTGCGGAATGGAAAGATCCGCATGACACTGATACAAATCTTTTACTTGTATTGAAACTAATGCGGTAAGGAAGGTGAAATTTATTCATACTCGGTGCAGCTATTTGTCCATAAATATTACTACCGAAGGCGTAGACAAGGCCACCGACTACAAGAATGTAGAAAAATTTCCATTATTTAGGAACGATGATACACGATTGGGTGCTTAAGTCTATACTACAGTTGCTTACAGATACTATTTTTGCAGAAAATCGCTGTCATAAAAATTTCGTTTCGCATATTAAATGTAACAAGTATACCTGTCAGTATGCATGTATGGAGATCTCCGCAAGCAACATCCATAACTTTAGCTTTCTTTTCTCCTATATGAAGTATAGTGGGTTCGGTTGAAAGATTATAATTACCTAGACCCAATTGGCCGTCGTCACCAAGGCCCCAAAGAAATAAATTTCCTTTTGCTGTGATTGATCAAGTAATTTAAAACAAAATTAGGACAGAGATTGAAATTGAAGTAAAACCCAAATTTAAATTTAAGTTATAAGTGCTTACGTAGCTTAATTAAAATAGTATTGATAGTATTACGTTATCATCGATAATTAATCATACAATACCTGATAGCGCAGCAGAATGATATTTACCACATGCAACTTTGATAATGTTTTCATCATTTAATACAGTGACTAATTGAGGCTCGGCATACGGCTCAGTATCACCAACTCCTAATTGTGAGTTTGAGTTATCGCCAAACGAATATACACTACCTGTATTTGTCACAGCTATCAGGATGCAATTGATAAGTGTTTTAATTAATTTTAGTAATAGTATCTATAAGTATTTTTAGTTGTGCGACAGCTACAAGTACTTAACATTTAACATTACGACTAACTTAGCAGACAGACTCATTTAGTAATTATTGTATATATACGTTTTGATCAGATATGATGTGGATGTCGTTGCAGTTGATCACAATAGTTTCAAGGACAATAAATTTTTCATACGTACTAACCCAAAGTGTGATTGTATCCACATGCAACACTGAAAATAGTATATGCCGAAAGAGAATGAACCAAAGCCGGACTCGTTTGCTTATTCTGGCATAAGTATCCCAGGCGATTAAAATTTTCAGAACCTTTACCCCATGTGTAAAGTTCACCTGAAGCTAAAATTTTTGACAGCTTATAAGTTTCTCAAGCCTTGTTAAAATAACATGAATAATATTTAAGAATATTTATATATTCGAAGTAAAAATCTCTCTTTCTAACATGTGACAGCTGCGGCATGTAATTCATGGCAGGAAATGTCGATGACGTTACTACTTTTAAAACTAGCTATCTTAAGGGGTGCAAATCTACTACGTAGATTTCCTTGTCCTAAAATGCCATATTTCCCTAAGCCCCAGGAATAAACCTTGCCATCTTCTGCTCGAATATTTGAAAGTAAAGCCTTAATTATTATTTTCAAAAGGTAGTAAAACATCAAGTACAATAAGGTTAAATCATTATTACAAAATATACCGTTTAATGCGAACACTGTATGTAAGCCACAAGCTAATCTTTTAATGTTATATGCTAACAAAGCCTCAACAACTCTAGGAGATGGTATATCAATATCTTCTCCATGACCTAATGCACCGTTTATTCCACTTCCCCAGGTGTATACACCGAAGACAGATTGATCAATTTGTGCAGAATTAAGAACGATTAAATGATCAAGTTCGGCCTAAAAAAATTTGAAGATTTTTAAATTATTTATTTTCTAAATTATGTCTGGATGATGGAAAATGCAATATAGGGTCAGCTAAGTATTACCAAATCGTCTACTGATTGTTCTGTATTAATTATTAACTCTGTCTTGGCATCTTGGAATAATTCTGTTGTAATTGACTTATCGTCGATTCCATTGATTAATTGTTGTAATCCTATTATCCATATATCGAATTCTCGTTGCTTTTGGCATACTATATCTAGCGAACGATGGAAGCCTTCACTATCCGAATACAGTAATGAGAAGGACAGAGTCTATCTCGTAAAAAGAAGACGATAGTTTTATTAATAATAATAATTAGTTTATATCTTGATGTAGAGTTATCACTTTGATATATTAATAAAAGAAAGAAACCTTTGATTCTGGCATTGGTTTGGCTAGAAAAACTTTTGTTTTTTGTCCTAATAATAGAGAATCCATTTGCGAAACTAGGATTATAGTTTCTTGTTTATCTTTGCGTGGAGAACTCCAACTGATGCCAGATAAGTCTATAAATTTAAGAAATCAAAGTCAGTATGAAAATAAGAAAAAAGTCAAACCGACTCTCTCGATGATGTACGTACTTTGCACTTATAGATTTCTCTATAATTTGCACTACTTGACATTAATTAATTTCCTTACATTGTTATGTATTACATGAATTGCGTGAACTCTGAACTTACCTTTTGCTAGCCTAAAATGCCTAAAATGCGCTTTTCCCTAGAAACATAAGTGTATACATTTTATAGAATATAAATATCAAGATGGTTGAATAATTGCAGAAAATTAAATGATAAAGCACTAAATTGATGTAAATAGTGAGTAGCACACAGGAGATTGACTACAGTACTTTCAATTTTTGTTATAGAAACTATGACACGAAAATTTAGACTGAGGTTTCAATAAGATACAGTACATGTGCGTAATCTGAGCGTGCATATTGAATAACTGTGTACAATGTGTAAACGATTTAATCTATTATATAGAAGGTTTGTCTTCATCGCCTATTCAAATGGTAATCTCATTCCATAGTAGGTAGACGCAATGGTATTGCAAATATTAGGTCATTTGGTTACAGCCGAAATTAGGGCTGAAGGTGATCTGATTAATTTGCGTTTCAATATAAGTTTTAAAGTATAGATGTTTTCAGAATTAGAATATTCTTGTTACTCCTATGTGATAATTTGCAATTCTGTAGACTCGTTTATTTTTGGTGGCATACTTAGGCATACTCATATTCTAATAGTAATATGTACGTACGTTATAGGGCCTACTACTATAGATTATATAGATAGCAATCACAATTTATGTTTCCAAACCAAGATTGCAACATACACCTATATCTATTTTCAGTATAGTAAGTCAGAGTTATTCCTTTATCGATGATTAATTGATATCTAGTACAATAAGCAGGTTATTTAACCAATAGATCACTTTAGATTCTATTTTTGAAATAAAATGGTTTGATTTCTAAGGAAATAACTCCTATTGGAATTATTTACTTATTCATTTGAAGTTGAACGTTTATTCTTAATTTGTTTCCTTGTACGAGCACATACTGTTTACTGTAGATTGCATAAAGTTTAGCCATATGCTATTGTACTGTAGCCTACAGTAATGTAGAAATTGATCTTTCCTCTATACCTTCAAGGTAAGCGAAACCTTGATTATAGATTATTGCAAATTAAATTTTACATTATAGTCGTGACACATGTTGAAACTTTAGCGATATCGACGTTATCTGCATTTACACCATTAGCAGACCCTAATTTATATTAGACAGTTGTACTGTATGTTTTAATAGCTAATATTATGTAAGTATTGATGTTTACGTAGCTATGCCATAAATTGATTGAGTTTTCAGCAAGATTTCTATTTTGTGGTTTGGCCTAGAAAAGACTTATAGTTACTATGAGCTCATGACGATGAGAGATTGTCAGTCAGTACTGGAATCCGACTGTTTGTCAGTGGATCGAGAAAGACATATCTGACAGCAGACTAGGGCGGTAGCTATATTTGAAGGTTACAACCCTCGTTTAGGTTTGGTGCCTTTATCTGCAGTATATGACACAAGTAACAGAATACAAAACGAAATCTTATATCTTGGCATAAAATAAAAGTATGATTGATTATCTGATGTATTTGCCTTTGTCGATAAATGGGGTGATTGAATTTATATCATGATAAGGTTGAAATAACTGTACCATGATGCTTGAGGCAATGCTTTAATCTAGTCATTCAATTTTTAAGGTTGATAGCACCAGAGATAAGATTAATAGATGTACGGTACATGACTATCACAGTCGACCGTTAATTAATCCAAGTCCGCTATTCTATCACATACAGTAGAGTTAGAATGATACCATAGTCGATCATAGCATTACTTCCTTACTATAGTAACCCGGTATGATGACAATCACTTACATTTCTTCCCACTTTAAGCAAGGAGTTTCCTCCTATCATCTCTTTCAAGGCATGGACAACTTGGTTTTCAGTTGTCATTTTGGAATCATTAAACGGCAAGGCAGGGCATTAATACTGTTTATACAGTATTATCAATATCGATTCCCTTATTTAGTCTAGACTGCTAGGAATAGATTCAATACGCTAGCATGAGCTATCGTTGTTAGGTAGAGCCGTAAAATAGAGACCCCTGACAGGGCTAAAAAATGTTGATTTCCTGACGTCAGAGTTTAGGTCGCTAACTCCTACATTAATTTAAGTCCACTCTACTAACAGTAGTTACTATGCATAACTTAGCATAAGACCACTTGTGTGATTGACTTTAACGAATCCCTCCACCTTCGATTGGCCTGTCCAGAGGCAGATCATCCGTCTTTCCTTCTGGCAAACACGTTTTGTTGTTTTAAGGATAGTTCATATTCACGCCTGTAGCTGTTAGAACTTTTCAAGTACAGTAGCAAATTAATCAACTATATTTAATTTATTGATTTAATAGGATAAAGAAATGTATTTAGAAATTAGTCCGAGTAAAAGACTTCAAATGGCGCAATCGCTAATCCCTATGACGACAGCTGGACTACGGGCGTCCTTCTGGTAGTCCGTCAAAATAGTTAAGAGTAGTGTCCTCGTGACTCATGGCACCGGTAGTTGCCTAGCCCATGGTAACAATAACACTACAACTGGACACAGAATTTGTGCGACGACTGTACAGACGGATGACCTTCTAGTGGTCCGTATTATTAACGGTCGTTAACAGTACAGTAGTGTACACTACTTGTGAGTTCTTGACACCGGTAGTTGCCTAGTCTATGGCCACAACACTAAAATCGGACACAGAATTTGTGTGACGACTGTACGGACGGATGACCTTCTGGTGGTCTGTAAGAATAGTATTGTAGACCCCAGTAGTGTGTACTCGTGAGTGCGTGGCACCGGTAGGTTGCCTAGTCTATGGCAACAACACTAAAATTGAACACAGAATTTGTGTGACGACTGTACGGACGGATGACCTTCTGGTTGTAGTAATAGTAGTTCACGTACAGTAGTATACTCGCGACTCCGTGACACCGGGAGTTGCCTAGTCTATGGCAACAACACTAAAATTGGACACAGTATTTGTGTGACGACTGTACGGACGGATGACCTTCTGGTGGTAGTAATAGTAGTTCACAGTAGTATACTCGCGACTCCGTGACACCGGGAGTTGCCTAGTCTATGGCAACAACACTAAAACTGGACACAAAATTTGTGCGACGACTGTACGTCCGGACAACCTTCGGGTGGTCTGTAATAGTAGACCCCAGTAGTGTACTCGTGAGTGTGTGGCACAGGTAGTTGCCTAGTCTATGGCAACAACACTAAAATTGGACACAGAATTTGTGTGACGACTGTACGGACGGATGACCTTCTGGTGGTAGTAATAGTAGTTCACAGTAGTATACCCGCGACTCCGTGACACCGGGGTTGCCTAGTCCATGGCGACAAGACTAAAACTGGACACAGAATTTGTGCAGTACTGATTCCAGTAGTCTGCGCAGCCGTAATCCCAACAACGTTTATGTTGAAACTAGAACAGGGCTGTAGTTTGGCTACAACAACCAACAACACACACTACATTACAAGCTCGGTACGAAACCTATGAGTAGTTTGCAGGAGATCCTAGTAGTTACAAGCAATCCATAAGAAGCTCGTTAACGATCCTTTTATGCCGATTTCTAGTGTTCAATTCTACTCTCGATTCGACACTGATATAGTTATGTGCGAAATAGTATTGAATAGAGCTTGTCCAGTTCACTTTTCAACGCTTTGATTAGTTCTAGATAAATTTTAGTAAGTAACAGATGTACTCTTGTACAGTACACTAAGCTGAATAACTGTGTTGATAATATAATTTGCTTTAGTATATCGAATGTACTGACCTGTAAACGACAAGGAATTCGACAAATAGTTTGCCTAAACCTTTACTATATATACGTATACAACATTAACAAGACCATCATCACAGAAGAGTGGCGTGTACTTATATCATCATGACTGATGCTAAGAGATACAAATTCTTAGAAAGAATTGGTAAGTAATCCTTCTGTACAGGCGTAAACGCTCATGAATAATATTGTGGTCTAATTCATCGGATATCACGAATTGTCCACAGTAGGCTACACATACTGTACACAACTAGACCAACTTATACCACTAGTAATACCTTGTATATTCTTTAAGAAATGGATCTTATAACGTATCATAGCATCCTGACTTTTAATGCGGTATATTTATTTAAATACTACGACTTATGTTGGACGAGAAAGCCAATATAGAATTGATTCTAATGTGATTGCTTACTGATAATAGACTGTTAACAGTAGTGGTTAACAGTCACTTGAGTTAACTCTGTTATTCACCAATTGTAACAGTAAAGTTAGTATTATTCACATTCAATAGAGATTATGGTCGTTAATTTTAAATTACTAGTCATCTTGACTTTGGATCGCAGGTTACTGTTATACTATGAGTTATAAACATGCTGAAAATTACAACGAAGCATAATGTGATTAATATATGAGAACAATTCTTAATTAGATAGTTATTTTTTACACTTCGGTAATTTAGTGCTAGCTATTGATGTACGTACTACTCTTATTCTCAAGATGGCAAGGATAATTCCAATAATTCTACGACAGTTTGGACTGCTGAAGATTCCAAATCTGGCAATATGATAGCCATCAAGAGAATCAATTTGGAAAATAAATGCATTAAGGACCTTGAAATTTTACGGGTATAAGGATAGCTATACCTCACTTTAGCGGTTCAAATTCTAATAAACATTTGTGCAGTGAATAGTCATCATCCACTATCTTATCTTTCACCTAACCATGACTATTATCACAACGTAATCTACTCGTACCCAACCTAAATTACAAAATATTGAATTGTTTATGGCATTAGAATGAAATTGCTGCTGTCAGATCGTTTAAACATCCTAATATTATTTGCTATTACGATGCTGCTACCGTTGGGAACGAAACTTGGTTATCAATGCCTTACTATTCATATGGTAAGACTGCTAAATTTATTTTTGTCGGAAATACTATTTCAAAAATTGTTTTACAAGAATGGTCCATCCATCAATACTTGTAGATCTGGTAATGAGATATTTATCTTGTTTGTTATAGGATCGTCTGTAAATCTATTTGCAATGGATATTCTACCCAATCAAAAGGAATTATTACTGATGCATGTCTTGCGCTCAGTATTGAACGCGCTAATCTATTTACACGAACTCGGTTATGCACATAGGTACTTAATAATATCGTGGTTAATAAGGAAAGCTTCATACTTCATTATGCTTCTCTACTTAATACAAGTTGATTACTGTTGCTCACTACTGAAAATTAAAGGCTATTATCTGCTCATATATTTTACAAAGGGATATCAAAGGTAAGAATATTTTAATCTCAGCTAATGGAAACGTATGTTTAAGCGGAATGGATAAAGCTACTAAGAAGTCCACCTTTAAACAAGACTGGGTTGCTCATGAATTCATTGAAAGAGCAGCTGATAGCGTTGTATGGGCTGCTCCTGAACTTCTTGCTCAAGTATGTACGATTCTACTATGCTTTGATTTTTGTCGATATTTATTGTAATAAGTTGATTACTGTTATGATACTAAAAGGCGAAGAATGACTTGTGGATATGGAAGGAGATTCTTGATCAGTTTGATGAATCTTGCTTATTTCTTGCTTGTAGGATATACATGGCTACAATTGTAAAGTTGATATTTATAGTCTTGGTATGACTGCTGTAGAACTGGCCTATGGTAGGATTCCCTTTGATGATATGCCAGTAACTCAGGTAGATACAATTAGACAAATACATTAAGTGTCAATTTTTATATTAAATAATAAATAAAATGTTACTCAAGTATCTTATTACTATCTAAGATTTTATTAGAAAAATTAAATGGTATTTCCCACGCTAGAATTCACAGTTTTATTCAGAACACAACGGATGTAGTATTTTCGAACTCTTTCTATCAGGTATGAATATATCGCCTCTTGTAATCGTATTAATAGATTTAAGAATGGGATAACTCATTCATTTGAAGTAGACCAAATCCATTTTTAAATTAAATGCATAATTCCTAAAAATTAGCTCCTTGATAGCTGCTTCAAGTCAGACTCAGATAGGTTAGTTTGTGTCATAAAATATTTTGTAATATTTCTTTACTATCGCTCTATCGAATAACTATAATAATTTTTTTAAATTTCGGATATCATAGATGGTCGGCAGTCCAGCTAGCAACACATCCATTCTTTAAGCGGGTAATGACGAAGTAGCTGCTATATACGATTGTATTGCCTACAGTAGCCAATACTGCAGTACACAATCTTCGTACTACAATGGACTTTTGCTATTTGGGATGCAACTGACATTATTTGTTATTGATTTATAGATTAAAATAACTAATGAAGATATCCTACAGGAATTTCTACACTTAGCCAAGCCCATTAGTGAATTTAAAGTGTCTGAAGGTGATTACTAACTGATAAGACCATACAGTACAGTAGATCCTCTATTTTGTTAATAAATTTACTAAATACTGTAGATGAAAATATTTTATAATTATACCCGTGTTCAACTTTGTAATAATAGGGCATATTTATAAATTTTGCTCACACATCCGTGATAAAATTTTTCAGCAGATATAGGCATAGTATCAGAGAGACGAGATAGCATCGATGAAGACTGCGGATGGCAATTCTGAAATGATATGAAATTCCTGTACCGTAGATCAACTAATATTGAAAACTTGTTGTATACGATTTTACGCCTGTAACAAGCTTGCTTTGGATAGCACTGTATAATTATTTTTACATAGTGGAGCAATTGTAATTATGTTATCAACAGAACGAAAAGTACAACTGAAATGTCTGTTGGAACTTTAAAGTACCGTAAATACAGAGAAATTTATACATTTGCGATTCTCTCGTTAGCATGACTTTATACCTGATGTAATGTATAATTAATATTGGATATAGTCTACATTCGGTTTAAGGGACTTTTTGCTTCTAACTTGCTGCAATTTTATAATGCATTAAGTTTGTTTTAGACGTTCTTGTAAATGTAAATATACTACATGCCATACAGTCCAAACAAGCGCTTATATAATGTAATGGTATGATGTAATGATAAAGTGTTTTATCCTCTGAGTCCATAATCGTGCATGCTAACTGCCTTTAACTTAATAGCCAGCGTGATCTTACAAACTATAGATCATTAATAATATCCTATCAAGTTTTACAGGAAATCTCAGATATGATGAGCTTAATTGGTCTCATTGAGGAACAATAATCAGATTAGGCTGTCAGCTTTAGTATAGAGTATATCCGCCGTACAATAACTATCAGACAATACTGTGCAGTGTGCAGTGTACAGTACAGTATATTCGTCCTAAAACGTAGTACTGTACTTTTTTGCAGAACTTTTTGTGTTCTTCTTTCATTACGTTAAATTTAGCCTGTTACTGTACTGATACTTAATGCTCGAATTCGTGTGTAAAATGAGGTCTTTTGGCATAAAAATCGTCACTGTATGAAGTAGAGTTTCCAGCTATTCCAGTGTAAAAGGGGTTTCTGCTCTTTCACGTCAAAGTCGTGACTGTATAGCAGGAGTATCCCAGTGAATTGCGGCCTGATCTATGAGAACGAATGAGAATATGTAGACTTGTACAGTACAGTATGTAATATGTTCAGTGGAGAAATTGAACTATCTCATAATAGTACTGTAATATGAAATGAGCTTTGTAGTCATCAACAAAGGTGTCAGTTGACTATCTATTTTCATATGCTCAGATGAGTTCTTCATTTTTCTTGACAATTTAGTACTATCAACGAGAAACGATCGATTATTAATTAATTAACTTCAAGAAATGAAAAACGAGGATAACAATGTACTGTACGTATTTTCTTCCATACTTCGGAGGAGTACAGTAGTGTAATGTACAGTATTATAGTAAGTTTCATAACTACTTTATACGGTACTAGCCAGTGTCAATCCGGCCGGACTTTCGGCACTTAGCGTGTAAATCTATTACTGCACCTCAAAATATCTATCTGAGTAATCTGACTATCCACTCTCCGTTTGGCTGTGATTGTACTGTGGTACTGTGTATACTGAACAGTCTGTAGCTTGGTGGCTTGCATTATACAGTACTGTACGGCTTATCTACGTACATTCTACATTTTGTCTAATGCATAGTTCACATGTTCCAAATGTTCACGTGTGCTGGGGTATATAAAAAATCAAATTTCAATTTAAACTTGAAAATTGAATTGAAGTTCACGTTAGACTTGTCTCTATTATTATTACGAGTTTTGAACCCGCCAACTGCGCCGGTGAAAATATTCATAGCGTAGAGTACAGTAAGCATACTGTATGTGAAATGATCGATTTTTACTGTACTGTACTGTGTTGAGGGTGTTGGGAAAGTCATTTGATATTTCACATCCTTATTATACAAAATTAGGCATCCATTTTCCATTTATTTATTATGACACTGTATCAAAGGTTAACCAAGGTTTAGAAAGGTATGCATGCGTACTGTACTGTACAAGCGTACAGTGTAGTACAGTACCCATGACATCATGTCTTTGTCCATTGTAAATTTGTAATAACTGAAAAGTATGCGCATACTGTACAGTACAGTACATACAATACCTCTCTTTTGGCTCCAACTCAAGAATGTAAAGTATTTCAGGACTAAAAACAAACATGAGCCAACAACATTGTCAATACAATATTTCATGACTAAAAACTAACATGAGCCAACAGCATTGTCAATACTGTATTCATGATGTCCAGTTATTGTACAGTACTGTAGTCGACTGGTATCGATGGTGGGAAAAACAGTACTGTACTATACAGTGTACACCTGTCACTTGGCAAAGGTTGGATATTGCCTTCCAATTGTAGAATGATGGATCGGTGTTGCAAGTCCAATAGTATTGTTGGTAAAAAGTTCACAACGATTGTGTAGAATACGAACCAAGCTATAATCCTAACAAAAATTGGAGGACAATTGATGTAGTGGGTAGATTGATTGATTTTATTGTCTAGATCGAATAATTGTGGAGTTGAAAGTAAAGAAAGAAGAAAATAAAAAAAAAAATTCTTGACAGCGATGGAAGTGGAAGGGTGGGTGGTCTCACTGGTCAGGTGGATACCGTTAACACATCCCCCCAAACGTACATTACAGCACACTCCTCCAGTATTATCCTGAACTTGCAGTTGCAACTTATGGTATAATACAAGTGGATCGCATTCAATGGCTGTATGGGTTAGGTGTTACTAGTGCCATTGACCTCCACAATAGCGTGACACGATACATTCCTCAGCATAGTATCCGTCGTCAAGTCCATCCTTACTTTCTTTATAGGCAATGAAGACAATAGAAGAGGACAATAGCGTCGGCACGACTGTACTCGGATGAAGCCCCGCTGTGCGTCAGTCCCTTCTCTATAGTACCATAAGGAAATATGCAATCGTGTCAACCTTGTAAACAAAAGAAAGCGGTGAGAGCTGGACCGAGGACCCTTTCTCTCTTATTACGGTCTCTACTGGACCATAGACGAGGGAGAGAAGGGAGGGAGAGAAAAAAATGTAAACAAAACAAATAAAATAAAAATGAATAAAGATGAAGACAATAATAGCTGATTTTAATTTACAATAGCTCAATCCTAGACCGATATGCCATTTACTCCATGAAGAGCCGTGCTAGGAATACGCTATACTTGGTAGAAGAGCGTTGAGCTTCAAACACAAACCCATTGGAGAGAGAGTGAATGTTGAAATCAACCTTGGATGATCGGAGGACTGCCACCCCTTTAAAAGTGATTGAAGTTTAAACTGTCTAGCATTGCTAGTCAGTCATCGAGAAATGTCTATTATGTCAGTTCTACCTTGTATTTGGTACGGAATGTCCATTTGAAAATAATACAACTTGATCGATATTAAAAGATTATTCTAGTTGACCATCATGACCCACGTCAATTAGTTCCTAATGATTCTCATTTAAAGGGTAATTAATAATTTACAGTTTAATGCTAGTGAAATAATACAACTATTCAACAACTGCCTTATCTCTACCTATTATTCATTTAAACGATAGAAATTAAGATATACTGGCTTTGCATGTTTGGATAATGAAACGTTATTTTCTACTTGCGATCCATCGATCAAGTTCATTAAAACGCTCATCCCCTTCTTCATCATTCTTTTCACGCTTATTGATCCATTTTCGACCACGACAACAAATTGACGATACCTTCATCATCGATTTTCCAGCCAAGTAAGAAAAGTGGAAGAAAAAAAATTTTTCAAACAAAACTCTACACAAACGTCATTTCATTTTGATGTCAAATTAAATTGGTATTGTTGTTTTAACTGTGTGAAAACAATTTACTTTGTTACTCCACGCTATCGTCCTATACTTACAGCATATGAGCCAAGTGATAATAAATTAACAGTTATCTGTTGGTCCTAGCAGTTGACTCTAACATTGATGTTGCAATCATTCCTACTTTTAGACGATGGCTACTAGAATGAAGAAAGTAGCTACATTGCTATTATTCATCGCAACAATAGCTACAGCACTTTGGGTCGTTTTCATCTATTTAAATTCCTCCATTTTCGTTGACATCGAGCCAACAGGTCTAGAATGCGACAACGACAACGTGAATAAAATGTTATCTTGCCAATTGCAACATGTTATCCAATCAACAACACCAAAGCAACAACAACAGCAACACCACATTGCTCCACATTCACAAGATTGCGTTCGTCTTATTTTTAGTTATCGTTATTTTGAACAACTTGCAATGGCAACAACTAACTTTATATCTTTAGCTAGCTTGGCTACTTTACTCGACGGTAGTGCAGTCATTCCTTATGTCCACCATTCACGAATGTCTGGTGTACCACAAGGAATCGGTCGCAATCGAAAATTGCATGATATTCGCTATTTTAATATGTCACTTTATTTCGATCTTAAAGGTGTTAACCAAGTCTTGCAACAACATCGTTATTCACCCTTGGTATCCTATGATTACTTAACTAGTCGATGCAATAAAACGTTAGATGTCTTAATCCATTTCATCTTTCAAGGCAATACTAAAGATGCTAAGAAATGGTACAAAATTAATAACAGAATTTTCCAACAGGTTAAAGATCGGCTAGCTAAAACGAAAAAGGGTTGGACATTCTGTCCATTTATTGCCAATGCTAATATTGCTCAACAACTAGGAGATTTTAATATTAAACGTTATATCTGTGTTGATCCAACTAAATTTCAATCAGTTGAAAAATTTAAAAGACAAGTTCTAAAAGATACAAAGTGTATTGGTTTTGTACAGTGGAAAGGGATTGGTACTAATCGTGCTTTGTTTAATTTGACACGCAATCAACGCATTAAACCATCGCTATTCCCACATAATAAAAAATTGATCAGTATTGCTAAGACATATATCAAACGTTATCTCTCTCCAAGATATATTGCTGTTCATGGAAGAATTGAACGCTTATTAATTGGTAAAACTTCTCAAGCTGGAATACGATATCTACGAAGTTGTATGCAAGTATTAAATCGTAATTTATTTTACCTACGTCAACAACATAACATTGATCGTTCCTTTTTATCCACTGATCTTGCTGATTCTGGTTCAGATACTATTTATAATAAATATTATGAACAGGAAAGAAAATTGGAAAAGAAGAAAGAATTATACCATATGGCTATAGCTGAATTGAGTCAGCCCCATGTTTTCAACGCTAGTCTCGTGGATAAAAATGACCATGCTATATTAAGAGATAATGGAGCGACGGCTATTGTCGAAATGCAAATATTAAGTCATGCTGACATCTTAATTACTATTGGTGGTGGTAATTTCCAGCAGTGGATAGTTGATTTGTATATGAAGAAGCATCCACATAATCCTAAAATTATTCCAATCTGTCAAAATTTATAATTAGCATAAAAGTATACAGTAATATCTATCTTGCTATGATAATAATTAGTGTAGCCAATTAATATATTCTTTATAACTGTTGGATAATTTTATTCGCTTTATATACTAGTTGGATGAATATACTACTATAAATTACTTTTTCTTTTGACGTATCTTTTACCTATGGACCAAAGAATATTGCTATATAGTCGTATACACTATACAAGGATTCTATTATTGTATGCCGTCATAGACTATACAGCGGCATAGCGTACCATTATAATTATATTGCAAGTTTGATTATAGAATTATTTAGATCATATTTGACAACAAACCTTATGTATTTTATTTCATACCCTAGCGACGGAAAATAGGGTTACGATAGAGATAACAATTAACCTTTTTGTATTTAAATGATTATAATGGTATTGAATTGGTAATATATCGCTATAGTCTATGCTATAATATCAGCTATAAATTTTACTTATTCGTTATCCGCAATTACGGCTAATTATAAATTGTATATTATGTTTATTCCAAATTTATTGAGTATAATTAAATAGACGTTTACTCGTATGGCATATCCATATTTATCGACTGAGTATCGTATTAAAACGTATTTACGATCGTGTTTACGATTATATTTAACCACACAAATTTCATAATATAGTAATACGATATCATATACTGTACAAAGCCATTATTGCTCATATATTAATATATAAGGAATGTTAAAAGTATGCTATATGATTAGTATACCAGGTGATGTTTATCATATTTAAGACAGATGCACATTCAATAGTAGTCCTACTGTTTATCGATTATAATACTTGATGATTCCTTTTGCTACCATACTAATAAACTTTGATATTACAATATCTATCGTTTGCTTGGAGCCCTGTTTTACAAGTTTTATCTCCCAAGATTATTTTTTAAATTTATTTTATCTATGAAACGTTTAATGGATCAAAAAATTGTTGCTGTGTATTCAGCAGAACGAAGTAAGCCCTCATGGATATCATTAACCCAATACCATGTATTATGTCTACTAACATCTTTTACTTTAGAAATCATAAAGACGGTCTCCATAATTTTTTAAGATTCCTATCTGAGCTACTACAAGAACACATTACAACGTTTAGATTGCGTAAACAATTAGCGATCCTGGCTAATAATTAATGCTACTGATATCAATTTTACTTTATTATCAAAACTAAAGTAATACCCAATTTCTAAATCTTTTTTACGATAAGAAAGTGTTTGTCAAACTGCAAATAGAGGCCTATATGTGTATTTATATATAAGAAATTGTTCAAATATGCGTAAAGTTCCGCAAATCATGATAACTGAGATGAGAGGTGGAATTCAATACACTGAATCAGTTGTAATCAAAAGACAAATTGCAATTCTATATCTGAGATAGCAACTTGGCACTTTGTTACTTCCCATAAAGATAATACTGGATATAAATATAATTTAATAAGTATCACCAATTAGCAAGACCCTTAATTTTACTCTTTTAGGTTAGGTGATAAGCTTTGATAAGTTGCAATTAAGTTCATCTGAAAAGTGAAGCCACAGATGTACAAAAAGTTGATATGTAGCCCTAACGACTTTATTTTTAATTTATATAATCAATCAACTTCAATAAATGATGCAGAGCACATGTAAACTTTCTCATATTAGCTTTCGGGAATAACAAGGTATAGTTATAGAATTAGAATTAATAAAGGTCAAGTAATCACTCTAATTGTCGACTTGAAGATGAATCAGTCACAAATAAGATTATACATAGTAATTTGTACCAATCTGTTAAAAGACAATCTCCTGTTTAATTGTATTATTCGATAGCGAACGAGATATAGTATATATATATATATATGTTAGGAAGATTAAAGGAAATATACTAAGTTAATTAAAAATTTATAATTTTATAACTAGGCGCAAGCATAGAATGATATTATTCGTAACAAAAAATAACCTGAAACGGCAGTACTAAGCAATTCCAATTTCAAGAGTAAATCATAAAACAATTCGTAAAATATATCGAGAAAAATTTTCTTCTAATCAGTATCCGGCTCGTAGCTATTGACCATAACCCATTGTTATAAACAGAAAGCAAATAATATTGAAATATTATTAGCCAAAACAATGTAACAGAACTATGCCTTTGAATATTGCAATTATGGTTGTGTTATCACACAAACTTACTTGCGGAGACGACTTCTAAGCTCTTTTATCTGATTATTTTTATTTGTAAGCATCTTTTTCATATTGTTATACTGCGATGTTTCGCCAAATTTCTTTTCTAATTCCTATAAGAGATCATTAAGATAGCATGGTTATTGATTGTTTATACTATGTTGGTAAATAAGAAATGGTATACAACAAGATCACATAAAATGGTATTTTATCTTAGATTTTACTACTTTGCTAACTTACACTTTTCGTTTGTTCTAGCTCAGCTTGAAGAGCTAATAGTTGATGCTAAGGTAAAATATAAGGTACCATTCAGATTAGAATGAACTTAACTTATTCATGTAAGTAGGTATTGGTATGAGGTAAAAATGGTATGATAGCTTACTGTACTCCTTGTTAATAAAGTAGTCAAGGAAAGTTATACCTTTAACTTAACTAACCTTAGATTCTGTAAGATCGCCCATAACTGCTGCATTATCTTTCTCAAGTTGGCTTGAATTCTAATAAAAATATAACGAAATTTTGTATGTCAGAAATAGGCTATACCCTTCTAGTCTTATCCAATGTTAATTAGTTATACTAGATGTTGGTGTCTAATTATTTACGCCGAGGAAATACAATAAAGCATTTAGCTACCTCATCAAGGTTAATTTTCATTTCAGCCATTTTCTTTTCCATATCTTTGATTATTTGCACCGAAGCCTTACCGGACTGGCCAGGACAGAATAATTAAATATTCGTTAAAAAATTGTAACGGGCAATAGTGCAAAATTAATTTTGAGGTTTGCTAACTTTAATGTCATCTATTGTTGCTTCCAATTGCTTTTGTGTTTCAGCTAAGCTTTTCTTTAACATTTCTTTCTCTCGTATGGCATCTGTCGCCTTGTGACATGAGTAAAATTTGTTTAATTTAGCGATAAAAGAACTAATACAGTATTGAGGCTAAGCTACTGATATAATCTTATACCTTAGCTTCAAGCATCTTAAATCGGCCCCTCAACGTTTCATTTTCTTCTTTTAATCGACTAATCTCCTTTAGAAGGAAGGTTAGTCACATTTTATGAGAATTGAATGTCCCAATAAAAATTTACCGAAGAAAAGAGAATAAGTAGTTATACAAATGCGTAAATCTAACCATATGCAGCAAAGCTGCTCCACCACCTTCATTTAAAGGTTGTAACTTTGAGGTCTTTCCTGATAATGATCCAGACATACCCTAGACAGGCGATAATATTCGAGTATACCGCCATCATAACAGTAAAAATGTTTATTTTCTAGCTATTTTTATTTTAAAGTCTTATTTATCCTAATCACCTGCTTGGACATGTTGCTAGCAGCTTCTTCCTCTTCAAACCTAGCAATTTCTTCTAGAAGCTCTCTAGTCATGAGCATAGTTATTAAAATAGATTTATAAAAACCGGCTTATGCAATGCATTAATCGCACAGATATCTTAGTGTTAATTATCTGCACCTATTTTCTAATTGTGATATATCAGCCTGTAATTTCAAGTGCCACTTTTCCGCTTGATGAAAGAGTTGTTGTAGTAGTAGAGCGTTGGTATGAGATACATTGAGGAGTTCGGTTTCAACATCACCTTTCAAAACCGATCGTAATTCATCCATAATTTCGCTGACTTCATCGTTGGTATAGGTATCTTCATTGAGTCTATCGTATTTCAATCGTTAAAAATTTTATTGTAATATATTTTAATCTTGGCCTACAGGATAGTTAATGGTGTAGAACTCTTTCGTACTTACAATTCATTAGATCATACCTGCTATCTTTTAAATCGTTTACGCAAGCATCTACTGCACGTAACTGCTGAGAACGCTTGAATTTTGCAAATCGTAAGTAATTAACAATTGTTTGTTGATGAATTTCATTTAAGCCGGTATCAGAAGCCTATAAGAAACAATTCATTCAAGTATGCCATAATTAACTTTTATTTATAGTCCATAGATACGTTAAACTGTAATAGAAGTAAAATTTACGTAGCTTCCCAGAATATGTAAGTGGCGAAACATTCATTTCATGCAGGCGTATGGTATTAAATTGAGTTACAAATAAAAAAAGGATTTTGAATGATACTTGTATTAGGCTGTAATAGAAATAGTATAGGTACGATGAAATAGGGATTGTATGGATGCGATGGAATAGACTGCTTGAACTTAATATTTATCAGTAATGTTGATAATAAAAACATGCGATAATATTTTAACACGCTTAACGCAATCATTCGTCGATCGGTAATATTTTATTCAGAGCTGATTCATAAAACAATTTTTATCTAGAGTATCGATACAGCATACCACATATTGTTCTTCACCGTATCCACTATACTCTTGATAAAAAAGTGAGTACTGTAAATATCTAGTTAAAATGACAATGATCGATGACAGCGATGAGTGCGATGGATACTGTAGATAGACATAAAAATGAGTTTTTAGAAAATGGCTTGTTTGCGGCTATCAATATAACACGTAATTGTTAAATATTCATCTTAGGTAAGGAAACCGATATACTGCATTCGTCGATGCTTTAAACCTAGTAAATAATATCAATGCGTCTAGATATTTACTTTGTAACGGTCAAAATAATCCGCTTCTGTTGCTTTAATTGAATAATGCTAATCGAGTTGAATTTTTCATGACTGCAAACTCACATTTCATGCTTCTCATAGCTAGTATAAAAATTAATTATAGCGCTATTTTATACATTAGATGCAAATAAAGGCATTTTAGCCATACTAGATTTACAATCGTGTCAAAATAATACAATTTAGAGTATAATCTAATGGATTCATCTAGTGCATAAACGTCCAGAATCGTCAAAATTGTAGGTATAATTGTGTCATCGACAACGCAACATATTTGTATTGGCTTTAACATCATACTGTACTGAGCTACATTGATATAAGATTTGCGGTAAGCTAGCCAATCAATCGAAATACTTCAATAGTTAATCGTAAAGAAGGAAAGAAAATGATTCAACTTACCATATTTTTTGAATTGCGAGTAATAATGCTTGTATCTCGTATAATGATGGAATACCGTAGTTTGTGTTAAACAACGTTAACGAAAGGAGGAAAAATATCCAATTTATCCCTTATTGATAGAATTAAGTAAAGTAAAATTGATGAATTTTTTCTATTATCGAAGGGATATAGTGTAAAGTATGATATAGAATTACTCTATGATCTTCTCTGAATTATGATATAACTATGAACATATAACCAACCGATTATGGCTACTAACTGTAAGTTATCTCTAAGATACGGTTAAAAAATGCCTATGAAAGCAATGATTGCGCAAGCGTCCTCCCGGAATAGCTTTTACACTAAAGACCGAATGGAACGACGGGAATCACCACATTCAATTGCCGGCGGCGGGTACAGCAATTAGAACCGATTATGCTGCTGTTAAAAGTCTTTCGAAGCTGAAACTGATAGAGGTCAGAAAGTATTCTTATCGACACAGGAATACTTATTACAGAGTACTTGTTGCAGTATATTGACAACGGTTAATGATCAATATAATCATATACTGCTAAATAAGTCAGTTATTGAAGATTAATTGGTTTATTTAGAACGCGTGGTTCCTCTTTGTGGGCAAAGGAATTACTGTACCAAGCGATATTAATAAAGAATAGCTAGTATACACATAAATATGCGTCCATTATGCATTATATAATATACTTGTAAATTATATATTTTGCTTACATAGAGCATGTCTGACATTTAAAATTGATGGCCGTCAGGGAGAGAATACTATGGAAGCGCACTATAGTAGTGAAAACGTACGAGTTTAATTGATCATATTTAGACTTAGCAGCGTTTGAGATGTTAAGAATATAGCTATTTTTAATAGGTACAGCAACCGCGATCAATGCAGTACTGTATACAAAAATATAAAATTGGATACCCAAGTCCTATTTTCACATAGGCGTATAATTTAATTACTAAGTAATGTACGTATTAAGGCACGAATGATATGTTTTATATACTGAATAATGTATGGCCATCGAATGATCCAGCTGAAAATTTGTTGACATTTAATTGGCTGGTAATAGTACGTTAGTCTAAGATAAGAGTAGCAATGAATAGGCTTTATTAACTATAAAGGGTAGAACTGAAAGAATGAGGCTTCAACTAAATAAGAATAATTTGAGACAGCTTGAATTTAAAGGTCTTAAGTAATATTTTTATGCACAATTTTTGTATTTAAGTTGGCTTCACTGGATGCGTTATTCTTATTCGCTGATGACAGTTCTTGATTAATAGTATATGTAGCCAGCCATTGCCAGATTATTATCAAACATTTTTTGGTATACAACATTTTAATCTAGTCGCATAGGATTCATTCTGTAGATACGTTAATAAAGAATAGGTAACTTCTTTCGACAAGTAATTTGTATCTTGCGATTAACCAATCATATGATATTCATATACGTATTGTACAACATAGTAAAATAAGATTAGTATGCTGGATTATGTATTTTTGATAACAATTACGATCATATTTTAGAGGCAATAGTAAAATTTAAGACATCAATAGGGTCGTATCAATTTTATTTCAATTATACGTATTGATGTCCTGTACTTACTCAAAATTTAAATATTAATTAATTTAGTGTACAGTTAATTATTAAGATATGGCAAGAATCTCTAATTTTAGTGATGCAATTGACATGGATGCGTAATTTTTGCGTATGTTATAATTTCGAGTACGGCAATACTGTATACGAAAAAGTTATCTACAGCATGAAATATTTAGTTGTAGCAATGTTTGCTGACACTTTTACCAAAATACGTAGCAGCCAGAACTACCACATACTTCAGTTCTGATAGCCGACTATTATAGGAGTAAGATAATTATATAGATATTATTAAGGCGAATCACATTTAGTTCTGACCATATTTCATAAATTCGATCTTCGGATAATATCTACCGACCTAAATGCATTATTTATATCAGATTTGTATAGTCAGACAATTTTGTTAGAGTGAGTTGCAATAATCTTAGTACTGCACTATACCAAACGGCAAAAATATTCTCAATCACATAATTTTTTGCTATCATCTTTTACTTTACTTTTTACATCATCTTTACATCTTTTACTTTTGTATAACCAAGCTGTGCAGCTATCCCCTTCTATAATATCTACCGGATCCCACGAGGGAAAACAGAATCTACATGCTATTACATGGCTTCTAGGGTGCATCTCAGACTTGATTTTTTTCTCTAAATCTTTCATCTACCAAAATTAAATAAGAAATTATAGAGTAGTGATATCACATGTAATATTTAATAATATAGTAAGATGATTTCGCTGTCTTGTATTAAGTATAAAAGCAAATTGTTGGAAATCTATAATGATAAGCAAGTAAATGATTGCACAACTTGGTACATATATTAGTTTATGGATACTAGAATTTTTCGTAGTGATTCCTACCATACTGGGAACGCCAAATATGACAATGTTGTCGTATGTCGATAAATCTATCTGAATTCAAAATAAAGAGTTGCAAACATTACAGATCATAATCATAACAATGAAAATTTAATCCAGGTAGGTAACGAAACGATAACGGAGCAGAATGCAGTATAAACATTTACCTTCCATAAATCTGCAGTACGAAATAAGGTTTTAGTGTGCATACCCTCCATTCTCGCTTTAATTTTAGAATATAACACTAGCCACCGGTTTAACTCATATCCAAATGCTTGGTGTCCTTCGCGAGCTGCTGCTATAACCTGCAACGCCAATTTAGTTCGTTATCGATATGATTTGATTCTCGTTTAGATGTAGGATAAATGCTTAATTGCTTATTGGTCACTGAAGTTTAAGCCGCTTAAAAATTGGTAAACTACTGTAAACTGAACAATTAACATTAGAGCTTACAATTCGGCCATCGCCACTACCAAGGTCTACTAGGCGACCGGGACGACATAACTTGAGTACGATAGAGACCTGCTCAGTTGTTGCTGGAACGTAAGGCAAACAGTATCGGCGGAAAGCTGGTGTTATAAAAGGCCAGCTTATCATGCAGACAGCTGTAGCTATGGCGCCGCATGTACCTACAGCTATATAACCGAAAATTTTTCGATTGCGTGTTCTTCGATCAGTTTCCATCGCTACATTCTGGATTTCCTGGTACAGAACTGACTGAAATGACCGAAAATAATAACTGCACGAGCTTACTGTAAATGATGTAGCCTCCACTAAGCAGTAGTCGGATCCATGTATGGCCTGATGGTCTACTGTACAGTGTACAGTGTACAGTACGCAGTGCACAGTATGCTCTACGTACTGTACACAGCTATTACTATGAAAAATGATAAGCTTTACTCTTTGCGATTACAACAAAAATGTGTGGAAAATCATTGGAAAATATCCTGATATTACACTTAGAAATCTCAAATGACTTTCCACACACCCTGTACTGTACAGTAAAGACCTTAGAGACGGTGAGACTATCTACAGTTAATACTAGTTGTCAACCGTATTGAAGCTCTTCGTACTACTCTCGATTAGCATGGGAGACAAGAGATTGTACGAGTAGTTGAAGTTATTGCAAAACTAACTGCTAACTACTAACTCCTATTCTCTCTTTATTGTATTGAAAAGCGGCGGCTTATATACGTACGCCGTTCACACTTACAACGCGTTATAATTACAAGTTTGTATAACAGTGAATTTATATATAGTATTACATCGTACAATCTAACAAATATAACGTAGTGCAGTATATAATATCTGCAGTCATGCTCCATTACATTGTTCAGTACTGTACAGTATTGTAGCCTGTTTTTATTTAGATAATTAAATCTATCTATATCTATCTAATTGGCTGCTTTAAAATACGATTCTATCATTAGCTGGGCGAGAAGAATAATATGCATGAAATAAAGAGCACGTTATACTCAAGCCTAAGGGAGATATATTTGATTGTGTGATGGTGCATGCATAATAATCGTACATAAATCAATGTACGTAACTATGGACTACTAAATTCACAGGTGAGTTTAGTGGTCCATGACATAACGATACATAGATAAATGGAAACGATTAAAAGTATGGAAGTCGTTTTTTTATCGTAGTCTTGAGTTAAACTTTCGTATTTTACTAATAATTACTGTATAATATTACAGTAATACAAATTATCTACAGTACTCTGTACCTTTCATAATTATTATAATTATCATCGCCTAGATTACGAATTTTAGTGTAGTGTCCATGGTAGGTATAGTACTGTAAGCGTAGATTGTACAGTTAGTACTAGTTAGTACAGTACTCAGTTTCTGTTTAGATAATTATATTTAATAAGTATGCACTGTATGTCTTTATAAGAATATAGTAATAAAAACTGCATGATCCCACACTTTTACTGAAACCTACCTACTGTGAGTAATCAATTAATTATATATTATTTTATTGGAGCAAGCTTATAAATGCCCGTAACCCTAAATAATTATGGTTCTTTCATAGGTATACACAATATCTTTACTATAAGATCGATGCGTGATAGTATATTATTACTATATGTAAACCGGCGGCTGTCGACGCAAGTTTTAAACATGATTCCATGAAAAACTGCAAAGATTTTATACCTCGTTTATTACGAGGACGCGGAGGGGGAAAATATTATGTTAAGAATCAAGCCCTTCTATTCAGTAATAGTCGTCTTTTCCCTCAAATTTACAGCTAAGTAAAAGAATTAGCTCTTCATACTATCGTATTTACTTTATTTAAATATTATGTCAAAAATCACAAACGGACTGTTTGCCTCTATGGCTTTCAGGATAATCCCTGGTTCATACAATATACCGTACTGTACTGTACTGTGGTGGGTACACTGCTCTACAGTATATGGTACGATAAGTTCGTTAGCTTTCGGGTACAGTACCGTACAATAATATAATTATACTATACAGTACAGTATTATATAGTACTGTACAGTATTATAAGTAACACTACACAAGTCCAATGTCAACTTATTCCAGTACATTAGTATGAGCGTTCATCGCGTTGCCAAGGGCACCACGCTTCATAGTTGACAAGCAGCCAGCTTGTGACTCATCTCTGCACGGTCCATTAATTAAAGAATAACTTGTAAATTATAAAGTATGTTGATGATATTTGATGTTTCTGGATGATAATGAGCAATAAAACTGAAAATCTATAAGCTACAATGCTACAGATAGCAAAGTTAAATATACCTGCCTTTATAAGGCTTGATTGCAATAACTTAGTTTATTGTTTGAATATATCACTATCAATAACAAGGACAAGAAATTGTAATTGATTAGTCGGTAGTCAAGCAAGGTTCAAATCAAAGATGATCTTATATTCAGTAAAGAGTATGACAAAATAAATTCGTAGGATTAATTCATACTGTACTGGTAGAAGATGATTGATATATTTTACTGTCCAAGGCAGGGGCTTCTAAGAGAAAAAACTCTAGAGAAGTCATTGTCCTAGGTATAGCATCAAATGAAATTCTCAATTTCTATACTGCACAACTAATTAAAAATTATAGAGCTATCAGAATGATCAGGTGCATACTGACACTTCTATCAGTAGTAAATATTATAAAATAATGTTTCACGAGTTACCTAGAAGATGAGATAAATGTTTGTCAACTATTTTTACCACGATGTATCAACAGGTACTAAAAATATGGCTCACAATAAGCTTTAGAACATGGCTATAAAGATTCAATTCATATAAACAGTGCAGTGCAGCGAATAAAATAGTTATCAATCAGCTGCTTTTTAATTCGATTTATAATTTTAGAATGGTGTTGTGCCGGGGCGAGTTACGTGATCTGTAATTAGGGTATTTAAGAAAACAGGCATTAATTTGGCATATACTGTATCTAGTGTAAATTTTATTTGGCATGAAATAAAATAAAATTTGCCTTGAATCTAAACTTTACTAGCTTTAAATTGTCGAACTAGATTTGCGGCTACTTACCAAAAACTGATGGATGCTTCAGGAGATCTGGAGTATTTCTACGAAATCCGAATTCGCCGTTCCAACCAACAATTGGAGGGACATTACTCATGAATCTTGCATGACCACTTACTGTTTCTCTTGAATAACCTGTGTTAATAATATAAGTTTAATTATGCCAAGAATTATAAATACATACTTCTGTAATTGTTATTTCTTACCGCATCCAGCTTTGTTACGAGTTTTGATATATATAGCTGGTAAGCTTGTTTCGTTCAACCGATCTGCAATTTTGCCGTTGATTGAACAGCCACCATTTATCTATAATACACATTATAGGATAGGATTGATTAAAAAGCATACCGTAGACTGACAAGTAATATCGTGAATGAAGTCCTATGCCGTATTGAGACGAAATAATGCAAAGTGGTTATACCGTAAATGTTAGCAGAAAGTGATATTCGTGATTACGAGGTTTTCTTAGAAATTTGTTGTATTAGATCAACTATTTTCAACCGTTATTGATGTGTATTATTGTATCATATACATGAGCCTTACTTGATCGCTATTTCTAATAATCTTTTGAGTCCCTTTGGATCGGAAGTAGGTTTTGGCATGTTTGTCCTTTTGTGCGTTATATGGTGGTATTACAGAGAATGGTTTGGGATAGATTTTACTTGTCCCACTTGATAAAGAGCTGACAGAAACACAATCTAAAGTAAATCTTTTTTCTAGACTTTCCAATTCATTTTGCGGCTTTTCTTCAAGCCAATATGGATAACAAGGTTTTCTCGGCATTATGAAGATCGTTTATTACTCTACCTGGAGATTGATAAATTTATGATAATGCATCCAGTATGACTGAATTACGTCTATGACTTATATAGTCGATAATTACTGTAGTAATTAACTACTTGTTAGATTATTTATTATGCTCAATAATTTAGGATGAAGGTAGCGTAAACAACAGTGTAATTTGTGAACATAAAACCATAGTCCTATGATTTACGTAGGAATTGAAACAATAGCTTCAAGTAAACATAATATATCATTGTAAGCCGTATTGAAAAGGATGACTGAAGGCTATATTTTAAATTTGCACGCCCATACGATTCTACTGTATAGCCGTCTTCTCACGTTCTCACTGTTGTCTGATCTGGAATTACTTACGTCAGATAGGACATTTACCTTCGTGGCATTGCACTTTAATTATTATAAAGAGCTCATAAAATGAGTAATATAGGTATCCCATTTTATGGATCCAGGTGAGGTAATGATCGAAATTACCTGATCCAACTTCTCCGCAAATATAGCACTGTGACTGCTTCTTATGAATAAATGTGGATCAGGATCATTGTTGAGTCTCAGTAGTATGTGTATTTGTTAGATGATTCGGAGCTATATGACCTACAGTGTAGTATTATCTAGTCATTTTAGTAGTTTACGTACGAGTTAGGCATACTGTGCTGACCAGTGACAGTAATCATGGTGGAATATTGTCGTTTTAGGTTTGAACTATAGAAAAGGCATGATTCGATTATACTACATAGTACAATAGAAGTCTTATTACACATAGAGAATGCTAGATGTTTGAAGAGAGTTTTACAAAACTATCACATACGTATTACTATATATGTAGCATTTACACTCGTACGCTATATCGCTATTACAAGGCACTGTCTGCTTGTATTGCGCTTACTGTAGTATCGACAATGCATATGAGTTATTACGTGATTGGTTGACTTAAAGATAATATTTCAGAATTTTTGTATTATTATATTGCTATGGTATAACAATAATATCGCAATCCTATAGTTATATTGTCTAATTATATTATGATTAAGATTTTATAGAATCAGTGATTAGATGGTGGTTATGGTTACATTAGCTAGTATGAATTTTATTCACTACCAGCAAGGCTGTTTAGTATATAGCTTCTTCCATAAATTGGAATGAAAATCTGAGGAAAGAGAATTATCTTCGTTTAACTCATGTTGCTCAGATATGCGCGAGTAAGTATGATAATCCCTTTATACTGAGTACTACATATTCATATAAATCGCATCATCTTAGAAAGGAAGACACAATAGTTTATTAAAAAAATTGTGTAAGGACAAATTGTGTAATAGCAAATGTTATTGGTTATTCATTGGAATTATACCACAGGAGAGCCCGAGGGAGCCCATTGACAATATACGGAATGCATCGAACTCGTTGTACAGTATAGGTAGAGTATGTAATAAATATTGTTCGACCGAAGGTTTACAATAAGTTAATGCATGGAATGGTTTATCGAAAATTCGCGCTGCCATCAGTGCGCTTACAGTAAAAGCTAAGCGTAAGAAGCAAATTGACGATGAATTATAGATGAGCTGTGTATCATACTCGCAGCAACACTTACATTACAGTTGTATAAGAATATACAGTATACGAGTACGCTATTGAAGTAATTAAAATTACATTTTTGTACGGTATTTCATTTTATCGGAGTGATCTACGTATTGGTAATAATAGATTTCTCTATTCAATTTCTATGTTAAATTTCTCTATTCAATTTCTATATCGTAATTTATGCAACTTTCTAATGTGGTTAACGTTCATTTTCTAGTTATTGCAACGAGATGTGCAATCCAATCGTAATTTCGAATTAATAAAATAAAATAAAGTTTCTGAATTTCTAATTCAACGGTGTTTTGATCGATTTGCTACTTACCAAGTACAGCACTATTATACAATGTACAGTCCAGTACGTACAGTATGCTGTGCACTGAGTGTACTGTACACTGTACGGTGCAACGAATTCGATGCATTCTGTTTTACAGTATGGCTAAATGGTCCTAGTACAGTATTGTACACCGTACAGTAGAGACCCTTAATACTGTACTGTACTGTTTAAAGAAAGTTCTACAAAAGGCTTTTCTGAATACTGACGTGGCAATTTCTGTTTGGCAGATTCTAGGCATCGCGCATCGTCGACAGTTGATCTGTCCATCCAGTATAGTAAAAGTCTGTCTTAACCTTAATCAGATGAGGTTTATAATTGTGTTTGGAATTGGTGATCGAATAAAATGACAATAAATTAAACTACATTTACTGAGGAAGAAATTTTTGTAAGTCGCTAACTGCCTGTGCTAAGCGACAGAAGTTTCCAGGAGACTACCATTTACTGTACAGAGTGAGAAATTAAAACTGGAGTCGGTGGAAATAATGAAAGTACTTACAACTATTCTATAGTGTATTATCCGTAGCATTTACTGTGCATGCAGTAAATAAAGTTGGTCGAAAGTCTTTGCAAAATTAATAGACGAACTGGCTGAGAAAGTACAGTAAATAAAGGCAGTGCTATCTCTCGCTTGAGCAGGGATTTCTTAGAAGAATTTTCTCTTCTATTAGAAAATCCTATCAGCTGTAGACTGCTGTTTGTCCATGATACTGTCTGTATAGTGTACACAGTCCACTCACTATACTGTACAGTACAGTATATTATGATCAGCTGACGGCCTGACGCTGAAATTGTACAGTACAGTACAGTACTGTACAGTATTGCCGGTAGACATACTGTACAGTACATGTACTGTACAGTACTGTACTGTACTGGACACTGTACGTACAGTACACCTGGCCGTCGTCGTGAGTAGTGAGAGTCCAGTACAGTACAGTACAGTACGTACTGTACGTTATACTGTACTGTACACTGTGTACAGTACTGTACAGTACTGTACTATACTGTACAGTGTAAAGAGAGACGAGTAAAGACTCTGAATTTACAGTACTGTACGATACAGACAGTACGTACTGTACTGAAAGTACCGTAGTGCCTGTGTCTCTGTGTCAGTCCAATAAGTGGTGAAGACGATCACTCTAGCAAGAAGTTGTGGGTTGTGGTTGTTGAGAAAGAGGAGAGCATTTAGTTATTAATATTCTATTTTAGAGTCGATAGACCACAGTGAACATTGGAAAAGATGAATGTCTTTCGATTGATAGGCGATATGTCTCACTTGGCAGCAATTATCATCCTGCTGATCAAAATTTGGAGATCGAGATCCTGTTCAGGTAAATTCAGCAACTAGTCTACTCTAGTGTCCAGTGGACACACTACAGTATCGGACAGACGCGGGGTGTTCTCGCTGCCTTTTGACAAGATATTTTCGCTTGTCGTAGGCCATGTCGATTTCACATCGTCTTCGTTGGCCATTCGATCATGCTAAGTTATTAACTTATCTTTTACTTGAATGTTGTATTCACCTTATTTCTGGTATCGTTGGCGATAAACGCATAATACAGTATAGCAATACATAATGCAGAGATTTACAATGATTGTTATCGTACAGATGAAAAGTAGTCTTTCCTTCGAAACTACCTGAGGTTTAAGTGCCATAGCTAGTTTTTAATCGTTTTTACAGTGAATTCAAAGTCAAAGTAAGTGTAGAATCAATTGAAGATCTTTTCTACATTACTAAACCAGTGAAATTATCCTTCATAATGTTGCTTACCTTCGTACTAGTAAGTGGGATTGAGAAATAATGACCACTGGCGATGCTATCCAACAGGGGTGCATTACTTCGCAGTTCGCAGTGTGCCTGCTAATTCATTACTCTGTAATACAGTGTACGTATAAACGTTTATATATGGATATGAAAGCTTTTGGTTGAGTCATTCTTTGAAAATTTCTGTCATGAAACATGATTTACCAATTCGTCGACAAAATCAATTGAAGATATTGAAATCAAAATTTATCTACGGTCATTTTTTTTATATTCAAAGAAGTTCTGTAGAATTCTGGCACTACTGTACTGTACATGCCCACTACGTTCCATTGTGAATGTGTATGTGTTACTATGCTCTACTGTACACCACTGTAGTATCAAAGTAGACTAAAGATGTCGAGAAGAGCAAGTCAAATTTCCTTACACTGCTATATACAAAGTCTAATAGAAGACTTGCAATGCCATATCAGTTTGATCGTAATCACCTTATCATAAAGTATTACTTATTTACTGTAACTGAGTACGCTTTTTGTGTAATGTTCGTTTATAGAAAATTGACTCTTGTACCTTTTAATAGCATACAGTATAAGCAAAAGCACAAATGGACACGTTGATATAACAATGTCTTCCTGAACTTTAATGAATGGGTCTGTAGCAGTTAGTGTTACCAACTACTCGTTACTTTGTATTTGTTAGGCAGTAAATATCGTAATTTTTATATATCTTATACGCGTATTTATGTTACCAGCAGTTAATATATATTTTATTCACGGTCAGACGGTCGATATACGAGTGCAGATACTCTACGGGATGTACGCATAAACTTTTCTGTAGCACCTTGCGATATCTACTATCATTGAGAATATTTTTGAGTCGGTCGCAATCAATTGCGCGTATACCGTAAGTTGCATCAATGTCGGAAAGCATTCAGCCTCATAACTGGTCTAGGCAGTTTGCATCTTGTGGCCTCGGGGACACAAAAAGATGAAATTTTCGATACGACACTCGCTTAGAAGTCTATTATTCTTAGTAGATATTTTTGCTAGTTCTTTATTGCTGCTAAGCCTTCATACTATAGAATTATAATGCAAGCTATGGATGGGATTAGTCCTAATTATTAGTTTTGAGCTCCTTCGTCTTGGAGAGGTTATCAAAACGATTGTATGGTACTTTTGGTGATGCAGTAAACCAAGTGCAGTCAGTGCGTTATGACATGGACCGATGTACCCTGTTAGCACGAATAGTAATAATTATTACTGTGGTGTTATCTACAGTATAATGACCTTCATTCTCTTTCATGCACCTTAGGCGGTACGGATTAGGATCATTAATGTTGGCACTGCTCACAGTTTGATGCAGTACATTGACATTCACAATAATCCCTCAGTTACTTTATTAGTAGTGCTATTACTAATGATATTGGTACAGCAATCTCACAAACTCACCTATAAATTTGAAGCATTCTATCCAGATTGCATTATCATCACATTCATATCCTGCATTACCCCCGTAGGATATGTTGTCTCATTTCTGAACTATTTTACCAACATCGCGTATAGATATGGATGACATGGCGATTTCTAATTATTATAATGCCAGACATTAGCGAAAATAGTAGACTGAAAATCGTTCTCGGTATACTGTAATAGTACGAAATATTTTATCCGATGATAACGACCCATCTGGCGATCGTCATTGATTTAATGGTTTGCTGGCATATTATTTGTTAGCATTAATTCTTACAAATTATAATAATATGGCACGCTTTTTCCGCTCATTATGTAACAATACGTCTTGCCACACTATTATTCGCAATTTGATTGTAAAATTAATACTAACATTCGAGTATTAACAAACAAGAATGACTGCTTACTAATTTGAAAATCGGCTACTTGTCTTCCTTTAGGCATATCTGGTAAAAGTCAGCTACTCTTTACTGCTGTATTCACCTGCAGATACCTGGACTTGTTCACCAATTTCGTTTCTATTTATAATACCACTATGAAAATATTTTTTCTGGCATCATCCTATGCTACCATTTACTTGATTTTCATGAAATTTAAAGCAACTTACAATAGAAATCATGACACTTTCAGATTTGAACTATTGATTGTTGTTTCAGTAATACTGGCTCTGTTAATTAATCATGAATTCTCTGCGACCGAGGTACAGTAGAGGAAAAAAATTTTATCTATAATGTAGAAATACAGTAATACTAGTGTCACTTTAGAATAACTAATAAATGAAAAAAAAGTTAATTAAAAAATTAAATTTCTTGAAAGCGAATTTGGAGATTTTACTCATGCACAAGTATGTATAATGTAGTGTTAATGATATGATTTTAATTGGCCAAAAATATTTAGATTTTATGGACCTTTTCCATTTACTTGGAAGCAGTCGCTATTCTACCACAATTGTTTATGATTACGAAAACAGGAGAAGCGGAATCGATCACTAGTCACTATCTGTTTGCTTTGGGATCCTATCGGGGGCTTTATATTTTGAATTGGATTTACAGATACTACGTAGAAGGGCACTTGGATTGGATAGCAGTATTATCTGGAATTGTACAAACAGGACTTTACTGTGATTTCTTTTATCTGTATATAACCAGAGGTAAATTGATAGGATTTTACTTCAGAAAATACGTCGTTGATAATTAAGCAATATTGTTTATACTTTTTAGATATGCTTGCATGCATACGTATAGTATATCTTTAAATGTGACCATTATAATTACTAATTTATTATCATAATTATCATTGATATTTTATAGTCATGAAAGGTAAGAATTTAACCTTGCCAGCGTAAGAGACCCTTAATGTTACGTTGGATCCTATTATACTGTAAGTCTGGTTGAAATTTCAAGGAAGAAGTACGCTCACTCATTTGATGTGATAGAAGAATATTGCCTGGAATATTTTATTGTCCAGTTTAGCAAAGGGCTTCAACGTACAGACCTGCAAATAATTCTTTTCTATTTTGCAGACGGTCGTTCGATCGTAATTTAATTTAGTAGATTATATTTCTTATTTTACATCGTTATTGCAAAAATGACAATAACTCAATTGCAATAATAACATTCATATCTTATTCGTGGTGGTGTATTCGATTATATTTGTTGTGATTTTAAGTAACGTTTTTTTGGCAAGTTCGGTCTGTTAACCATAAACAATGTTAAGCATTACTAAATGTTTATCTAACTGCGACTATTTTAAAATGATTACGTGTAAGTCAACGATACTTGACCTTTACAAGTACTTCATTGCTTAACTGTAGAACGATTGCCAAAGTCTCTCCTTATAATAAAACGGTCACCATATGATTTTTTTGCGTTATTAAGATTAATCGATGCAAGCTCGGTTTTCATGGCTATTTTATACCACTTTTGCATTTACAAACTAAAAGTTTTTACCAGTAGACTATCAATTTCGTTTCTAAGTCAATAGAGAACACCTATAATTATCTTCAGACTGTTGCCGTTAAAATTGCAACCTAAATCCTTTCAATTTTAATTCTTAGAATTCTAGTAGAGGAAACGTAACTGAAGGCCAAAAATTTTGCGATCATCTTCTTTTATATTTTCTTTTCTTGCAATAACCTTTTCCATACCAACCAGCAGTTACTGTTTGTATCTTAATGTCAATTTTTCTATCATTACCATCAACTATAGCTTGAAATTCTTTATTTAAGATATCGCCATCAAGGCAGGAAGTCGTCATATCTTTCTTAAAGATCTGCTTAGAATTGATAGTATCTATTTCCATTTCTTTCACAGATGTGCTCAATGCTTGCAACGGATCGCAATACCTACAAAATTTTAACTACAACATTTAGCTTGCTTAGGGAATAACTTTATATTAAGTGTATAAAAATACAACAACAGTAGTATAGTCCGTGCAACATATATGAACGTACGAGTTATACGGAGGCACACAAATATCCAGCTTTCGCATTAGCGACTTCATGACAATATCACAGGGAGCTACGTCAATTCAGAAAATGATTAGCAATGCGCAAATTACTTTCTACAGTCGATAGCAACGGAAATAAATCTCTGCTTATACCATATTACCATTTATCTTCAGAGTTGAATAGCTATCTTTAGGAGTCCACTATAGCGCGTACAATAAATCATATTATCAAAATACACCTCTGATAGATTTTTTCTAAGTAAATTAGGTATTAAAGCATAATAACATTTTTAAAAAGTTATTAATTCTAATTTCTAAAGGTGGACTAAATAATGAACTGTTCTAGGATGTCTCTATGTCAGTTTAAAAGTAATACCTGTAAGTTCACAATGAAAATTTTAGGTCTCTTTGATTTAGCCCTTTTACTTCCCCATAGCGGGTGATAGTGCTTCAAAACCTGTAAAAGATGAATTAGTGGTACTATCCAATGATAAATTTTTTTAAAAGAAGATAAGTTAAATTTAGAACTGGCATACTTTTAGGCTGGAGCCTAAACAGAGTATCATGTCCGTTTTGTTTGCCCAATCAATTGCAGTTTGCCAGTTATGGGGCTCTACTAATCTACTCCTTTCTCCAAAGTGAACAATTGTATCAACGAGGTTATTTCCACAGACGTCACAAGTTCTTCGAGTTGTGTGTCGCCTTAATGCCGTATCCTGCGTTACATCAAATAATCTAAAATATTCTCGTTGAGGTTGGCAATTACTGCAAACCTTTGATAATAAAAGAAAAGCATGAAAAGAGTTAAAAGTATATTTAAAAGTGTAATAAGAGTCGATTTACCTCCATGTACATGTTGCCATGGACTTCCGATAAGGCAGATCTTGGTAATCCACTTCTCAGATGCAAACCATCACAGTTTTGTGAAACAACATAATTCGCCTGGAAGAACATATTATAGCTATCAGTATTTACAGTAGCGTGTCTCATCAATAGTCATATATTAAAATTACGAATTAGCAAATGGAAAATATTTACTAGGTTCGCTTTATATAGTTCAACGATAGCCATGTGAGTAAATGTTGGCTCGGCTTCTATCATATCTCGTCCCCTTCGGAAAGAATTGTTATCAATTAGCGTAACAGGTTGATAAATTCAGTACTTATACAGTAAACTCATATGAATATTTCAATTTTACGAAACCGACTACGACTTAGTTCTTTTATAGCCTTTGTAGTAACTTACGTTGCTCTTCTACCACGAGCTAATTGCGTCCAGACACCATTTGGACCCCTTTCATATTTGATGAAATAAAAGCAAGCATAAACAAGATAATTAATAATAACGTTTATTTCTAGAAGTTTACAAGTCCGAATTTTCAAATGGACGATATGATTAAATAACTTGTAACTTACCGATAATCAGGAATTTGAGCAGCCTATGATATGGAATATAAAAAATAAGAATAGCTTAGAAACATACAATATTTGATATTGGACACTTCAATTAATTTATTGGTAGTGATAAGAAAGAGTTTAGGTGAAATGTAATCTTCGCCAAGGTAAAGTACTGAAGAAAAATGTCTGTTGTACCGTGCTTATTCCAGCTCCTGTATAGATGACCAAGCATTTAGCACAACGAACAGCCTCCGCTAATTGATCAATTTTTATGCTAATAACTTCAGAGTCGTCAATAATCTGAAATAAACGTATTTTTAACAAGATGTTAAATTCAATCAAGATACATCATAGATGGTTTAATTTAGTACTCTATTGAATTAAATTCTTCGCTTGTGTTGAGGATTATAGAGCCTCGTTACATTTGAATCGAGGTAAATATAGTTTACGCTTGTCTCATTCCTAAAAACTGTACATACGAGGTATGTACACTATCCTACTATAAAATATTATAATTCTATACGTGCGCAAGTAGGCTGTTAACTTGAGTTCATTTAATAAGTCGTATGGGCGAAGAAATTAAAAGCTATCAGAGTAAGTATCTCGTACTTAGTTTGTGTAATTCCGAGTGCGTAAACGTGCAAATCGCGTATCACTCTATTGTTTAAATTAAGTAAAACAAGATATTTTTTAAGAGTGATATATACGCGTAGTATAATAATCTTATACTGTACTAAGGTAGTACTATCAGGATTATAAGCTCAAAGCGGTGCAAGTATCAATTCATGTGTTGTATTTTGATGAGATTAAATATTCAAAGTAGCGATTTCCTGTTGTTGATATGTCTACATGTAAATTGTTTCCAAGATATATATAATCAATCCTGTAAGGCAGCTACGAATAATTTTAATAAAGTAAACAGGAACTATTCATTTAAATACTGTATGTAGTCAATTTATTTCAAGGGTGGTCAATCAAATTTAAAAGTCTTTCTATCACTCATCAGAAGAAATCCTGTATCCTTTTCCAGCTGTAATTTGCAAACACGCACATCGACACATTAGGGTTGCATAACGATAAAAGTACTCATACGGTGCCAATGGTGTGCTATATCGTTGTAGTGATCGTGTAAGATTTATATGGAATAGCTAATATGTAACGCCTATCTTTCATTCACTTTTCGAGGCTAAAGTAGGAAAGCAAAATGATGGTGCAACGAATGCTGTTAAGAAATTTAAGAATTCAATAGGCAATATTATCACTGTGTACTCGTATACGTGCAGTATGGTTGTATGTGAATTTATCAACCCGACGAATAATTAATAGAAAACAGCAACAATTTGCACAAATAACACAAAGTAGAAAACTGCAGTTGATAGATCTGCAAGAAAACCCAAGACAAGGGCAAAGTGTAGCGCTAAAGTCATACATATCACGATGTACTTACTGTTAACATACGTATCCTGATTAACAAAAAACTATCGGTAAACCGCTCAACACTGGTAGAAACCAAAGCGTTATTACGGTACTACTCTGCACCGTAATTAACAGCATTATATCTTATAGTAAAGTACAAGAAAACAGTGATATTGGAAGGGTAGATAGATGCTATAACTGACCTCCTCTTTTCTCGATTTTAACGTTAAATATTTTTGTAATGAGCGCTGAATATCCCCTGTAATTTCAGGAAAATTAGCTAGTAATGCGCTTTCATCACTGCTTCTGTCTTCAGCTTTGCGTAATAGAATTTTGCGAATGTTTTTATAACGTTGGTGATATTCAGCCTTTAATGAAGCGTCCTCGGCTTGTTTCCTCTTGCGATCTTCTCTTGAAATCTTGATGACCGCCTGATTCATACCGTCACTTGATGTGCTTTCATTCATGTTTCACACCGATATTTATAATATTGATAATTCTGTTTCCTTTTTACGTATCTTGGTTTTAACTTGAGCTATTCAAGAGTTGAAAACAAGAATGGATTGGCAGTATTGCTGATTAGGTATGCAACATATCCACTTACAGTAATATATAATGAGGGTTAGCAAATCAAATCTATGATCTAGCGGCGAAAATCAAATCCTCGTTATTATAATCGCTCTAGCCTGTAGGTGTATTTGTAGTTTACTAACATGGTATGCAAGATCGAGGAAATAATCATCACGGTAACTTCCCTTTATTGGTAGCAGTCAATTCTGAGATGATGGCTATCGACGAAACGCTTTCAGGCTATCCATCGTGCATTCGTTTTCAACTAGTTTTTATCAGTGATGTTATCATAGAATATCCATGGAACACTTAACTTTCATATTGAATGTATCCGAATTATACATGGACAGTATTAGAGCTTTCTACTGACGATAATAATGGTTGTAAATGGTAGTAATAATCATATCATTAGCGATCCAGTCTTTAATGCTAGAGCACAAAGATCAAGATCTCGTTATTAGATGAATATTCGAACGGTCCTTCCGCCTGGTTACTACGATACAGTTCTGTACAGTGTACAGTACGTACGGTACAATCTAGACAGTGTGACAGTACTGTAAGAGTAGACAGTACAGTACCGGTAACTGTAGCCGAGAACCAATACAAAATATTTAATTTGAACTGAACTAGCACTTATCCGCTTGTCGAGTCTTGAGATTCTAGTGCTGTACAGACAGACAATCGGACGTAAAATGCAGTGCTAGTTACTGCTCTTTCAAGTGATGGCACTACAGTATTTATATAGAGAAAGTTGGAGCGTGTTCTTATCTTCGACTTTTATAGTACGTCAAACTCGCATATTACGAATGTACCGATTGAAGAATGATGCTAACCGTGTTGCTCCAGTATTGCCATACAGAATCATGTACGTTATCACTTGTTCTGGACTGTTTAAAAACTATACTATATACAGTACTGGCCAACCCATCTTGTTGCAGAAGGCTGCTCAAGTGCTCATTGCTCAATCGTTGCTGCAACCATTGGTGGAAATTGATCTCGCAATTGCTACTGACGATGGAACATCATTAGAACTGTGGAGTATTTTGAGCCTGGAATAGCCTGCAGTAAAGTTGATTTTTACAGTAGAAACTAGGAATAAGAAATGAATCAAGATTAAAGTGGAAAAGATGAATCAATGGGCCATACCTCGGACAATATGCTCTGTTTATCAGAGCTGTTGCAATGCCAGCCGTTGGGGTATCCAAGGTAGGCATTTCCTCAACTATCAAGCCAATATTCAGTTACACTGTAGAAGATTCCTCTGGGATTACACTCGTCCTACAACTACGGTTAGAATGATGACGATGGATCGTTGGATTGCAAGACAAAAGATACCAAACTCCTTACGTAAATGGACGACTACAGCTAATCTTTATTGCACAGATGAGAACAAGTGCAAGGATGTTCAATCGACAAGACAATCGCGTAACCAATTTAGTGGCTATCAGTTACTTTATAAATTACCTCGAATGCATTGGTTTCGATTTGCGTCGCGATTTAAATTATTCCAAGTTGGATTCATGTTAAGTCTTAGCATTCCTTCGTGCTACTGGTATACACATCAAATGATATCCAACCTGGTTTTTTGGACTACAATTAGTACTGCAACCAGTACAACAGTCGCTTTGTTTGTTTTCAGTTATTTTTTCCGTCGAATTATTGGCGAATTATGGATTTCTGATGATGATCAAGAAATAATCCTATCAACTTTGACGTTTTGGGGAAATAGACGTAATAGGTAACGTTTCTTATCCATGCTTATATCTACATTAGCAGGCAAGACTGAATTCATTTTCGCAGATAATCGGTAGTAGTTGCATTATTAACTTAAGGCGATCAGCTTACAGTCAGTAATGATGTAATCCTCGTCCATTTACTATGCTCCGCTGGTAAAGCTAGCTATACGCATAAAAATAACTTCTTTTGAAGATTACATGATAGTATGCTGGAATAACTTTAAGAAATAGATAATAATTTCATCACTCATTTAATATCTGCTAAATTTGTAGACATTATCCTGTCGAATCAGTTGTCTCATGGAGCGACGGAAGAATGGCCGCTCGATTTCTCAATGATGAAATCATTCAATATTTAGAGATTAATGGAGCAAAAGAAGACTTTTATTACAGTATTCCATATGGAAAAATATATGATCATCCGAGATTTTTACAAGTTATTGGATATGAAGAAATCAAAGAAATGGATGATATCTAATTGAATGCAGTAACATAGATTCATACTGTATATTATTGACCATTACAGTACTACAATTGTACACACAGTACTTACTAGTTGACATCATTTACCGTGCAAAATAGAAAATTTCAAATTAAGCGTATAGAATCAACCATCGAAATGATATTTAATCAATCTTTTTTCACTATCCTTCCACTCACGTATATATACGCGCATATACACTGTAATTAATTAATTTATAGTTCTGCTTCAGTATACAGCTAATTATTTTTCTTCCGGTAACAATTCCTAATTTTAGAAGTGATATAGATAGTACGTAATTGTATAAATTAGTTATAGAAGTAGATCCAAAAAATTTTTCCACTATGGATAGAATATACTGTAGTCGTACATGTTGAAATAGGTAGCAAATTCATTCTATACTAACCTTTTTGAAAGTATCTTGCAGTAAGGATAACGATTGTGCAGCTAGTTTTCGACACTCACTATTGGGATCTTTGTGAATTAAATCTAGTCTCGATAAGCATACCAGAATGATAATTTATTAAAAAATTATTCTACCAAGGCTATACTATCATTGATAACTTTATACTGTCTAGCACTACTATCCAAACATTTTGTGCATATAAATATCTAGTATTTACTTTTTTAAAACATACTCAGATTTATTTTAATGTCAAAATGTATAAACCTTGCATCCAAGCTTGAAATTCATAGATATCTGCATTCCCGATTAAAACATATGAAGGTAAACTTAAGATGATCATCGTGAAGCTGAAAATGATCGACTGGCGAATGTACCTGCAAGTTAGATTGGATATATGAGGAATTGAAAAATTTTTGTTAACAGATAGAGATTAAATTTATTTTTAAAAGCTTTTTGTAGTCTCTTACGCTTCTTCATGAAATCTTACGGCCCATAAAAATTCTAATAAAGATTTACCCATACTGTCAACAATCTACATCGATAAATATCAAGTTAATACTTACTATCTGACAGTATGTTCACATTTGGGTTGGTGGCTAGTTAGTCTAAGCTATCCATTTATACTAACCGTAGTATTAATAGCAGCATACAAGACGACACCTAACGTATAAATTAATCGACCTAATACGAAGGAGTCATCTCCAAGTAGATCCATGGTGTTTAATGGTCTAGTTAGTAGCGAGAAATACCAATAAGTAATTTGTTGAACTTATTTATTAAAATTGTTATTAGCTTAAGCGCTAAGACGTATACAACCTGTCAAAGTGCTGCAGTAGCGGGAAAAAGAAAAGGCCTGCGACTGGTGCAAAGCGATTAGCTATACTCTTTACTCGTGACTTTGGCCGACCCTATGCGAATAAATAATCACGATTATATACACGAAATATGAAGCTGATAAAATAACAAGAATTTAACCTATTTGACATCAAAATTTTAGGTGCTATTACTAACTTTCGCAAAACGACGAGTTTTCAATTTAATTCTTTCATTGACAATTTGCTGCCAATTCGGAGTCTTTGACCTATGTTGGGGTCCAGTGCCATAATTGTCACTGGGTATCGCCTCTTTCTTACTTTCACTATCAGTCGTGTGTGGGGAAGATAATTCTTGAGCAGATTTCGCAATAATCTAAATGTTGTCATAAAGTTTTTAATAATTTGTAACATCAAGCCTGGATCAGACAATAAAATAAAATCAATATTTTAGAATAAATCATTTTTTCAATTTTGTTTTGATAAACACCTCTAATATATCCAAACGTTGCTGTAAACTGTAATTGGTTTTATAAAATTCCGTAGTTAAATACTTAACAGCCTACCCATAGAATAAATTATTAAAATTTGATGAGATATGATGCATATAGGTCGTATCAAACATAAATTCTATTATCTTCATTAAAAAGGATTTAATAACCTGGGTTGGGCATTGTACAGTTGTCGATATCATAGCTGATAACCGTACAATATTATAATCTTCCGCAGCACTTTCATTTTGTAAGTGGAGAAGAATCTTTACAATTTCTTCTGCTAACTAAAATACACAAAATTAAAGAAGCCAAATCTACGTAAAAACATCGGATAAACTATCTACTGTATTGCAAAAAATTGAGGTTGACAATAATTGTAACATTTACGTTCGGCAAATCACTCGGATTTCTTTTCACTAAACTTTCAATCGTATGTAGACATACATCAACTCGGTGTGGATCATCATTAACAAGAAGACCTAGATTTTATTTCAGTATGTACACATTCCAGAAACATTAAGCTAGCGACATAAAATTTTTTATCAATTATTCGTAAATTAATGACATACTGTACTAACCTTCTATGCAATCACGGATGTAAGAAGGTTTCTTAATTTTATTTACAACTGTATCATTACTCATGTCATATGATTCGAAATCATCATCACTAAACAATAAATAAAAAATAAGTCTTTCTATTCCTGTTTTGTAAGAAATTGTGACAATTTACCATCCGTAAGAAACATATATAGCCTAAGCAATACACCTTACCTATCTAATTCTTCATATGTAGTGGCAACTTTTGACGATGATTCTTCTAAAGTTGAGACGATGTGTCGCCCTTGGCTATGCAACGTATCTTTAGGGTGCTTATTTCTGTTCGAAAATTGGATTCGATTAATAATACATGTGACTCTTATTTCCAATAGATGTTATCTAGCATATGCTACATATACCTATCGTACAATCTATCACTAATAGTAAAATACGATAGTAGATAACAGACCCCTCCTGTTCATCCAAATTGTATTTGCTTATTGTGTGTTCAAGTTCTCTAAGTGTTTAAAAGTATGAATATTTCATGTCAGTTATTGCTTATAAGAATCACTATAAATTAAGAGCGTACTGCAGTAGGACTGGTAATTTACCCATCTTGCAATTTTGGTAGTCGTTTTTGAAGAGCTTTAATTTCATCAGTTTCATCATTTTCTTCATACTGTAACAAAATTTAGTTTTAAAACTTTGATTGATTGATTGACATGTTGATCATGCCGTCATGCTAAACCTCGAATCGTAGACGATTTCCTCCGTTATCTAAGACATCCGTTAATGTTTCTCCAACAATCATACCTAGACGTCTAATCTAATGAGATATATACCCATATAACAGGTTTACAATGCGGAAGTTATGATATATTTAAATTGAGATTCGAGCGCATGAGTATTAGATATAAAAAGTTGATTTATTATTACCTGTATCGTATTATTTTCTAAGTGTACTTGCATACCATGGAGTAACTTTACTAAAACAGCTACAGTATAAGCGCAGTAAATTAGTTATCTTAAACTGCTTTATCTCTAAAAATATTGTACTATTTCAAGAATAATACCTTGTTGGTTCGAAATGACTTCTTTCTTATCTAAATGCGAACATAGTATCAATAGAACTTGTGATAGATATAGATGTTCTTCATAGCCAGTATATTGGATAGCGCTCTTCTTGCACCATGCATCTAAGACTTCCAGAAATGTCTTTTTTCATAAAGTTAAAGTGGTCGTAAGATGAAAGAATTGAACAATTTTTTAAGATAATGAAAATATTGTACTAAGTAATGTGATTAATAGACGATTAACCTACCTCTGATAGAAGTGATTGTAATCCTTGTAGATGAAGGTAGCTTATAATATTTTTAGGTATTGATAGCTATAAATATCGAAATCATATTTAGCCTTCAGTATAACAACGTGCTTTTCAAGCTAATTTTGTAAGAGTATTACGTTTTTGAAGGATCGAAGTAGCAAAAATTTTTTAGTAAACAGGAAGCGTAATTTCGAACTTTCATTTATATTGTTGCCCAAGAGCCTTGAAATTAGATTATTAGGAGATAATGACCTAGCAATAAATGATACTTAACGTCAATTTGATGACATATTCTTTTGTTTATATGTGAGTGAATGGAAATCACTTACGGTTTGATAGTTGTTAACAGGGTTATTAGTATATTTTCGAGAGAAGAATCCGGTATAGTGCAAAGTAGTTTTTGTATTACTGATTGCCATAAGTTATTTTGCTTAGTATTTATTGTCCAAGATGGCAGAAGATAATAAAATATAGTATCTAGTATATACGGGTTATAACAAATTAGCATGAGAATTTTCCTGCTTTTGCCCTAGGCCAAGGACAATGTCTTCAATATACAGTATTACTTACCGGCATGGCCTATTATAGTTATTTTACCCAGTAAATTACCAAGGAAGGTTAGATTGTAGGAATGTCCATCTGTTTCAATACCAAAATAATCAAAACAACTGTAAACATTTTGTTTATTTCTTGTCATCATTTCACTCTATTAACAAGTACTTTTCTATATTGCAATATTAGATAACAAAGATGGTATTTACAGTAACATAGTTTGATCTAGTTTGACCTTCGAATAGTACCTTTTATGAATTCATATATCAACTTCAATGAAGCATCTATCTGCTGAGCTATGCGCTGAAAGTACGATTTCGGATAAAAGTTGGATCTATACATGAAAGAAGTGAAGAATAAATACAGCAGGAATGAATTTACGCATATAAAGATTACAGAAATTGTAGATCGGAATATAAATTTATTACTTGATATTTAATTCCAGCTTGTTTGCAATTCGCTCAGGTAATGAAGCTAGATCGCTAATAATTCGTTCATAAAGATTATTCTGTAAGGTAGCACTAGCAAGGTCATTCATCTCCTTGCTCTTGACCAAGGAAAAGCTACAGATCAGATCCCTGATTCTATCAACTTGTATAAATTGGTCCAGCAAATTGATCCCTTGACGTAGTACCAAAGAATGACTAGATAGGATAAATTATCATAATGCTTTCAAAACCATTAAATGTTATTAACAACTAGATGATTTAGGAAGATATAATCTGCATCCATATACATTAATTAAATGCGAATAAAGATAGGTAAATGTACAGCTGATTTTTAGATTGGTGTAATTCACTGACAGTGTCTTTATACGAGTATCGTAGCCAATAGCCGCTGTAGCTGGTTATTGCAAGAAAGAATGTATTTGGTGCTGCGCATGCATAATTGCACATGCATCTACGAATTACAGTCAAGATATTGATGCAATCGTGCACGATTGATGTTGATATGCTGTATGAGGTCAATGCTAAACTCAATCTTGGATATATAAATTATACACCTTGTACTATATTAATTGCATGCAGTTGTCTATCTATTGCAGTGCTTTTTTGCATCACGTATAGTACTCTTGCCATGGTATCAGCAAGCTCGTTAACTTCTATAGTACATCATAAGATGATGATAAATGGGTTGATTACCTGGAGGTATTGAATATATTGGATAGCGAAAGAAAAGCTTCATGGCACGGTCCTTTAAGAAAGAAGTGATCAAGATACTGTACTCGATTTTCTGCAGTGATTTTAGTGGACCATTTAGCATACGTCTTGATGATCGCGTTGGCAGCCATGGTATAATATCTGGTCGTAAATTGCATCTTAATTTCATTTAGATTGGATTGGAGTGGTGATTGTGCTACGCCTGTTAGTAATGCATTAAATTCTTGTAATCCTTGTAACCATTCTTTCTGATCGTCAGTGTTTTGAATTTGTCGTATAACCTTGGCAACGATAGAATAGACCTCAGATTGAGCAATAGAATGTGCAGAGTCCATCTTTGATCTCAGCTTGCTGCTGGAGCCTGCTGGAGAAGTTGCAACTTAGCAACCAGCTAGAAGGTTTGCAAGGGTCACCGCTGCTTCACAGTCGAGTTCAACAATGCCAACGAATTTTCTATAGTGTTGTCTGTTACTGATGGGCAGTATGATACAGTATACTGTATAATTTATCTCAGTTGTACGATTTTGCCTTCAGGTAAGCATTCGCAATCAACTCTCCATGGTACAGCATGTTGTATTGGATAGGCGATGGTGGAAGCGAGTCTATTAAATGATGAAATTGCGAACGACGTCGAAAACGATTATTCACTATATAGTAGCGCAAACAGTGCATTCAAGCAATACAAGCTGTTTTGTAACAGGACTCGTACCTTGTATAGTAGGCAATTTTGCCATTTTCTGCCTTGTAGCCAGCCAAGCTGGAACCAATCTGGCCAGGCATCCTGTTTTCTATCTGGAATATTATTTATTACGGCATCATTATACTGGAAAGTTGTTGTTTTATGCTGCTTACTTTGCATTATTACCGAATCTACTTAAAATAGAACTTATTAGCGCAATTATTGAGTTGCTTCCCAGCCGATGTAATCATGCCGGCGCTGATCGCTTTCGGCCGACGTTGGGGCATTGGCAGTGATGATTTGGTTTGTTTTGGATTAGGATTAGCAGCTATTCACATCTTTGGGTAAATGCAAGAGAATTCTCTTCTTGATCTACTTAATTGATATGCTTTATAGCTTTATTTTGACTACTAGCAGTATTGGTCAATGTTGTAATATAGATAAATGGCGTTATGATTGGTATGATGAACCCACATCAAAATTGTTGTAGTTACCTTCGTGCAGCACCTGCTATTCATGGGCTAGCGCGAAGTCAACTAGGACTACAACTCTCATTTTTGAGTAATCCTTACTGATTGAAATATAGATAACTTACCGTAAGAGTGTTCTGTTTGCTAAAGCAACCACTGTGGCCATTATAGTGCTTCACTGTGGTACCGATTAATGATGATTGGATCGGTGCGATGTCAATGTACTGGCCTAATGTCGCTAAAATATAATCCACTTGCTACTTGAGCATCAACTAAATCCATTTGAATGCTGTCCAATAACGATCAACAATGAATTGGTCGGCCTGAGTACAAGCTACTGCCAGAGATTACTGCAAAAACAAGTTGAATTTACTGCCGTAATCGACTTGATCACTTGAGTTGACAGTCAACTTAAGCCACTAAAATACTAATCCATGGATCAGTAATTAATGGATCGATCGTACAGGCTAACGCACAAAAACTACTATAACAATGAGTAGGCTTAGATATTGTGAATAAGAGTAAATTCGTATATTTCATCGAGATAAATCGTGATGTTACTCGTGGAAGATCATTTTGAAATTGGATAACTGTTGTAAACATATTAATTATTAACTTTTGATCAGTATGATCGCTCGTACAGGCCGCTATAAACTGGATGAATGGAGCAATAGGCATCGTCAAGAAGATATCCTGTTTGATATACAAGTGCATAACATGCACTACTACAAGAAAAGTAGTCCTTGACAACACTAACATCATCCATCATGTACTGTAGAATGTTTTCAACTTCATTGCTAATTATACAGTGTTATTATTAATTGTATTTGCTCAATTCCAACAGTATAATTAATCATTTTTCACATGCTACAGAAGGTAATTAGAGTGGGTTAAAATGACAAATTTCGATACAACAGTAAATTACTAACGGTGACATCCGCTCGTAAGAGTGTTGAGGACTAGGCAAATTAATCACCTAGAAGCCCATTGGCATTGTATGACTCGAATATTTATAACATACCTACTAAATAGATCAGTTATAGCGTTTTAGTCCAGTACTGTAGCCAATGTAGGTTGCTAAATATTTTAATCGCATTTATATCAATATGTTGTATGTTGCTAAGCTTCTACTGTATGAAATAAAGTCTAGTATTATTATATTTCATCATCTTACGAAATAACAACGAATGAAGACGATTTCAAGATGTTACTCTATTCAATTTTTATAGATATTAAATCTTTATTAATGCTGAACTTGTTCTGTTTTTGAACAGGATTGTCTTTTTTGGTATTATATATCATCTCCATGATAGGAATTATCCATGTCCAAGCATTAGTGTATTACATATCTTCTTAATTGGTGTCTTTGTCATATTATCATGCTTAATCATATTGGAATTGGCTATTGGTATTATTAGTAGTCGAGGAACTATCTATAATAGTAGACCTCGACGTTCCTTGCGATACTTTCTATATTTTCGATTACTCTTGATGCTGCCTGAGTTAACGTGGACAGCTTTAGGCACGTACTGGACTTTTGCCGACAGCTCTGATTGCCCTGGAGAAGATATTATCGTAGTTCGAGCAGCTATTTTAGCCAATTGGTGCTTATTATTCATATTCTTAGTTATGGCATATTGCTTATTTGATCCTTTGGGATCATTGCCTTTAGATGGTCGCTTCGGTTAGTCGTTCTTCATTATCCTATTAATAACATCAAATATTTAGTGAATGATTGTTAAGAGAATCGTGAATTTGATCACAGCCGAAACTAAATACACATGATTATATTATAGGACAAGAGGAGCTTGAAAGGGCCCAGCGTGTATGGGAAAGGCGCTGTCGTATAGTCTGTTGTTGCGCGCAAGCAGATACTGACGGGCAAGCTTATAGTGAACTTGGTGCATTATTCGCTTCTGTATTTCTCAACATGGGTACAGTTCCATCGGATATTGCGGCAGGCTTAGTACTAGTTCATCGCCAACAGGAAGATTCTCAACTCTTGGCTGAAATCAAGGTTAGCAAATGTTAGAAATTAATAGACAGAGATTATGAGTGACGTAGCAGCTAAAATTAAAATATAGCTGAAGGTGAATAAATTATATTGAAAATTTCAATTTGATATAGAATGGCAGCTTAACAAGAAATAATAAATTGGTTATGAATCCATTTGATATGAGTAGAAAGGTATAAGACTAGTCTATTTGGATAAGATTGAATGAAATCGTACACGCCATTTGTAGTTGCTCGTTATAATGTTCGTATAGAGTAATGAATTGGCTAACCCTAATCGGCTATTACTTTATTAAGTATAACTGATTATTCCAGATCCATGTTATATGGTACTTTATTTCATATCAGTATTTATTCCTTTTGGCTTCGTAGGAGGATCAAATGACTTTATGGAACTTAACACATTATGCGAATTATGCCAAAGCAGCTTATGGCTGGCCATTCTATGTATATCATAACATGATATCTAGTCAATGTTCGTTGTGCCAATATTATCGGTAACTAACATACACTTTAGTTTATTCTTTGAATTACTGAACTGACATTTTTGAATCCAACAATAATTTAATTATGGTGCAATGACAGCAAATATCCTAAACGATTACGTCGTATTAGTTAATGAGATGTCTTATTTTTATTAATTGTATAAAAGCTGCTGCTCATGCATTCGAAAGTCAAGAGATGATCTTCCAGTTGTTGGGGACAACTGTTGCTCTTGTAACTATGCTAGTATACGTGCCTCAACCAAATTAAATAGAGAAGATATTTTGTACGCTCGCTACATCGATAAGGTAACAATTAAAGGATACTGTATATCCAAGATGAGTAATAAGAACTGAACAGTATAATTAGGCGGTGTGCTGTAGTGATATTTTTTAAGTACTAGATTAATATCCTTTAATGGTAACTAAGACTGATTCTATACGTAAATCTATGGCAGGATTATGAACTTCCATTTTTCGTGGCTATTGATCGGTTCACTAAATCGATTGTTGTCAGCATTCGTGGTACGTTATCGTTACATGACGCGTTAACAGATTTACGTGCTTTGCCTGAAGAGATAAACATCGATGGTGTAGAGGATGCTTATGCTCACTCGGTTGGTTTACAATATTGTGTAGATAAATATAGTAATAGGTATTCAGTTATGTTATAAATTTGTGTGTGGCCCAAAATTATAATAGGGTATCTGCAATAGTGCTCGGAAGATTAAAATTCTTCTAGAGCAAGAAGTAGGTCTAGGATCTATTATGAATAATTATCGTGTAAGTATTTTCATCACAATATTTTTATCTTTTTATTTAATATTTTTAAAGATTTTATGATCTACTGTAAAATATCCAGTGATTTATCCGTTGGTTAAAGATAAGGTGTTGTATAACTTTTAGGGATTCAAGTTAGTTATCGTTGGACATTCCTTAGGTGCAGGAGCTGCTGCTATTTTATCTATATTACTAGAATCTACTTTTCCGGAATTATCGTGTTATGCATATTCACCTCCAGGTGGATTAATGAGGTTAGTATATCGCTGTTAATTCAAATTTAACACTTAAAATTCAAAAAATTTATCATGAATTGCTTTACTCATTTACATTACATCATCATCAATTTATTCCAAAGCATACCACTTTCAAAATACAGTCAAAAATTGGTAACCTCAGCAATATATAGAAATGATTTAGTTCCAAGGTAATTGAACTGATAGTGTTTTAAAATTATCGCTTTTGTAAAAATTTAATTATCAGTACGGCATTTTTATTCGCTAAGATTAAGTCTTCAAAATGTAATGAAATTGCGATCATCTATTATGGCCTGCATTCGATTCTGCAGACGACCCAAGGTGCACTAAATTTTCGTACATGAGCGTAACATGACAGTGCTATTTCTAAAAATTTAAAACTATTGATACAAAATTTGCGGTGCTAATCTACCGATCCTATTATTTATTTTGCTTACCAGTATCAAGTTTTAATGACAGGCTGCTGCTGTCTTGCTACCACTTGCTGCCAGTGCTGTATAGGAAATGATATCGATCTGGATAATGTCACAATTAACAGTGATAACGAAAATGATAGTGGTAACAGTACAGTAGAGGAGGTTATACCACTTTTAACAGCTGCTAGAGTGGGTTCTGGCTCTTTTGGTGCTATCCGTAATGTAACAGATATCGATTTATTTCTTCCTGGTCGAATAGTCCACGTTTTGGAAGATCAGCCATCGAGGTACAGTATGAGCTACTGTACATTCGTCTATTTCTTTATAGTAACATTACTATGTTTATTGCATAATCCTTACGTAAGTAACTTAGTAATTATCAACAATCCCATGGCAAGTGCATGAGTAGCTTATGTGCAATGCAAAGTTCTTCATTAAAGTTGTCATAATAATTGTTTAATTTCATGTTGATGGTATATTAATAGATCATGTGGTTCGAAACCAACATATAAAGCATTTTGGAGTGATTTTACAGCATTTGACGCTTTACTTGTTACAAGTGGTATGATTGGAGATCACTTCCCTGATGGAATTTGTGATGCACTATTACACTTGATGGATCAGTACCCTCATAATTTTGATACCGAGATTACAATATAAAACCAATGAAATTTATCGCTTGTTGATATTTACAATTCATGAATCAATTTCCAGAATATTAGCTATGAATATAATCATTAAAGAAAACATACTGTAATAAAGTCTCTACCGCTACAGTACACAGTTATATTAACAGATTGACACTATAATGCGTTGCATAACATTTTACAACCATGGTAATCAGCAGAAATTACGATGATTATTTGAAGACTTTTTATAAATTTGTTATAGTATATAACTATAACAAAAAATTATACTCAACTAGAAACAAATCGCAAATTAAGATTGATTTTAATTTTCTGATCATGTACATGTGAATAATTTGAAATAACTGCAGCAATTAGTGAAACTAAATAATGTTAATTTGCACTTAGCATCACCGTGTGTTATAGCCAGTTTTGTTATATTTTATAATTTAGATGAAAATAATACCAAACTTTACCGAAAAATTGTTACAGTGATATTTATTTTCAAATATGATAGTATCGTGTAAAAATCCTCAAACGGTAAAAATTAGTTCTGTACAGTTTGTATGACTGTAAAAATATGCATATTTCAACTAGATATCTAAAGTTTATTTTTTAAGAATTTATATTACTTGTCATAATAAAACAAATTATTAGACTATAAAGTATGGTATTATTATCTCGACATCAAAGTATTATATAAGCATATTAAGAAATTGAATAATTAAACAGTAACCAATCGATTACTCGATATGGAAAATAACATCTTAAAAATACAATTTAAAGGCTAATTCACTTGAACGAAATAATATCTGTCGTAGCATCTGCCATTAAAATTTTATCGAAGTAACAAGAATGATGATCATACTAATAGACAATACGTCAATATTTTTTCTGATGTGTTGTAGTCAATGTGATAAAATAGAAACATCGAAATAGTCGTTTACGCTAATATATTGCAATTCAAAGACATAATTTTAATTTTAATTCATATCAATTTCGTAACTGATCATTATTAATCATCTTGTATCTGACTTCTGTATATTAGTGGAATTACTATCCGATGATTGTGATTTTTATTTCCGTTTAAAAAAGCATGCATGTTTTAATAACTTGTAGCGAATTTCGAGAAGAATAACGTTCAATGTATAAAATTCTTTACATGGACTAATTATTTAAACTGCCGGTATCAAAAGAAGCAATTTCTTGTTCAAATTGTATTATCTTCAGGCGTTAGAAATCAAACCACTAACGATTGATTACTACTTAATAACGAATTGTAAGAAAGCTATCACGGTAAAACCATCTAATTTGCTTAAAGTGCACTCGCTATTAATGAATTACACTAATTTATAATAATTAAATCGAAGAGACCTCGTTAAGGAAATTGAAGCGGTCCATCTATACTACAATTCTTGATTCAAAATAAGGGCGATCCCGAAGTAAATGACAGATAGACTGTACTAAGATTCATAATTTTTAAACGAAAATAATTATACTAATTATTTTCGGGTATGATAGGCGTAGAACTGTAATAAATCATAAGGCGCAGACAGATCTTTGCATATGAGGGTATGCATTTAGTTTCAATTCTTGAAAAACTTGAACTATCATCCCATTCGTATGAGATATTTGATAAATAAGTTTAACTTAATCTTGATCTATTTTAGGACCTGCATGATCTTAAAATTAATTATTTATTAAGACTTTTCTTATTAAGATCGCTTTACAATCTATTATAATTATGCTAAAGGTCAAAAGCTTATTATCAGCTTGCATCGGTTTACTGTATTTGAAAAGATTATTTACTAGTCGTTACAAGTAAGGTTTAGTACATGATTTTAATTTTAATTTTAGTCATTTTACCTATAAGTGATTTTGAGGCGATCATTCATTAGATTTACTTATATGAGGATCACTTACAATATATCATTTCGTTAATGAAAAGTCAATTCAATATCTTCGTATCTTTGAAGTTATAGAACTTGTACGCCTAACAAAGATAAATCCCACTGCTGACCAATTGGAGAAAAGCTTGGGCATAGTGTAGCCTAATTTTCCTTAATGCTATATTTTTGGACGTTTTTAAAAGCTGTAATTATCTTCGGTAACTATTTGCAGTATCATATATTGCAAAGTACGTCATCTTTTCGTAATTAGTTTCGGTAGCAACTTTTTGTGTTAATTGATATTTTGTAGTCGGAATTTTGTACTGTGTATGTCTAGCCATAGGGCCTGTTTCATTCAAAATTTTATTTCGTCTACACTACGGTATGTATACGAGAACTCATCTCAAGCGTAAATTGTGATTATATTGCGCGCTAGCATTTTACAATTCGTAAAATAGGTTTCTCCTGCTTAATTAAACTCCTAATTGTCCCAATGTATACCGTAAATGGAATTTTCACCGCTATCAAGGGAAATTACTTTAGAGAGTTAAATCTATTGAAGGTATAATCAAAGGATGTTAAGTAAAGGGCATATTGAGTATGTATTTAATCTCTTAAATGCAGGTACACACAATTGTTCCAATGCCTTCGGATTCTACTGATCTAAGCCAAGTTTTCCAACTTCTGATCAATATGAGTTTGCTTGTAGAAGCATAGATTAGCAGATTAGTGTTATGACATTAATATTTATTGGCATGGCATTTAATTTTTAAATCAAGGTAATACAAAGAGATTTAAATAGCTATTCGAAGGTTATAATAAAATCATATATATATATAGCCTATTATTAAGGCAGAATTGTGTTTTGAAAATGTATCACAGATTAACTTTAATCTTCATTTCGGATCCTATACGTGTAGATAATTTGTTTCCAATGCAAGCAGTAAATTACCGGCAGCAAATAGTGAACCTAAACAATATAAATTTTAACTAAAGCAAAGAGTCAAATGTAGTTGTGATTTATAAGTCGGGCGAGAAATGATGATGTTGTACCATGATTGTTAGAAAAGAGTTTGTTATATAATTTTTTCAAGAGTGGCAACGTCATATAAAAATACGTATAGGACAAAAAATTATTTCTGTTTAACATATATGGCTCTTGTAATTTTATACTTCCAGTGAGATACTTAAATTTTGAAGAAATTAGATCATATATCATAGTAAAATTTAAGTCAGAAGAGATCATAATTGTAGGATATCAATAAAACTGTGATGGAAGACCGTGAAATAAAAAAATTAAACAGTGGTAACCAATTTAACCTGGCATTGTGATAACATATCGGAAATATCATTTAAAGCTTTACCGACTTGAAGTGGCCGATGATCGGACATCATGGCCCCAGCCATTAAAATTTTATCAAAGACAAGATGATCACTCCAATAAGCTGTGTGCCCAGTTTCTTCTGTAGTACTATGATCAATAAAATGCGACGAAGAATTGTAAGTGTTCTTTATGCAAGCAGTAAAAAAATATGTTTTTTCATATCTATTTCATATCTACTAAAACTGAGTAGAAGTGATTATCTTATATACAGCTTGTATTTGGCATCGAGATGACTATTAGCTACCTTTAATAAAATGTTATTGTAAGAGAATCCAATATCTACGATGCTCGAATATTTCGATATAAAATTTAAACTACTAGCTAATTTTTAAGTACATTGCAGGCAGATAAAACAAATGCATAATTTACAACAATCTACTCTTAGGTAATCATTAATTATTAGTAACAGTTCTCATAGAAGCATCGTATCAGGTGGCATGCTCTTACTTAAAGTGCCGGTTATCGGTAAGGTACGCGATCTTTCCAGGCGGAAAAAGTTCAATAATATCCGAATCCGATAATGTATCTATAATTGAACGACAGATATCAATACTTGCAATGTTTTGATAACATGAAATAGCTGTTACACTAAATCAAATACTATTTTATATTTTACATGGATCAACAGGTGGTTGCCCGTTCTCGAGATCAGCTTCCGTACAATTCAATAAACAGCCCAGTGTAAACTGTGCGCAACAGCAACAGCAGCAGCAGCGACTGGTAGACAGAATTTTATACTAAATTAATTAATATGAACTAAAATTAATAATGAGATTACGTTGCATCTAAATGGACAAAATTTAATAATTTAGTGCTTTAACGCATGCCGTAATTGGGTGTAACAAAAAGGAATTATCGTTTAGAAAAGCCTAACTCAGTATATTAAGCTATCACTTATTAATAATTATTAGTACCGAGCGCTTTCAACTCAAAAGTGCGAAATATTAAAAATTACCTTTGGTAAAGGACAATCTTGAAGCTGTGTTAATATTTCATGGCGTAACTTACGAAGGTTCTGTCTGCTCAATCTAAACAATGCAAAAATTTACGAGGTAATAAATTACAGTGATTAATAAGCAATGATTGTATAATTAAGTGGCGTACTCATGTACTATAACTTATCTTCGTACCTTGGAATAACGTCGTAGCCGACAACCATAGATATGATAAACCCTTCCGTATATGTACGAAGTGACGAGCTAGGTAATTAATGATTTCAGTTAGCAATAAAGCCGTTAATAGCTTAATTTTTATATGTCGCTTATGGTAATAAAGAATCATCGTAAATATAGTACCCACCTCACAAGGCCGCCAGGTGGAGAATATGCGTAACATAACAATTTAGGATAATCACGTCGAAGAAGAATTGATAGAATAGCAGCTGTACCAGCACCCAATGAATGTCCAGTAATAATAAGTCGGTAGCTCTGTAATTACAAATTTTTATAGTTACCAAACGATAATAATATTTTAGCAATTTCAGGTGAAATTGAATTAATTAGATAATCACAAGTTTTGGTTCAGCTTTCGGCTATGATTTCTTATTACTACGAAGGCTATTTTATATTACTCTACGGATAAGAATGACATAAATGGTTCATGTATATAGATCACTAGTCGATTACATTTACGGTTAAATGATTAACTTTCAAAGGTACTTCTATCACTGAAGTCATTGCCAACTATTAAGTATTAGGATGTTTGTATGCTTGATACAGTGTTTATAGGTGCGTAAAATATGTGAAGTGCATAACTTGTAAAGCTAAATACCTTATCACTTCAATATGATAGTTTCTACTAAAGGTGGGTTTCCAAATTAATAAACTTAATTATATAGTCTAGTTGTATACATTACTACATATCTATAATCACTTACAGAATGCTGTTTCATAACGATTGCTAGTAGATTGTTTTCATCTAACTTCTGCTTGATATTTTCAGCACACTTAGTAATTCCCTACCCAAATTTAAATAATCAATCAATTATACGTATGTAGGCAGATATTTTCGTATTTAGATTTTAGGATTAAGCATATTTAGAATCCATAATTTGACTTCAGTTTTTTCGTTACTCTTAACACTGAATAAAGTCTTCCATACCTGGTGTGTATAAGCATCTTCTACACCGTCAACCAAGAGCTTTGTTGGTGTAGCAATCATATCAGCAGCTAGATCAATCAATGACAATGTACCACGAATGGATACAACTACCGATTTACGAGAATGATCAACAGCAAGTAAAAAAGGCGTTTCATATAGCTGGAAAGGTGAAAGTTTGATTAAACTTTATATTGTTTAGAATACTTATCAGCAGTTATGTACATATGAAATGGTAAAGTGTACAATAATATAAACTTTGCTGAAGTATTCTGCTTGATCCGTTAACATTAATAGTTTTTAATTTTTATTAATACGTCTGAGAGAGAGCTGCTTGAGATTCGAAATTCTCATGTAGTGGAATGCACTAACTATTATACAGTGACCCACGAATATGTAAAAATTAAAAAATGTATATTCTTTGCTGCCGGAGTAACAATCGGCTTCTGAAGAGGAGGGGCTTATAGTTAGTAAAAATGATGCCCAATTTTCGTTTTATCAACCAATAGTTAATTTAACGAACTAATTGATAGCTAATGATATGGATAATCTTTTATGTCTATTAATAAGTTAATCGTTTGTCTAATAGTTACTACGAATTGCATACTGTGCAAATAATGAAGAAAAGGAAACGAACAGAACAACTAATTACTCCGGAGGTATATGTGATTTTTATCGTTGTAACGCAGCAATGGATGTATAGCAGTTTTTAAAAGCAACAGGGAGGTCACTATGTACTACTGCAATCTATAAGTAGAGTATAGTGCACTACAACATATTTTCGTAAGACATCTTACTTTGTTCCTGTAGCTGGCATAAAGCACTTCGTATGCTTTTTGCTGAATTAATCCTCTTACGGCCGTTTGATTGCAGTGGCAAGAATTATCCTCTATAATTATAGTTTCTTGTGAGGGTGACCTTTCAAAACAACATGACCTAGAAAATAATGGTTATTACGGTGATCGTAAATAAATACATTAGATAGATTTTATTAACCAGTTCGTTTAAGATATTTATATATTTCGGAAAGGAAATAACACCATTTTGATGCGTAAGTAATTAAATACTTCGACAGAGGAAATTAATGTTAACTTCAAATTATAACTCAGTAAATAGTGCAATAAGCTTACCGACAAAGAGAGCATATAGCTCCGTGATGGCATATCGAATTTTTTAGTAGGTATAATGGCCAGCCATAAATTGCAGTCGTGTAATCATAATAATAACATAAATCGTTTAAGACTTTACGGTCATCCTATAGTTTAAAATTAAGGTTAGTGTTATTTATATACGTATGTAACATTCATATTTCGCTGAAATAGCGACAGTGTAATGTCTTACGTATGTGTTATAATCAAACTTTGTTAACGCTTTTCGATTGTTTCTGGTAATAGTTGCCGCCTAAATATTGGAAAAATCAAAGATTTTAGATGCATTACTAATGACTTAATTCGTTGCGGTGTAGTAAACCGATCGTAGAGTATTAGTGCGGATACCACTAGCTATAAATTAGTAAGTAGGCAAGTAAAAATATCCCAATCTGTGTCCATCCCCTGTGATCAATGTGGGCGTAAACGATGAGAAGAAGCATCCTCAATATGTAAATCTGATCCATACTACATGCACTTATACTAGCATCGTTTCTTGTAGTACGCTGTTCGGCTCCTAGATAATTAAATATTAACCAGATTTCCTTGTAGTAGTTACAACTACAAATTTGGCTGCGATATGCAACGGTGCTTGAAGATGAGATATAAAGGGATATATTGGATATACTACACGTCTCACATTTGAACTGAATTTACGGACGTATAAAATGCCGATATATTATTATAAATATATAGCAGTAAAGCGTTTGATTCAGTATTGCGCCGCCGAGGTATACTTTTAACAACTAGCAATTTGGTTTCTAGCCAATTAAACTAATTTATGAAGAATATATTGAAGTAATACGCAAAGAAATGTACAATATTAATGCGATTTCAGTAGCTAGAACTTCGACGAAAAGCAAGTCCAGAAGTTCTAAGCTGACGTAATCAACTGTACTCGTAGTTAATACCATAATCTAATTTTGAAATCACTGTACCTGAACTTCATGTCGCAATCGGTCTTTCTTTTGCTGCCTATTAACTAAGACTAAGCCTGCTGCAATATCACTTGGAGCCGTGTTCATATCATAGAAAATAGAAGTAAGGACTTCGCTCATAGCGGCATAAATTCCATCCTCGCTTCCATCAGATTGATCGCATTGACAATAATTGGGTAAACAAGATATACATAGCAATGGTAAACAGCAGAGACATTGACGATTTGATGATGGATGATTGTCTAAATCACGATAACAGAAGAGACAACGAAATAATCTTTTCAATGCACGACGAGCTTGATCACCTAATTGGATAAAGATTTAAAATTATCATAATTGCAAACTAAATTAAAATAAATTAAGCATCAGCGAACATCATTTTAGCAAAGTGGTGAACCTGATAGCTGATTGGGCTTAGAACGTGCTGGAGGACAGATTGCGCAAGGCAACATAAGGATAATTAACGTAATAAGACACCATTCCACAATGACAGCAATCTTTAATAAATCGCTTTCTAGCTGTAAGCAAGGACTACTATTAGGATAGAACGCCCAATAGGTACCAAGGCTGACCCATATTACTTCAGGTATGGTTAATAAGGCTCTAAAGTACAACCAATATGGTAAATAACGCCTCAACCCAGGGGAAGAGATGCTACCTTGACTGCTGACCCAACCGATTCCAAAATCAGCTATAGCTAGCCATGAGGTAATAATCAGCATCCCAATCAAGAATATTTGTAGAATTATGCAGCATGAGCAGGTAGCAAAAACTCGTTGATAGAAAGAGTATCCTATAGCTAACAGGATGATCCTAAAGTAAGAAGATAACAAAGTTTATAATACTGTAGTAATAGAATGAAAGGCAATAATTATAACTATATTAATCTCTTAGCTTATTTCTACGTAAATACTTTTATCAGCTTTTTACTTCAATTACTATACGACCTAATACTACCTTAAGGTATGAATGTGAATTATTTAACCTAGTAACTTAGAATTTTTCCTAATATTACAAACGAAGAAGGATGATTTATTTTATGATTGCTATTTAAAAAAAGGTGCCAGAGCACTACTAATGTTAATATCAGTATAGGCAAATAAGACTCAGTAGTTTTATAGAACTTCTTTATGGAACTAGCTGTTTAGACCGCTCCAATTGCCATTTGTCTTCATGTTACTAACCCAATGAGGTGAACGATGAAACCAGTGAAGCCTGCACAAACAAAGTCATCACTGGCTACATTCCATTCAATGGCAAATGCTCTTAAAGGGGCCATTACGAGGAATTTAATAATAGATCTATTTTATGGAATGGATCCAATTCAACCTAGTAAATATCAAAGTATAAGAGATTGGTTAATCTACAGCAAACACCAACTAGATAATGAAAACTTAAGAATAACATTAATTCCTTATTAAAAATTCATATTAGAGAAACAACTAGAAACGAAAAATCTTAATCAGCTATCACCTGATACATGTACATCTTTACAATTTCTAATTATCCTTCAGTTGTTTATCCCTTGCAATTTTTACAACCCGCTATACAATTAATATATTATAACATCGAAAAGGTTCAGTTTCGAATTTTGAGGGATTGAAATTCAGGAAGTCACGTCAAAGAAAGTGTTTAAAAACTTATACAAGGTCTTTATATTAGAATTATGAAGATATTATTACAAAAGATATTATTCTCATTGGATTAGTTAAATCCTTGAGTGAATGCTAGGTATCGGCAGTAAATGATGTTGGTAATTTTACCTCTTTTAATTAAGTCAATCTTTGAGAAACAGGATCGATCAGTGATGAGGATTGTGTTAACAATAAGTGAAGCTCATTCATTAAAGTAACTGCCTTGTTTTACGAATGAGGACTATCCTATAGACTGTTGCGCATTAGTTAGCGTTCATTTTTTGTATCAAATGAGCAGAAATAACTTAAATTGAGTTCCATCAAGGACAAGATCTTAGGATCACATGATACAGATTTTAAGGTTATTACCGAGGGAAGTAAAAGAAGACATGATGTTTTCAGTTAAAATTGTTTCTAATTATCTACATCGATAAAAGATAGATAATATTGCAAAGCAAAAAAAGTATTTGAAGATTAAAGTACAGTAAACGGAACACTAAAGTTTAAATGTTAGGAATTAAGTGGTCTTTACACAAGTATGAACTGGTAGCATAATAAGCATGGAGTAATGCATTTTCTCTCGTCAAAACGAAGTAAATAGACCATCGTGAAATAATCAACACCGTTACATATTAGACTTGTAAAATAGGACATCAGGGTATCATTTAATCTTCGTTTTGATGAAGTTATAAAGAACTGATGCTAATATCGAATTAGTTGGTCACCTTTCTATCCATATATGGTTCCTATTTCAGCAAAAACTGCAATGATCTTCTAACTTGGAATCAGTTAGTTCACATGCTTGTGAGCTATGACTGAAGTAAGTTCGAAATTTGACCAGTGGTGTCTGATCATATAGCATTGGTATACTATGGACTTATAATCACGGTATTATAATTACTAATCGCAATTAGTTGGGTCAATGAATAATTGATTAATTTTATTCATAACTTTGGACTGAATGTTTACTATTTAGCCATTGCTACATATTTTGCATTCTTAATAATAGCACCGTATAACAATAACGGTTTGTATTGGGCTGGATATAATACCATATATATTATTGCAGGTAAAGTATTCTTTTCTTTCATATCAATTAAAACAATATCAAACAAATTAGATGTCTAAGTAATAAAAATATATAGAAAAACATAAATCCTCTTTCCACTATCCATGTCATTGATTATATTCTTTCCCTGTAGTATATTTGAGAATTTCACAATATTAAAAGATAACAACAAGAGATCATTGTAATGTCAAACATTTGCAGCGATGATAGTAATTGACTTGATGATAAAGGATTTATTTCTATGGCATTTTATGAAAACATTTTAAAAGTAAGAAGCGATTTCTATGAAAGCGTTAGTAGTAATAATTCCCTTACAGTGAATCCATTTTGAGATGCTTTATAAAAAACTATAGCGACTCTTGTTTCCGCTTAACTAATAAGTTTTAAAATTTAGGTAAAACCATATAAACGAGTTTTGGTAATTAGTCAGAAGTATTGTTAAGGTATTCAAATATCGACAATTGTCCCTCAGCCTATCGCTTGTAAGTCATGTACCTTTGAAGAATTTGGCACAGAATAAGTATTGATCAAGTATATACTATGTATTACCACCGATAGCGTATAGTTAGCAGTTTAGTTGAATTTGTTTTTGATATCAATTTGAGTCGGAAACAACTTGCGATTACACTTTCAAATCATGTAAAAATTTTACCACTACATTGATCTACCTGGAATAAATGGCTGCAATAGTAGGACATTTGAACATGTGCGTAACGAAAATACTTGCTATATCGTTAATACTTATAATATAATTATAGATTTCCAATTCGATAAACATGGAGTATGTACAAATTCCACTGCAAAAGTCAATGATAGGAAAGCAAAACACTTCCGAAAATACCCGCCATACCTACAGGACTATTTCATTCCACTCCAAGACTGCTACCATTACGCTACTCATAAGTAACTGGCTCTACTCACGCTTATACTGAATGCAACGTAAACTTTGAATAAATTAAACCGGCAATCAAAAAGGTTCCTTCATTATGATTTTAAGGTGATTCTGTAAGGCAAAAATTGGTAATAATGACGCTATAAATATGATAGATAGTTTAATGTACATAATAGTAAAAGATTCTAATGTCAAACCGCTTTTAACTATCTACATCGAATCCTTTAGTATACCCTGTATGTGCAGATATGATGACTAATCAGGTACAATTTATTCTACTTTTCTGCTGGAACCGTATATCCTCATTCAGAGTGACCTTCGTCATTGAATTGACAATATGTTAGCTGCCTAAATTTTATCCAATAATAACGATGGAAACACCCCTTCAAATTGAACATTCATTTAGTCGATCTCTCTGAATTACGATACGCTGTAATCGATTGAAGTCATATTGCGAAGCTTATTCATACTTATTCTTTTAGATTGATCGATATAATATCAATTGATAACTTGCATTACTCACGGAGAACAGAGTTGTTCAGTCTAGATGGCATAAAATTGGGCTAGGCCTACCAAATTATTTTCGGTATGTGTGCCATACTTTCGTTTATAAAATTGCATGAGGGTGATACACGAAACCAATACTCTCATATATATTAAAATTATATGAATCTCTCATTTTTATTAATTAATTATAATATCTTTGAAGTTGTAGATTGTAATTTATGACCGTATATATTGTTATTCAAGATATTGTTAGCACTTAATAGTAAAAAATGCATTGGAATCGCTTATTATAATTAATCAGATTAAACTATAGAATGCTATCTAGAAGTACCTAAAAATTGTTGATATGCAATTGCCTGTCTATTACAAATAAGTTAACAGTTAGAACAATATACAGTATTTAAAATCAAAATCGAACAGCAAATAGATCGTTATAGCGCTTGATATTTTAAGCTGCATGCTGTAGTAAATTAATTTAAGCCAAGTCTGCAGTTAAAACCTTTACATTTTATCAATTACACAGAGTAAGATTGGAAACTGTTTTTAGCGCCTTCAAAAGATCTTTCCTGAATAAGACAAGCAATGCCGGCATTGACGGCATTTGGACGCTATTGGGGCATTGGCAGCGATGATTTGGTTTGCTTTGGATTTTTCAGTTTCATATTACGAACAATTTGGTAATTACAATTTACATGCTACAAATACGGGCATAGTAGTATTCGTTTTACTCCTAGTTCTGCAATTTATCTAGTTTTCGTTTATTACAATTTTTCCATATCGTTACTACAATTATTGTCCTTGTATCTGATCCTGCTATCGTACAGGAGAACTGAAGCATATGTTTCATGAGGCTTCAATGTTGAAAAAGTGTGTCGATGTTTTAAATTTGAGTTTGTTAAAATCAATTATTTAAAAAAGCGGGAATTCCCACAATTGATACAAACGCGTAATCTACTTATAAAAATTAATGATACTGAAATAGTCATATTATTAGTCTAGATTACTTTACCATTCTTAATCGTTGACCTAATACTTAAAACGATATAATGATTACATCGCTAATTCAATTGACAGTAATAAAAATGAAGAGTAGTAAAATAACATATAGGCGAGACAATGTTTGCAGTCGATCACAGCTTTAGCTGATTGCCTTTTTGGAAAAGTATAGAGTATCTTCCAAATTAGGGTAGTTAACGTATCGTGCCGTATATTTAATAAAAGTTATAATTTGTCTTTGTCGTACATTAGTAGCGCATTAATTATTCGCTGTCAATTTGATCCAAATAATTTTACATCTATTGTCACATTTCCTCTCTTATTAAGCTGTACGTTTGTGTACTTTATTGTTTGTTTGGCAGCTGAATCGGTATAAAGCTAACAGGAAAGAAACTGTAAACACTTTCGTTGGAAATTTAGTATAAGTAGCAGAACACGTATTTAGAAATAGTAATACATAGTAGAACAATTATTCTTAACTGAGAAACGTAAAGATGCAATTACTGATCATATTTGATCACATAATTTAAGATAATACCGCAAGCCATTATAATATTTAGAGAGTTCTTAATTAAAGGGGATTGATCATGGAGAGCTTAGCTCGAGTACTTCTTAATAAAAATCCCTAATGCCCTCTAAAAAATTGCAATGTATGGAGAAGGTATATGGATTATTGATGAACTTGGATATTATTTTTAAGCTTAAATCTCCATTAATTTCTCATCTGATTGTGCGCCCGATAACTCAATTACACAAACTGTCAAAGATTTCGTTCGATGTTTGTGAATCAAATAGATCTCTATGTGAGCCATTTTGCTCAAATGACACCAATAAGGAATTGCTGGCAACAAGGTCTTAATACAGAACTTGGTTATCAGCGTCTAATAACTGATCAATGTGACCATCATTGTATTAAGAGATAAAAGATCATAACAAAGTAATGCTTCTGTATTGCTAAATAATATCAGAGAAGAAAGTTCGGATTTCTCTACAAGGATATCATATCAATCAAATTGATCCATTATTGTTTTTATTTGCAAGGTGCTAACTTTTTATATTTGTGATCCGGTCTAACATATCCGTTATTAGTTCACAATACCCTTAAATATTTATTTGCAATTCCTTGCTAGGTTTGATTTCTATCAGACACCTAATACCATAATAGGTTGATATTTTTCAGTATTGTCTGCCATCTTCACGCAAGTAGCTATCACTGTCCAAGTGGTCGAATAATTCAAGTCTTTTTGATTGCATTTATTGTATTATTGGTGGTACTTTTAATAATAGACAGCGCAACATGGATTATAAGCAGCCGTGGCACAATAACTAACGCCAAAGCCAGACAGAAAATGCCGCTCTTACTTTATTTAAGATTATTTTTTACTATACCCGAGATAGCCTTGAATATTTTAGGCACTTATTGGTCATTTGATGATAGTCGGCATTGCCCAGATGAAGATATCATTATCGTTAAAGTCGCTGTGATAACCAATTGGTGCCTGCTTGCTTTTGGAATTATTTTCACCTATTGTGTATTTGATCCATTGGGATCAGTTAAACGAGACGGTAATCTGGGTAAGTACTATAATGTGAAATTAATACATTAGTTAAAACAGATTGTAGTACATCGGATAACTACAAGGATAAAAGAAAATAGCTTGTTAATTCATTGTGATGGATTGGGATATAAAATTAATGGGCTTGCGATTCCCTACAACAATACCAACCACGTAGTTTACTAATAACTAAAACTGATAACTAATTATACCTTAGAGGATGATAAAAGTTTTACTGTCAGAGGATAAATACCGAATGATTAGATAAATGTCTATAAGAGAGAAGATAACAGCAACAACTATTCCATAGTTGTTGCTGTATATTAAAGCCATTAATAGGTACTAATTTACCATACCACAGAGTAAGATAAGACCAATCAGTAGAAACGTTTGTGCTTCAATCTGCTCCCAATGCTATTACTGAATAACCTCAATAATATACAATATTTCATTCTAAGACTAACTTAGCTATTCTATACACCAAACGAATGACTAGCGGAGTCATTCAAAATATATGAGACGAACCGAAATGAAAGAATCTATAGCATCTTGTAACACATCAGAAGTCATTCATAGATCGTATAGAAAATAAATAACCCAGTTGAAGATATTGGAAGGCATCATAAGTAAAGATTTTACTAATTCAGTTTAGATAAACGGGCATCGTACTATTATTGATAAAATATTGAGATCAAAATTCCTGAATAGACTATTGATGATCGATTTTATGATATAATTATAATAAATTTCTAATTTTCTATTCGTAGATCCATCAATTAGTTACAAATTAGCTCAGCAAGTATGGGAAACAAGATGTCGTCATTTGTGTTGCTGCAGTAGAGTTAATGACAGTAATCAAGCAATCTATACAGATTTAGCGACCATCTTCGCTACCTTTTTCAGAAATACAAATACTGTACCTACGGATGTTGCAGCCGGTTTATTCTTATTACAACAACGACAACGGTATGATGAAAAATATATTCTACCATGGAGAGGAACGGTAATACAAATTTGTTGAAATAATTCTTATTTCTTAGTATACTATAGCTGATTTAATTTATTAACTGTAAAAACACGCATTTGTAAAACGATTTTTATCGTACCATTTTATTGGCAAGACATAATCCGGAGTGATTTTGCTAGTTTCCATTTAATTGATGCTGCGAAACTTCATATTCTAAATACCAGTAAAAACGATAGCATAAATGACATCTTTTAGATGAATATAAATTACCCTTCAGTAAAACGATTAAGTTAACTTGTGTCTGGATTGTTTATCCTTACGTTTGAATACATATAGACTATATTTAGTATTAGTTGGACCGATTGCCTAGGTTTAATAACATAACGTCTTGACATTGTCTATAACCTCATTGTTGTCTTGAATCGAGTTTATTTATAACAGTAATGTAATTCCAATGTACAAGTCATATTCCACAAATAATTAATCTGAAATGATTGTTATTCAATCACGTTTGAACAGCAAGTGATCCGAAAGCAATTTACTCCAGCTAGAAGAATGGATTTGAGCAACAAGGTATGACATTTGATTAAGATCATTTAGTCGTAGAACATTGGGTATAGGGAAAGCAATTATTTTAAAATTGCACATTAAGAGGAACTATCTAAAACTAATATCCTTTATCTGATGATTATTTAATTCCAAACGTCATCATTCATTAAATGAAAATGGCAATTGACATATGCCATTGTTGTCGTCTTGGATATCGTTCTGACAATAGTGGGTATAAGATTTAAGATTAAGAAAAATGTTTGTTCACTTTTTATGAATAATATCATTAAGTTATCTCTCGTGATTTAAAGCGCTAACTTTAATGAATAGACGCAGCTTTCATTGCCTGTTTCACAGCTGATTAATAAACCGCACTTTTTATCCACCACAATTATTTCAATTATATCTATGCAATTTATCAATCTCAAAACTTAATCTACTGTAAGCATAGGCAAAAATGTGAAATAACACAGAAATTTAATTGATGTATTCGAGCATATTAATCGACAAAAATTTGTTTGAAAATTATTTTACATTAACATCGAAATAACCCCATCTAACAGGTTAAAATACTGAACTACAGAGTATCTAATCACATATATGTACCACACTCATACGCAGTAAGAATTAGAATAAGCAATATGCCCTTTATCTGGTTACAATATTACAATATGTTCCATCCAGGTATAATGCTAAAACAGACTCACGCAAAGATGATACACCAATGCCTTCCGTTCTTCTAACTACAATAAGCACAATAATTAACAAAGTTCTATAAACATGATTTTTATCTAAGTCACTACTAAGTCTAACAGTACCACAATTGTACACGTATACTGGTATTCTGTAATTCATCGATCAGGTTCATTGTTGTATAGTTCTCATGTCAATTAAAAATATTCGATAATCTATCTATTAGTTGACATTATAATATCAGTTAGACTTAAGTTCTAATTAAAAAATTGATAAAGTTAACTACTTTACTGCCAGTCCATTCCCCCAATTTTATAGACTCTTTTTCAATATCGTACTCTGCGGGTTAGAGCTATGCTTTTAACATACATACATCCAGCTTAAGTGATAATTTACAAGGAAAAACTTTTGCTTATATCACGCAAGCAAGTCGAATACTATATACTGTAGTTTTGGCATACCAATTACTTTCGAATTCAAATAGAGAACTATTTAGTCGGTTATCATGTAATTTATAATAATTGAAGTGCATAACGAGCATACCAATCTATTGCTGTTTATAACCCTAAATTCAACGTTTAATAAAACCTGGATAAGCCCCATAACATTTTTCGTTTACATTGATGCCATAGCGGTGTGATCAGCAATGATAAGTCAATCTTTACTGGAAAATTACCAGTTTGCCTTGCAAATCTACTGTAGTATGATGCTATCGGTTTTAACGATTTTATAAAACAATTATTATTTAGATATACGGCGTAAAAATATTATACAATCGAAGAAATTCATTATTTAATTAAATCCTTTTACTTCGCGCTAAAATACCCCAAGTAACCTCTGAGAGATTAAGCTTACTGCCTAGTTTGCTTTGTACTGTATCCATAGATACAGTATTGTTCACTATAGGCAAGGAATTCGGATAAATAAGTTGTTATTTAAATATTTTCTATAAATCTTACGTAGGATGAAGAGAATATTCTTCAAGACATTTCCTATTATATTCATTATGCTGATGCTGCCTATGGTTGGCCATTATGTGTTCTACAGCATTTTCTAACAGCTCCTTGCAAACTTGTACCAAAATATAGGTTACTAGATAGATTAGAGAAATGTTGAGTATCAAATATGTTTGCGTTGAAATTTCTATTGGGATACCGAATGAGGCATATTTGATAGAAATCAATCTAATATTTGGATAGATGTAGCTATCTATTTACCTGATGTTATGCATGATTAGTAAACATTATTCTCCTTTTACTTCTCTTACGATTTATTAGATGTTGCTCATGTGCGCGTCCGCTACGCAATTCTGGCACGATCATTATAAATGATAATTGTTGTGAGTGTAATTACGCCGCATTAAAGTTACAAAGTGGATTTGACGATGAGGATATTATTGTTGCATCATATTGTAACGATGTGAGTACTATAAATAGACGTATTTCCTACAGAAATTTTGGGATTTTACTTAGGATGCACAAATAGTGGAATAGTTGTTCATTAGGTACTAATAGTCTAGTACTACTACCCGTACAGTATAATCATAAGATTGACAGTTTGATAGAAAATTAATCATTTCATTGTATCTATTTGAAACTTAGACATAGTTAATTGCACGGTAATTACTGTACTTTAAAACGAAATTAAATCTCTACTTGACTTGATTCTAGCTATACGAGCTCCCGTTTTTTGTCGCCTATGACCACTGCAAGAAGAAAGTTATATTAGCAATCCGTGGGACAATGTCTTTAAATGACGCAATAACAGACTTATTAGCGGTGCCAGCAGAGTTAGACATTCCTGGATATCACGATACATCTGGCCATAAGGTAGCTATAACGTTTTATGTCTATTTAGCAGTCACGATTCTCTAATCAATAATACAGCATGATATTAAATTTATTAAAGGGTACTTATTACTTAAGCAACAATGTTACACTCCTTACGTTATATACGAATTTTTGCATCATTCTGATAACAATTAGATAGTAAAATTTCAATAGTGGATGATACGTTTTACTCAGATTCATGGTGATGCGGTGTACTTGCATTACCATTGAAATGATTGCAAGTTCAGTATAATTTAGTCAAAATAATGCTTCCATAACATTTACTAGGGTATGTGTGAATCTGCTAAAGTATTAAAGGAGAAATTAAAAAGCCAAAAATTATTAGAGCCTGCATTCAACGAGCATCCGGTAAGATCAATAAGAGAAATTAAGATTGAAATAACCACTAGATATACGCGTATGTGACATCGATATTGGATAATAAATGCAGGAGAATAACAACCTAACTTGATCTGCTTCAACAGTAAATGAATAATTGAGCAAATGACGAACGATATCAATTGCTAACATTGCTTAATTTACGATTAGGATTACGATTTGATTATTGTTGGACATTCGTTAGGAGCTGGTGTAGCAGCAATACTATCCATTTTAATGAAACCAGATTATCCTAAACTACGATGTTTTGCGTATTCTCCGCCTGGCGGACTCGTTAGGTAGGTTATTTATCAGTGGTAAATTACGACTATGAAACTGAAATGCGCATATGTAATATAACCAAGTAGTCAGTATTTAATTTCCGTCATTGTCATTAACTATCACTCGCATTTCCTGGCATTGAGCCATGGGTAATTTATTTATATTTGAATGTACCATTACTACTATCAATGTCTCTAGAAATGGAGTTAGCATGTAGTGCCATAGCGTACACACAGTATTTCAGCATACTAATGTATTAGTCGCATTCCATTCATGAGAGTAATCAATAATAGTGAATTATATAATTCCCCTTGCGAATTAAATTTTTTAGATTTACAGTTCTGTGAAACCGACGACATCTAAATTAACTACCTCTTTTAGAGCTGGTATGCAATGGCCTAGTCCTATTTTCCGCGTACTGTACATTGTTAATTAATTCAAATGATCGGCTTCTCATGGCCAGCATGTTCTATATCATTTACGCTGCATTGTGAATAATTTTATTTTGGATATAAGATAATATTCAATCGCGTTGCAATTTGTTGCATAATGCGATAGAAAAAAATTAGAGGTGTAGCATTTAGCTAAGAGAATCATTGACATGTCCCAATAATTATTACTACTCGACTTGTAAATCATTTAAATCGGTATCAAACTTGATCCTATTTCATATACATGCACTCCCTTTTTTCTTTGCCTATTGTAGTCTTGAACTTTCAAAATACGCACGAGATTTCGTCATCTCGGTAGTCACAGGATGTGATTTAGTAACGAGGTAAGGCCTATTCGCTTCTACGTCTAATAGTAAGATTCTTGATGAAATTCCGATCTTCTCTAGTTTGAATTTTGCTTTCTTACTACAGCATTGGTTAATACACTGAACAGAGTTATTTCAAAAATTCAATCTGATAGGGTTAGCCTTCAAAATATGGAAGATTTAAGAAACAAATTACTATTGACTATTCGATCAAGTCGAATTCCCAAGGTAAACTTGAATTTACAGATCCAATGAGCAACTAGCATGAATAAAGTAATACTACTACAGTATCCAAGAATAAGAACTTGCTGTTCTAATAGACACTTCAATATAATAATAATATTGTTTTATAACCGCTAGTATAAAGTCTTTTTGGCCGGCTGCTGTTGTTGCTCCAATTATATGTCACAAGACAGAGAAGATCGTGAGGTCAATGTAGAAGTTGCAGATACAAATGAAGATATTGATGATCCGGGAAAAGAAGAAAAGAAATCCATTTTACCTCTCATTACCCAAGATGAGGACGACGAAGATTTTTTCAATGAATTTAACGTCAAGACATTAGTATCCGCTAAACTGTATCTACCTGGTCGGATTGTCCACTTAGTAAAAGAGACTACAAACAAGTAGGAATAGTTTACTAAAGCAATTCATAGAAATGGAATCCAAAATTGTCTTTTAGCTTATATTTTCTTCAGAATTTTTACTTCCTTGTGAAAAAATGTCGCCACTGAAACTACTATACAGTATTTCAGTATGCCGGCTACGTTTCGTGGTACTGTAGCTACTGTTTCTCCTTCAAGTAGAGCAGAGTAGAGTACAGTATGACGTTGTAGGGGTGTATCAGTAGTGTCAGAACTAGTTGGAGCTCTTTATGGATAGCGTTGAAAATGGAGTAAAGCCTATGACTAAGAAATGAAGGCCATTGGCTCCATGATAGATGTACTTCTATATTGTTATGAGATACTCTACAATTATACGACAGTAAACTCAAAACTACTGAGTGAGTGAGCGAGTAAATAAGTGAATTCTACGACAATAAACTCAGACGAGTATGTGATATAGAAATGAAGGTTGCAATCCTGCTATGATATGCCAGATCCATTGCTGTATATTATTGTAGCCGGCATTTACTGCTAGTATGTTATGAATAATTCACTGAGGTACAAAGTCGATAGTGAAATTTACTACAAGGACGACTAACTTAATTCAGAGTCAGTTTTATCCTAGCAAACTCACGGACCTCTAGAAAGAAACCTATTAGAAACTGGTCGCTGGCAAATTCCACTATTGATTTTGTACTTCAGGGATATGTGACACTGTAAATTGCTGACAGTAAACTGTTTTAGATCGCCAAAGTGAAACGTCCGACGCTTTTCACTACGCTAACTGCAGCTACAAAAAATGTTCTAGTTAGACGGAGTGTAAATTAACAGAACACTACCCCAAATTGAAAAAATTCCAGACTTCTCATAGAATTAGCTGAGAAGCCATAGGAAACATTTTCAACGTATACAGTACAGTGTTACATAAAAAAAGATTGATGTATCTGCTGTTGTAAAAGAGACACAATAATTTCATTTTATTTTGACGTGTACGAATGAAATTATTCTACTAGGAGATATTATAGTTGTTTAGCTAAGTCTGCTACATATTTAATACTTAGAATTTTCAAAGGAAAACATTGATTTCTCTTTCTTGATGACTTCAAGCTTCTCATTAGAGCTAAATACCGTAGCACTACGTTTTGTTTAACTAGGAATTACTGTACAACTGTATAATGAATGAATTAATAGGCACGTAAACCTAAACAGATATTCTTTTCATTAATTTCAGTCAATATAATACTGACCAGTACCATGCCTATTGGAATTATCCGGAAAACTTTAATGTTATAAAGGTTGAAAGCACCATGATTTCAGATCACATGCTTGCAGCTTCGATGGCAATGTTGAATAAAATTAAACAGCAAATTTCGGTTAAGGAAGAGTTGCCAAGCTAATGTTTTTCTCCCAATAGCGAATTTATTGTTGTACACAAACGTATCACTGAGAGCATTGCATCTACTACCTAGTAAATAAGTAAAGAATCGTATCTAAAGTAAGCGTACATATAACTATATATCATAACGATTATTTTGTGTTTGATTATAATGTAATAAATAGGATCTAGGCTTGTGAATTTTCATTGAATAAATTAGAATATTGCATTAAAGCTGCTTCCAAACTTGTCATCATTCAAAAAATATATTTAAAATTCATAAATGCAGTAAATTACAACTAGGGTGTCTATTAATCTGAAATAGCTAGGTACGACAGGACACTTTTTAAATTAGCAGCATAGGTATGTGAAATACAGTAGGTGAATACTTATAATATGATTTGATCAATCTAAAAACAATTCGTTGCGAATACCCGTAAAAGTATATGAAAGACTGTGATTACTGAGATGCTTGAGCTACAAATTTATGTCGCAAACTTTGTCCTTAACTGATATCATCGCGAGCATAAAATCGTAAGTTCAATGATAAATATGGTCATTGATTACGGTTTCTTATTTTTTAATCAATAATAAAATCATTTCTTTTATTGGGTACAGCAATCTATATCAATCGTCACAAATAAACTTCTTCAATATAGGTGCAAATAAAAGAAAGATTGAAACAGTTTGTTAAGCGAGCATTTACAATTATCCTGAACTCGTCCGTTGTACTAGTGGCGATTTATCAGATTGTTTCAATTGAAGTGAATATAAAATTTTAAAAACGATATTATATTTAAGTATAGCATATTATACTTCTGGGATAATTATATTTTGTCGAGTATGATAATTATATTCTTTTCTGTATCTCACTCATCAAGTGTAAATGGAAACATACATTAAATGGAAGTTTCTTTACGTAAGAATACATTGTAAGGTACACATAATATTCTTATATTAGAGTGATAGAGATACCGTAATATATATTATAAATGATTACATTGTTATGAGTCATCTGTATTCATAAAATCATCTGTGTTGATTACGCCAGTGACTAAATTATTTTTTCATTCTCTTTTAAGAACAATAACGCTGTAAAAAGTTATAGAGCTGTACAATTTACATTATAACATTCATTCAACAATGTTGTATAAATACAGTAACGTTTGAATTCTTGCATGAATATTTAATCACTCTCATGGCAATAAATGACTGACTTTCCAGTGGTAGATAACTTCAAGGTATCGAGTGTTGTTCCAAGGTTAAATCAAAATATTTTAATGTTCGTACTCATAGAGTTAAGGTAGCAGTAGCTATGCTATGAGCTTGTTTCAGCCAACTTATAGTTGGCATCTTTTCTACGAATTTTACAACCACTTTATCAAAGACTATTCAACCGCAAATCCACACGTTTCTTCAATGGCACAAGTTAATTTTTGCAACATCTTGTCATAATTTTCATAAGGTGGAAAGTCCAAACGATTGAAGCTGTATCATAATAAGTAGTCAGATAGTTATATTAGATTACTAGGTAACTAATCGTTAATATTGCTATAATCATAAGCAACAATATTATCATACCAGGTATGTGCTTTCGGTAAACAATCCGTATTGATATCGACAACATTAATCGTGAATAACCTTGATCCAGTAGCATCTCTAAGCGAACCTAATTACGAATTTGCAATCAGTGATGAGTTACATTAGTCTGCACGTGATCTAATAACTTACTTGCAATTTCAAGATTGGCTACACAAGCGAAATAATGCCATCTAACTAAAAGATTAAATTAAGATATCGCATTGAACTTTACCTTGTAAAGCTTCAAATCCTTGCAATGGTACCCTACTAGAACCGGTTACAAATTGTAGAAGTCTCATACGTTCCTCTTCGCAGTAAGAATCCACAATCTAATATATACAAGTTACAAGTTACATTGCGGCAAGATAAGAAGATAAGTAATATTTGAATATCAGCCAATTTTTGATATACGAGTATAAAGCAAACTTCAGCAAAAATCTACAAATTATGGTCAACATACTTGCCAAAACCATTTGACAACGTCCGTACTAGGAGTGCAATGCTTCAAGCGAGTATTAGCTTTCCAATCCTGAATATCTATTTTCTTTAATCCTCCAATAATTAACTAGTAAAAATATTCATGGATAATATTTAAATCGTTAAGATCATGATTCTGTTTTGATAAAAATTGTATCGCTATGTATGCACCTCTAATTCCTTTTCATGAAAGTTCTTAAGAAGGTATGTAGGTACAATTTCATAAAAACCTTTCTTTAGAGCTTGTAACTGCTCATCGATCCCATGTGTTAATTTCCAATTAACCAGTAGCCTACAAAGATATAAAAAGAGATTAAACTTAAGCCGTAGCTACATTCTTTACTGTTAAATGTAACAGATTCGAAAGTTTTTAAACTTACTCGGCATATTCATATTTATTATCGTTTGTCACACGAATTGCCGAACCATTCGGTTTCAGATCATATTCAACAATCTCTCCAAAAGATTGATGTTCAACACAAAAATTTTGTTCCAAGTCATCTGTGATATCATTATTTCTAAGAATAATTTCCAAGAATAATGTATATTAAACGTAACTTTATCAAATATGAAAAAAAATTAAAAAATCTACAAAATGCTTACAATAACCAACAAAGACTGCGGTAAAAGCCTGGATCAACGGATTCCAAATCTTCTATTGTACAAGCTTTATTAAGAAGTTGCTAATGAAAGATCACAAAATGTAATGACATTGTTAGTGATTGTTGAAAAAAGTTAAAAAGCATCGGAACTTGATTATTGCTAGGCTGTATAATAATTCTATTCTAACGTTTACCTTATAAAATGGTGTTGGAAAAGTACCATCAATATGATGGCCGTGAAATACTATAAATCGGCGCAGAGAAAAATTTTTTGCATTATTAGCATTACTAGCAATAGTAAATTTTCATGTGCGATATATATATATTCATATTCGGTTAAGTCTACTCTTTCAAGATATAATTACCTCCCATGCCCATTACTCGACCAACAAAATGGAAATACGAAAGATGATTCTGTTGCATATGAAAGAGTAATTAATCTAACCATATTAGGTTGTTATAGTAAAGTAGGTAATTAGATTTTAAAATGAAAATAAGTATACCGTATTTATGGATGAGTCTTGGTTAATTTGTAAACAACACATATCATCATCAGAAAAGGTAAATAGACCATAGCTAGGGTTTAACATTTCATGTGAAAGTAGATGTAACCATTCTCTGAAACAGAAGTACTAAGTCAAACAAGTATTCTTATAATCAAAAGCCATATTAATTTCATTACCTAGCAACACCACCATAATCTAATCCTTCTTCTCCCTTGAATTTGACAGTCAATCTTTTCTTAAGGTCTTTTGGTCTCATTTTCATAATTTGATTATATGATGCCTAACAAATGGAGAAGATAAAATCGTAAGGTAAATATTATAGTCAACTATGACCTGGCTGCGCAATGCTGCATAATATAACCTCGAATACATCACTCCGTGTAACTTCAATTTTTGTGAATCCAACCTTTAAAACAAGCGCGAAGAGCGTTTGAATAGCGGTATTATTGATAGCTTTAATAGTTAAAATAAGATAATACCGAATAAAATACAATATTAATATACTTACTTGAGGTTGCAGTGTCGATAGGTCTGACTTTAAGTTTCTCCACTTTTGTACTAAGTCAATTTTAGGATGTAGCGACCCGCTGGTAGTCGTAGAATCGATAAATAAGTACACAATGAAAATTATTTACATGGGAGAGAAATTGATTTCAATCGATAACCTGCTTTGAAGCTGATAGACGTTTCAAACTCACCGTTCTTCTGTTTGATCAGATTTTATTGCTATCCTTGGATCGATAGCTTGAGTTCTTCTCGTATTATGATCAATAAAATAAATTCTACCATTGGGATTATGCCTCATTTCCCATCCAGGGGGTAATTCACCTAAATTGCCTGCTAAATCGTGAGAATTTCTACACAAAAGTACCGTCGTAAAAGAATAAATGCCGTATTAGAATATTAGATTGGATTTATATCTGAGATATTTAAATTCCTACCTTAAGGGTCCAGTTCTTAGCAAAGAATCTGCTATAGTTGGTTGATGAATCTGATTTCGGTCTTGGTGTCTATTTCGTAAATCTGCAGGATAATAATAGATAAAAATAGTTTAAGAACAAAAGAACCCGTACCATTGACAGGAGCACAATTAGGTACCGTATCTTTCGGATGTCGGCACTTGCTGGACGCTTAATCTGATGGCATTTTCTTCTCCAGGCTTTTGCAAACCTCGGGAGGAATGATTACTATTAGGTATTGTATTCGAAACAGCACAATTTCCATTATAAGGTGCATGTTGATTTGAAGGGGAACTCGTTCCAGAATAATGCTTATTGGGATTTGCAGAAGATCGGCCGCTGTTATAGAATAAAAATTAGAACAGTTATTATGATCAATCGATATTTTTCTTGCAACTCATTCATACCTTGATTGTTCATTCCATCTTCTTGTATTACTAGGAGCTAGAGTTGCTTCATCATTTCTGTATTTGACAATAGATTTTAGATCAAATTCAACTGTATATTTCTAGTAACCGTTACTAATCACATAAATGACTTTTAACTTATAAAATAGGTGTCCATGAAATATGGAATTATGTAGATAACATAAAGGCTGTAACGGACAGTTCTAGCTAATTCTTGCTTTATGTACTTGAGAAGTTAGCCTTACCGGAAAAGATTTGAATTTTGAATAGAGTATTGTGGAATTCCTGGCGATGATAATACTCGATCTCGGGATCTTAAAGATACTAATAAACGCAATTCACAAACGGACTTAAAAAAATAATTTCCATAATAGTTTAACAAGGATGACTTTTAGAATTACTCGTATAATAACTACTAACCAACGATCTCTCCTTTTACCGTACAATCATCACGCTGATTGCTTTTCCCAAGAGCCAGTCGTTGATCTTAAAATCAGAATGAAATATAATAATTTAATGACTGATTACGATTTAATGGAAGTTGTATATGATATAAGCGAAAGTTTCAAAAGGTGACAAAAATATGGCTGAATGGTTGATATCAATCTTACATCCAGTATCCTTCAATTGATTGATAGCATTGGCAACAATTTTGACACAGCCGAGAAAGCCAGCACCTTGTCGTTTATGAATTTTACGATGATTCCAAACGGTTATCGTAATTGAATCATGCTTACTGATGCTCCTACATAAAATTAAAAATTTAAATTCATTGCCATACTAGAACGGAGTATTTGACGTTAAACGAAAGCTATTAAGAAACATAGATGAAGGGTAAATGTGTATCTTAACTTGACATTAATACTTCTATATTTACGAGTATACCGGGTTAAGAATACAAGAAAGTACTAAAATATCTAGTGAAAAACTGGCCTGATACTGTGGAAAATGGAAATTTGTTCTGCGTAAGCTATAGTAAAACTAGAATATTGTTAGTGTACGCGTGCATTGTATATTCGTATATGATTAAAACATCTTTCCACTGTTGATATCAACTTGGCTACAGTATAGTCCAATCTTTTAGAGCATATCGATTCTTCAAACATGATAAACAATGTCTATAACAGAGCCGAAATGATCGCAATAACCTTTCTAACTGATTGGATCGTATTGGTAGTTTCCTTGTCGAATACTGTACTACATCCAGTATGTGTAAGAATGAATATGCTTGCTGTTATTAGCAAATATACCGTACTCTACTCTATTGGTGCGCTAATACTTACAAGTCATAATTTTGATTCCATTTGGGATCTAAAGTGTGCTTTATGATATCCGTGGAATGGCATTGGCCACTACCATCAACAGCTATACGAGCGAAAGGATCAGGTAGCCCTAAACGGAAATTTTAAAATTGAATTGATGATGAACATTCCGTCAACACGCATAACAAAATGAATGTGCAAGATTACAGACTACTAACTGATTTAAGATTTTCTTTCAATTAAAATAGACAGAACGAATAATACAGTCGTACTGGAAATGTACTAGACTTTCTATTTATGCACTTAAAGGGTGCCTACGAAACTTTTAAAAAGCTTTCGATCATAACACAATAACTAAATGGCAATAAATCAAGACAAATTTTAACACCAGTCGAGAGCTAATGCAGTCGCTTTGTTGAATTCACTATACTACAGTATTATATGGTCAATATACTGTACAGTACGTACTGTACAGCACCACACTGCACACACCTGACTGTACAGTGTACAGTGTACAGTACTGTACTGCGAACTAAGTTGTGATACTGTACAGTACAACAAAAAGAATGGCAGTTCAATTACACTAACGCCATGGGTGCCGTACCATACAGTGTATTAGCATATCATTCCATCACATAGAAATAGCCATGACGGCCTATTGGAGAATCTCATGTCTGGAATATTTCGTGTAAAATTTACAATCTACATGTTCAATCTATTCCATTAAAGTAGTAAGAAGAGAAAAGTCTATTGCTATTTCTGGCGATAATTGTAGCTGCCATATCACTTATAAGATTTTGAAATAGTACACGTATTTATAATGATAACGCCACACTTGGACATGTACAGTTGTACACTTGAAGAGTTTATCGTTACAACATTTGTAAACTCTGTAGACTAGGAAGAAGACTCTTGCACTAGATGGATGGCAATGGATATCGCCGCATTTGCGAGCAGCACATTACTGTATCATATTAATTGTAGTAGAGAGTAGTAATATATTTCGATGACGTAAAACTGTCAGTGCAGTAGGTATCAACGGTAACTTGTAATCCTAAAAATATCAACTAAACGGTCCAAAACGGCTAGTTGATTTAGAAACGTCGAGAATGTTTGGACGAGTACAGTATACAAGTGTAGGGTTAGTCAATATGTCCAGCTTACGAGTGATGACATATAAAGTAAAGTAATACTATAGCATGTAGACAAGACAAGACAGACAGCATTATTTAATAAATCAAATTACAGTAAGTCGATTTCAACTTACGAAAAAATTCTTTCTTGGCTAAGTGTTTGGCACCTAGGACTATTCCGGGTTGCATAAAACAGAGATGACAACAGTTTAGATATTCAAACAATGATTATTATAATCGTTTAACAGAACGTTTGGAGAATTTATGATCATAATTTTATGAATAGAGCATATCAATAATCACCGACTACCATACTGTACTGGATTTCAATCTTGCAAAGTATACTACTACAGACCTATCCATTAATTCAAATCATTTCAATAACACCACAGAGTACTGTGTATATACAGTACAGTACGGTTAATGGCTTGTCAATATCAACACGATCGTTACTGCTTACTGCGATATGCTACAAGTAATAATGTATGTGGGGAAAGGTTTGGAGAAATTTATTTTTAAGCGTAGTAGGTTTTATTACATGGTCGTATGTATGTGGTGGCCTGCATTGAATGTTTATAAGATAAAAAAGTAATAAAAGATTAAAAAAATGGTCACGAAGGTAACGACTTTGAATCTTCAAAGTAGAGAAACAATAGAAATACTATGGAAGCAATCAACTTTCGTCGTGTCTGCCTTGAAAGCAGCGAAAGTTTTGCAAAATAATGAAGGGTTGCAAAATTAAAGATGGAATCAACTATGAAAGACTGCGGGAATGTACCCCTATGAAGGGTAAAATATGACTTTTGATGAAATAATCTCCGCTACAAAGATAAAGAGTTTAATTTATATGAGGCTTTCATTAGGGAATAGTGGTATCGTCGCCTATAATGAATAGCTGTGAAAAAAAGTGTCATATCAACACCAGGCTAGTTACCTAACAGTCTATTACTTACTAGTTAAGCGTAATTTATTAATGCCATATCCATGCTGGCGTTCTGGGCTAGCCATATCAGCGAAATCGCTGTTCTATCTTCGGTGCCACTGACAGACAACAATAAATGAATCAATTTTCCACCGATTGTGTGTGTTTCTTCTTCCTTGATATTCTTAATCAAAAAGTTACGGAAGCCAGTCGACGTCAACGTCTCTTGAAGTTGGACTACGCTAGCGCAGTGATACCCAATGATGGGCAAAATGGATTGATGGCGTTTTTAGTTACGATTTGTGGTAGCAGTAAGTAGATAACGATTGGAAACGATACGTAGTCATAATACTATATTAGAGTAGAGGTAATAAGCGTTGATTACCGATCACTAGAAAAATTGGAATCATTTTACTACAGCAAGAAGTGAGTGCTAAACTACGGTTGAGTGGAAGAGTAAAGTGCGATTGGTCACTGATTATGTTATTGATAACTGAAGGGTGTTTATTGAGAAGATGAGATGCCAAGCCAAGTGGGTACTGTCCACTGTGTACTGTGTACTGTAGACTGTAGACTGTACACTGTACAGGCTAAGACAAACTACTGTAGACAGCCCACTCCAGTCTCCAGTGAATTGTAATACTGTACAGTACTGTACTGTACACTGTACAGTACAGTAGACCGGAACCAGACCATCCAGTCTTGTTAGTCATTTATTGATTGATTGATTTACTGTATATACAGTAGACAGTAGAGTTAACAGCACTGAGAAATTGGCTGCAGACTTACAGTGTCAAAAGAGACTCAAATCAAGCGTTACTCTGCTTCTGTGTAGTAGTAATGTACTGTACAGTACAGTACTAGAACGATGTTGCTGTTTGAAATGACACAAACTTGTTATCCATGGCGTGTCTAGTAAGTAAGACTGGTATGAGTAATCACCAGGTTTTGGACTGAGCAGAACGGAGTCGCTGAAATAGAGCGTTGTCACTTTACTTTCTTTCCCACCAAAAATGAAAAATCAGATCACAGTCAAAGGCGGACGTGGTGGTGAAGATCGCTACAGTACTGTAGATGAAACGGTAAGATACCACAATGTACAGTACTGTACCTGGAAGTTAGCACTCTTCCGTACTGTAGCAAATTTGTATTACAGTACTGTACAGTACACTTATTTAGAAGACCAGGACAGGACAGCTAGAAATCTACAGTACTGTACATTACAGTACAGTACGGAGCTGTCACGGTACTGTACTGTACTGTACTGTACAGTAGATGCAACGGTAAGATAGCACAATGTACAGTACATTACAGTACAGTACTGTACTGTATGTACACTTAAGACCAGGACAGGACTGCTAGAAATCTACAGTACTGTACAGTACAGGACTGGGAAGTTAGCACTCTTCTGTACTGTACACTGTACTGTACAGTACTGTATGACAGGACAAAGTCATGTGACTTCTGCTCTAGCGCAATACAGTGTACAGTACAGTGTACAGTACAGTATACTGTAAGTAAAGTACTGTACAGTAAAGAAGAAAATGGACTTTTAAACTACAGTACTGTACACTGTACAGTAGTCACGCTACGGCGTACTGTACTGACTTCAGTACGAACTCAAGTTGTGCTGTACGGTATACTGTACCTCAACTCAAAATTGGACTGCAAACGAACGTTGCCTTTCGCTTTTGAATTTTTGCAAGGCCAGCCAAGTCAAGTTAGCCTAACCGTAGGATCCAATCTGATTTCCCTTTACTGACCTCTCTGGTTATGTGGATCCCTTGTCAGCCTTAACCTTCAACACTGCTGTCGAAAATTAACAGTCATTTCCCATTATTGGGGTAAGCACTTGATATAGGCAATAGGATGGATAGGTGAAAATGATGTATTATTCAGTCAATTCGGTGTCATGCCAATGCAAGCAAAGGGCAAACATTGTTTGCAAAGCTACCGGTGCTCTGATAATACTATTAATTCATCAATTATTATTTGAAGATGTCAATAGCTTGACGATCGTAAAATAGAAACATGGACAAAATGTCTAAAACTATCCATTTCAATCCTTGTAGTGCAATAACCGTCATGATGATACTATTTCCATTTTCCATTTTACGTTATGCTGTACGTAGATTGAGATCCATCCTTTCACAGATAAACTGCCCAATCTGTTCCTATGCTATGTACCTGACACGTATACCCTTACAGTAATCAACCTGAATCCAGTTATACTAAATTAATCAATTACTTTCATTTTCAATAACCGGTAACTTATACAATATTCTATTAACTGATATGCAGTGCTGTACGACTGGATTATGGTGCAAATTAGTAATGGATTACTATCAATTTACATCAAGCTTGATCAGATAATTTAATGACCAATGGACGACGTATACTTGTATTTTGTTTTCGTTTGCAGGATTGGACTGCAGTAGCTAAATCAATTTCAAAATAAAGTTGGCACAGGCTGTAAGATAGAATAGACACGCATATACACTTGTATTTTCTTTTCATTTGCACGACTTGACTACAGTACCTAAATCTAATTAAAAATATCAAGTTGGCACAATTTAGACGCGTTTATACTGTACTTGTATTTTGTTTTCATTTGCAGACTGCAGTACCTAAATCAATTTCAAAATAAAGTTGACACAGGCTTTAAGATACTATAGATACGCATATACACTTGTATTTTCTTTTCATTTGCACGACTTGACTACAGTACTTAAATCTAATTAAAACTATAAAGTTGGCACAATTTAGACGCGTTTATACTGTACTTGTATTTTGTTTTCATTTGCAGACTGCAGTACCTAAATCAATTTCAAAATAAAGTTGGCACAGGCTATAAGATACAATAGATACGCATATACACTTGTATTTTCTTTTCATTTGCACGACTTGACTACAGTACCTAAATCAAATTAAAACTATAAAGTTGGCACAATTTAGACGCGTTTATACTGTACTTGTATTTTGTTTTCATTTGCAGACTGCAGTACCTAAATCAAATTAAAAAAGTAAAGTTGACACAGGCTATAAAATAAAATACCCTTGCACCATCTATACGAGCTACCTATCTAGTTCGTAAGGTAGACTTGAGCTAAAAATTCAAGGTTTAAAATTGACCATTTAGACTAATATGTAAATAGTGTCATACAATTTCTATCAAATGATCAAAATTTCGATGTCTTCTCAAAATTATTGACACTCTAAATGATGTCATACACTCGCGTGATCATATTTACTTTGCAATAAACGTAAATGGTTGTATTTTCTCAGCTATAATATAGATATTTGTATAAAAAGTTGGTCTACAAGTGTATTGGTTAAAACAAGAAGGGTTGCAGTAGTAATAAGAATTTATGGATCTCATACCAAATCTTGGTAGGTGTCTAACAATTTCAATCTTCATAAGATAGATAAACTTAAGGGCATTACAATAGCAACATGAATTGCACAGTAATTATACAGTTGGTATTATGATATCCTCGACTGATATTGCTTGAATAGGATAAAAGGAAAAAATATGATATTATTTAAAATGAAATTAATTTCAATATTTTACAACTGTTGATACGGATTGTCGCAATTCAGATAATTCCTAAAATAATTAGATAGCATGCACATAACTTAGCCATATTATGATAAACTATTTTAGATTACATCGATGTGACTAATCAACTGTTGAAACGTTGTGGATCCAAAATAAGAATTCAACATTTAGCTGAATGCACAGTGGAAGTCTTTGCGGATATATATCGTGGCCTTTTTCATAGATTACCGCCAGGTTAGCCCTGAGTTATTAGGAAAACCAATATACATACACGACAATATGTTAAAAGGATATCATATGCAATATAGTCAGAGTATTAAAATAAACTATAGAACTACACGTGATATTTTACACTAATTTTTGCTATGCTTGTAGCACTTTATACTCAGTGATACATGATAGTACAAATTAGATGTGAGAAAAATATTACTAACGTGTAATACAACCTATTAAACTATATGAATTCAGCGGATAAGATTACGTAGTGTCATTCAACACATCTAAACGTCACTTCATAATCTCTGCAATAGATTATATTCAGTACCCTTCAGGATTACAAGATCGCATTCATAACTGCCAATTGCTTATCGATTCATTGGCGAAAGATATCTTAAAAACTGATTTATCACATATTTCCGGTGAAGAAATCGCTAGAGGTAGCCTAACTCGCGTACAGTTTCTTCTCGAAATATATTTTGGACTTAAAGAATGTTACTTAGATTGGAAAAAACCTCACAGTATCGAAGGTTAGCGCAAGTTGAAACTATTTTTTCACTGTTATTACTATAAAGATACCATACTATCAATAAATTTCTTCTCTTGTATAATTGATTAGTGAGTAAAGCTAAGATTTTATACTTGTAGACATAAAAATATCTATACCCTTAACCTATTACTACATTATAACAATCCGTTATCAATAAATGATAATTTATAGGTATAGATTTTGATAGTGATACCGAAAGTGTAGACTCTAATGGCTTGGATGATATTGGAAAATCGATCATTAAGACCGTTATAGAACAGGAATTAGAAAACGACAGTAGTGACTTTGAAAAAGAAAATATCAATCAGAAGCTTATTTCAAGAGATTTTATGAATGATAATGTCCGGTCTAATAGTTCGGATACATCAAAGGCAGCAAGCAGTAAGTTTCACACAAAAATCTTTCGTAAACATTATCTCCGCGAAAGTGTGACATCCGATCAAGACTCCAGCGATTCTGACTCAACATACGATTTAATTGCCCAGGTGGCTGTAGCCAACGATGCCATTTCATCTACAGATAGTTTAAATGATGATGATTTAAGACAGGAGGTTGATAATGTGACAACTCCTAAGCTAGACATAGCACATCACAAAGTAAATAGGAAGAAAATTAATAAAATATCAGGAGATTACGATGATAAAGCCAGAAAATTGGATGATTTTCAGGTCCTTGACGAATATTATAGCTTGTTATCATCACAGAATGATTCAGATTTAATTTTACAATCAAGCTTATCCAGTCATTCATTAACTCCAGAAAGCTCTGAAAGTAATTCTCTTGATGAAAAAATCGAAACAGCTATAAATATTCAAAGGTAGGGTAACTAATTTTATCTACTTAAAAACACTTTTTAATTTATTTACCTATTTATTTATTCTGAATCCTTAATTATTACTTAATAATATTCTTTATAAGGGAAAACTGGAGTAAATCTATTGAAAATAAATACGACAATGCCAATCCAGTGGGTGCTAAATTAGGAGGGTTAATGGATGGTGACAAATCTTGTGAAAAGGGTTCTATCAGTAATCGTATAAGTAATAATAAGTCCTTTGGAGATGATGAAAGATTGACACGATTGGACAATACAGACGGGAATAAAGTAGAAAAAGCGTCATATACCTCAGTGATTTCTCATCATACTGGAGATAAAACTGATAGGCAGCATGAGTATCGGCAAACTGTGATTGACAGCCAGTTAGCCAAGAATAAGAACGACTACAGCGACATGCTACTAACAGAAACTAAGCCGCCACCAGAAACGAAAGAGTTAAAAGATTATCAGTCCAAAAATGCTAATTCTGGTGACGAAGTTCAACGTAACAGTATCTTCGAATCGAGTAGTGAATTAAGCTCTAAGAATCATGACTCGTCGCATTTAAATACGACTGACAACAATCGATATAAGAAATTGGCAACAGCGGACACTAAGCTTTATAAAACTGAAAACTATCGTAATGCATTAATTGAAAAGAATGACTCGAAGAAAAGATATCAAAATTTAGAAATCGACATTAAAGATCTTAAGAATAATATAACGAATATTTCTGAAAAAGCATCATGTAGTGACGATTATTCAGAGGTTATTTACTAAAATGTGTTATTTTCTAGATATGTGGTATATCAAGGCTGAAAGTATCAATTCAGCAAATCAATCTTAATTGCTAAGTCATTCTATCCTTTTTATATTTCTTTAGACAAATCCAAATGAAGTTGGCAACAATGCAGAATTGAATCAAGACAAATATGCTCAATTAAAGGAAACTTTAAGGTATCGGCTATTCTTAATGTACTTTTAGTACGCTATTTAGGTTTCCAAATATAGGTTGACGTTAATGTGCTTTATTTGTTTTAGAAACTTACGAGAGCAAAGATCTACATTTCCTAGTCAACCTATTTCTACAGAGGAGCCTTTAGTAGATTCCTATAGTAGAAACCCATCTGTAAGATTTGCTGACTACGTAAGAGATCGTAGTTTGGAAGAATTCGATGGAAGCTTGAGTAATGAAGAGAAATATTTCTCCAACACTAATAACACTAAAATTGTTGATCGAAAGTATCGTTATGATGAGGTAAAGAGTGGTCCTACTCGTAAGCAAAGTAAAAGAAGGGATATTAATGATGAGACCGCAAAAGATTTGATACAGAAAATAAGGAATAGGAATGTGTTACAAACTAAGGAAGTCCAGCGGCAGTTAGAGAGAGAAAAGCAGATAGAAAGATTATGTCTTGAACTGCTAAAGTCTTCTTATCAGCATGAGCTGGAAGATTTATCATTAGAAAGAAAAGAAGAAATTACTGCAACGAAGAAGGTATATTACTACAATATTTTTTGAAGAGTTACTTAATTGCTTGTTAATTCTCTTAAATTTTTATTCTGTATCATGAATTGTAGGTAGCATTTAAAAATAAAAACGATAAGAACAAGAAGAAGCAGAAACATCACCCAAAAAGTACATCATTACAATGCAACATTAAAAATTTTCTGTTATAATTATTAATATTTTACTTGACATTAATAAATCAGATTTTTAATGAAACATGGACAGGATAGTAAATTTAACGAAGATACAAATTGTATGTATTTGATGTCTATATTCTGTATCTTTACTTAAGGCAAAGGGACTCTAGTCTCTCGTCAAAATCTGACACCAAGTACTGAAACTATTTATACAAGCAAAGCTTCTGTCTATCCAAGCTCACTCGGCGGCCGTCAAGGGAAATTCCGGAAGGAGAAATTAAACGGTATTTATAGTAGATTAATATAGTAGCCATAATGACGGATGAATTATTTAACTTGGTATCTGATCTCTGCTATGCTTTCTTATCTCTTAATTGCTTTGACTGTATGGGATTAGTATCGTTGCCTGATAAAAAAGTAATGTCAAGAGTCGAAAGCGAACTCCCTCATTCATCAGTATCCTCGAACACTAAGAAGGTATTGAGGGAGAAGCAACTTCACCATTACAACTTTCAATTAGAGAGTGAGCGTGAATTAAAAGGGGGCTATATGCATCCGGAAACTAGAGTAAGAGAGATATATCAAAGCTAGTAATTTAATAAATGTTAAGTTATTTGTTTCTGTGATGAGTGCACTCGAATCGACACTTATGATAATTTATCACTCATGTGATTCATAGGCTCAGATAATAGAAGCGCAGAAGAAACAGCAAGCGATGGTTAATATTATGAAGAAAGACATCCGCCTTAATCGTAGACTGGTAAATAGTTCATAAGCAATCTTTTCTTTTGAATAAATATCTATAGGTTGTGCAAATCTAATCTAGAAATTATGATTAAAAATTAGCGCGATTATAAGGAAAGGTGTCGTAGTGAACAAGCAATGAAATCACAAATTCATAACAATCGGATATCATCAGCTCTTGCTCGTCGTTACTACCAGGACTATGTTGTAAATCATAGAGCAAAAATGCAAAAAAGAAGAACAAAAGAAGAAAAGGTATTATTCTATGCATTACTGTAGCCAATGCTAATTCGCGTTCCTGTAATGTCATTCTCTTTTCAAATGATTATCCTAGCTCTTATGAACTAACTGAAAAATTGGATATTTTACTACATTACTTTCGCTTCACACAGATATTTAAAGATACATTTGAAGAAGCTTTGAAGATACAGAAAGAATATCTTCAATATATGACAAAGTATACGAAAGAGCAAAGGGAAATTCATGCGAAGCAACGAAGGAATGAATTGGAATCTCTCGAAAATTAGTAATACTTGTGATTACATGATAGTATTCATTTCATTGCTGTAATTATTAAATTATGCCTCTGTTCTAATGTTACGTAGTTATCGTGATCAATTTGCTATGCTATCAGAGAAAGTTTCTCGCCAAAAGGATGAATTAAAAATCAAAGAGAAGGAGCACAATAGAGTAAGTCTTAGTTTAAATATTCAGTATTGAATCGGTTATTTTTAAAATACGATATTATCATTACTTTGATATTTAATGATTGAAACTTTGCCATGTGTTGCTTTAGCTTGTAGATGACATGCGTAGAAAGTTGAAAAGTAAATTAAAAAGTGAAATTGAAGAACTTCAAGATGTTATAACCAGAGACTCTGAGAGTACACATTATAGACAACTTGACGGAGAGAGATTATTGCAGCTGTTACACCATGCGCAATATTATTAAATCTACCGATTCATGCGAAATGAGATGCTATTTACTCTGCTTGTACGTGGCTTTCAAGGGAAATAGCTTAATTTCTCTTTCTAATATAAGTACTGGGTATGAGCTACTATTTCTGCTATAGTATTAATTGTAAAATATTTATTTCTATATTTGCATTTTAGTCAATCTTAGTTCATGTAGTCGCATTAGAGATGATTGCCGTAAGGACATTACTGTTATACTATAAATATTCAAGTTATTTAAAGCTATTTTGACTACAGTACTTGCAAATTACAATGGTACAATGGTAATTAACGTTTAAATATCTGGGGCACTTGTTACAGTATTGAAAGACTATCGAAGTTACTACTTGGACTAATACCTATATCAATGCTCAACAAATTTTATTATCTCGATATACCACCGTACTCTGTAAAATCATATATGAAATATCCGTACAACTATATTGAAAATTTTTAAACAGCCATTTATATGTGGCTGGATATAAAATTGTGTTATAATTTTTATAAATACGAGTATCAAAACGAACATTTTTCTAGTTCAAGTTGTTGTGCGCTAATTGAAATTTTAAATCGGTACTTTATATATGACTCACTCACACAACATAGTTGTATACGTGTTCAAGGCACATTAAGTATTGTTATTACTATACCTGTACTTTTCATCTCAATAATAATACGTGGTCGTATAGTTATTTTATTGATATTGATCTTAATTTATAAATACTTGCAGGTATGATGCAATAACGAAGCAAACGAGTATCATTAAATATGTAATGTTTTGTATATTGATTTCCAGGAGGCCTTTGCCAATCTACGTAAAAAATAAATATTGCATTTAATAAATTTAAGTGTATTTTACTCTCCGGCTACAATTATTGTACTGTACGTTGAATCTCATTCTATATTAAGTTATATCCGGCTATAATCTATGTTTTCGTCGTTTAATTCAAACATAAGACTGAATTTCATATTAAAATTATTCAACTTAGTCACCTATATTGTAATAATCAATAATATAAATTCGTTTGCCAAACTTACGTTAACTTGTGATTTAGTTATGCCTCACCAGCAACACCACTAGAATAGTTAGGAAGGATAGTGCTATAAATATCACCAAATGATTCTCGGCGTTGCTGGGGTATTTGATTACCGGATACGCGTTTAAGTATATCCTCCAGCTGAAAGTTTAAATGTCTTATTCTACAACGAACAATATGTTCCGATACAACAGTATTAAGTAAGGACTTATCTATCATTAACCTGTGGTCCAAGTAATCCAGATATGGGCAATAGATTTACATCAATAAGTACATTATTAGTATAAATATTAACTTACTGCTGCTTTTGGGCTTCTAACTTATGATGAATCTTTTTAAATTTTTCATGGTCTTGGCTATTATCATTAGTTCGAACTTTTATTATGCGCCCATTTATAAATGAATGAACCTGTATAGGTATAAATTATCATCTTTAGGGTCAGATATTAAGTCCACTTTTACCCATGTTAATAGAAATACCTTAATTAACAACTTAGGCAAAAACTAAAGGAAGTTTTTTTACCTTATATGCAGTTGTATTTGGATAAATTACAGTATTGGAGGAGTACAGTCTTCTCCTGAAGTATAATGGCATGGATCTTTCTAAATCATCCAGAAACTCAACTTGATTTTGCAGTCTTCGTAAGCTTGCATTCTGTTTTATTTCTTCGATATCTCCTATCGCTAAACCAGTCTAATTTAAAATGTGATAAAACTAGTTAAGTAGACTCCAATGCATTATTACATTATAACAAAAACTCTTGAAATTTTATAAATGTAACGCCGATCCTGGCCTAATTTACTGTTTAGTGGTAACAGATGTGTCATAATTATAACAGCAATATACTTGAAGTTGACGTATGCAACTCGATTTTTTGACTAATTTAAAATTTACCTACGAAATAAGTTGCAATTACGTTCATGCTTAAATTTATATCATAACCGAACTTTAAGCAATGAAGCTGAGCTAGTCTTAATAATTATCAAATGAAACCATGATCTGAGTAGCTTTATTTTTAATTTCTAAATAGATTGATAGGACTTTTTACGCCTATTTTGATGGCTAAAGTAATATTTTAACTCTGTATATAACTTAATTTCCAATATTAGAGCTATTAGTAACTCCGACTATGACTGATAACGCTTCAGTTAACATAAGTGTGACATTCATTAATTAATGCATCATCAATATTATAATTTTGTTGTGTGATGAATCATATGTTGACACCTAGCTACTAATTAACTAATATTAAATGTCATAGAAAGTGTGTTGTGATTCTGGCTATAATAAGTATGTAGACTGGGTTATTAATTAATTACTGTTTTTGCACCAACGAAGTTGGTGAGGATATATAAAGTCTCAAAGTTCTTAATTGAGAGTTAGTTACGTTAGTCGATGACAGATGGTTATCAGTTGCTAGTCGTAATTGTAAGTTGTGCGTTCAATCGGACATTTTAATAAAATAGCTTCTAGAATAAAGTTTTGATCCTTAACGTGAGTAATCTATCGTCTAAGACTCGAATCTAAGTTTGGTTGATTAAAGAGTGCTTAGAGTTAGTTGCTTAGATAGTTAAGTCTACTTTAGAGGAAAGAATCCCGTTTAATTCTTGTGTTACAATCTCGGTTGTGATCATAAGGTAAGCGGCTGAACCCTCAATTTAATATTTATCCATAGAGTAAGCGACAACTCTTTATGCTTAAATTAACATAATTCGACGTTATAAATTACTTTGATGCTTTAAATCTAACTTTGTCTTCAAGGCAGACTATGGCTGCGTTCATCACTAAATTAAGTTGTGCACTTAACTCTATAATTAAAAGTTTAATCATTTATATTTATATAGAAAACAGACTATGGATGCGTTAACCTACCATAAGATTTGTTAGCAGGATTGGCATTAGGAATATGAATAAGATAGTAAATGACAGGACTAGTATATTATGGGGATAAGCAATCGTCTGATTGGAGATTGGAGTAACAAATACGTCCATGTAATCAATTTCTCCAACCATCATATCGATAACTTTTATAAATGACAGTCCGATTGTACTAAATGCGGCCTATTTAAATAATAATATTTATAGGAGGTAATTGTTGAGAAATGTTTTCAAAAAGGATCAGCACAATCTTTATGTACATATGAATGCTAATCTGTTATGTTTTATATCTTACCTCAGTGCCTGCTGCAATATAAAATACAAATCCAAACGCAATAATAAAGATTATGATAACGGGTACTAGCTACGATAGAAGTCCATTAATTAAAAAAATATACTGTTAGTAGTTGCATTTAGATAATACATTGCCATTGGTTATACTAGCACCAATCAAAAGAAAGAAGTACGATAATGATGTTATGACATCACTTAATAATTGTAATTTCATACTTGCATAAAGTCAGACCGGTAGAGACTATTTTTTATATTTTGACTTACCATCAGAAATGTCCCTATTACTGATTTCAACATGAGCACGTAAATTCCAAAAAAGTTGATTCTGATACGGTATAGTGACGCAAAAGAAGATTAGTACATAAAATTGCTAAATTGACGAGAAAATGCCATAATGGGCCAATCTATATTAGGAATATGATAACATGAAACACTAGTAGGCTCAATAGTATAGTACTATTTTCTTTTATAAACGTTGGCACCAGATCAATATTCGTTACCTTTCGCTAAATAGTAAGAGGTTAATCCAAGCTAGAAATATGGCTATACTGCCTATCAACCATTGATCTTGATCTGGTTTAGTACCAAAAGGGAACATGAAAATGAAAGCTGTCGTATAAAGTGACATCTCGACGTAATTTGAAAACGATGTGAAGTAGCTGAATCCCTATAACAGGTGATATTAAAAGGATAGAATATAAGTATTATCAGTTTCTACACACTTAGTAACGGATATAACCAACCACATTGTGAAAACAGAATATCCTTCTCATTTAATAGCTAGCTAGGGTTTAACATAATTTACCTTATGAGCCATTTCGGATATTTCCTTAGCGAAATTAATTAATCCAAAGATTATAACGATTAATTGTATCATTATCATACCAGATGATAGTCTTGTACTAGAAATCTGCAGGAGAATATAGATTTAAATTGGTAACAATGCTAAGTGTATCACTTATTATTGAACACCTAAGACCCTTCAAATTTTGTCAGAGTTCTGAAGCGGAAGAAAATAGAAACTGCTATCCTGTACAGTAGCATTAACGATATGAATATTTCACACTCCATCATAGTCAGTCTGTTATTGTACCATTAAGCTTGCGAAGAAGAAATAAATGACATAGCAGTTATAGTTTCAAAAGTACTGATTTATAAAGATATCACAGTAACTGTTATTGCTAGGCTAATAAGATGAACTACTAAAACAGTATAGATGATCAATTCGTTAATACTACACTTTGAACCTTAGCTAATGCTTGTATTACGATTATTATACGTGATATGTGGCATTTAATCAATATAGCACATATGATAGCTAGTCCTAAAGAAATCTAAATACCACTTCTTGATTGTAGGAGTATAAATATCATTTTGATTTGCAACCGGAATATTGAAGTAATTTCGCTGAATATTACATACGCGTATGATTTATAGCATATGATTTCAATGGCATATTTAATCGTCAAGGCTAAAAGTGTTCGATAAATCACTTACTGTTGCGGTTGAATCGATTGAACTATCAGTTACTACTATTGTTAAATTACTATCCGAAGTAGATAGCTCTGGAGTCGTTGGATAAACTGTGCTTGCAGCTGTTTTTTGTTTATTTCCTCCCAATGCGTTAGTAAAGTTATTATTAGGCGTATTGTATGATAATTCCATAACATAAATGGTGAAAAATGTTAAGAAAACGATATAGAATGCCAGATTTAAATAAAATACATATAATCCATAGCGTCGCCTATAATCCAAATAATCATAACAGATAGTACATTAGGCACTTTATACAGTGCAGGATAATTTTCTGGCATGTATGAGATGAAATATGCGGAAAACAATGTAAATACCGAATTTCAATAAAATTGTAACAGATAGCATTTTTGGCCTCATGTATACTGTAAATAGCTTTTCTAGATTACTTGATAGCGTGATCTTTACACTATTTACGAAAAATTTCTTGAGACTGGTCAGGCTATTATATTAATTCCTCAAACATATTTTTAAATGTGTTATCAGTGTTACTATGAACAATAACTAATTTTCCGTTCTCATTTCATAAAATTAAAAAAAACGATGACAGTAATGAACACAAAGTCTAAATTATACATAGAATCTCACCATTTGCAATCAATTAAAGCTCTTGATAATTCATGCCCAATTAATTCAAGTCGTTGATGTTGTAGCATAGTCTATCATCAACATAAAATATAGAAATGTTCTGGATAGTATACAAGTTGTTAAAATTATGGTATTATCTCTATCACGATTGCAAACCGAACAATTTGAGTTGATCTTATAAATTGCAACACAACGTTAAGATTAACCTTTTTAACTGTCATATATTAAATGATATCGTTAAATTAATATTTGAGCAATAATCGTAAATCTACTAGTAAACGGTAAGCATTCGAAGGGACAGATTATAAAAAGTCAATTTTAAGATATTTTCAAGAATGCTTGAATATCAATTAAATTTGAATCATTAATCAGAGATTAGAATATATCATCGAATTATGGAGTTAAAGGTTAGAACATCGAGGGTATATTATAAACTTTCAAAATGGTCTACATTAGTCTCTACTAGTCTCAACAATATTAAATTCTTAATAAGTA